TCTAATAGACAAAACAAATAAAACAGGTTAGAGCTACATGTATATTAAATTAAATGGGGGTTTGGGAGGCCGAATGGTTAACGAGTGCGCGTTGTATCATAAGGTCTGTCATTGAGTCAAGTGGCATGGTTTCGATTCTCCACTTGTACGTGGTAAGGAGTAGGGTCGCCTGTCCAATCTCGAGGGTTTTCTCCGGGTCCTCCAGATCCCCCCCATTGCTAAAGACCCCTACGCGCAAGTGAATTTGAAAGAAAATTGAACCATATGTAAGTCCCGTTATATCAAATGGATGAGGTACCGTATAGATAAATTATAAATAGATAAAACACATAAACATTATTTAGCTGTTTTAAATTGGTGAGATGTAGATAAATTATAGATATATAAATATAATAGACAAAACACATAAACATAATTTAGCTATATATAGATATATAGTACACAAATGCGTAAAAAATATAGCTATATTACACGGCTGAGATATAGTTAAATTATATCTATATAGATAGCCAACACATATAAACGGAATTTTAAAAATTAAAAGTAGACTGATGTGGTATTCAATAAGCAATCTTTAAAGGGCATTTGATAACGGTGAGAGTGTCCTCATTGAAACGTTGCAGTTAATAAACCTAGTGAATGTTATCCATAAAGCTTTATGTTATTATAATATATAAGAACATGTTTGTGTGTAACTTAGTCTTCCAGATTTTCCAGCAGGGCTTCTCCTTGTCATTTGTGCAGGACAGCGGGTCTGGTTGAGCAACAGCGTCTAGTCGTTCGAATAGTACACGAAGCCAAGGTCCCGCGCATGTACGCTCGAAAAAGAAACCTTTACAGATTAGAGTATTAGTAAACGCGCAAAAAATTTCCTTCGTAGCACACTGCATGGTGTATTCTTTCTTCTTTAGCCCTGGTTGGAACAGAAAAGTAGGAGTTTTAAACCACATTTAATTTCATTTATGTGTAACCTAGTCATATTTGTATAAAATAATAAGTTAAAACATTTCATAACGGTATTACATAAAGCGATCAGTAAAATATCTTTGATAATATATTTGCGTTAAAACAGATTTGGTAAGTTATGACCGCGGTTGATTGGTCTCACATGTCAGGTTGACCATATGTGACATGTCATCAGTGACCATTACAATGAATATAAAGAGGAAGTGATATGTAACGGATTGTCATTTCCAAATTTTTACATGCATTACATGAACCGAAATGATTAAATGTATATATTAATCGACTACACGAGTAACCAATAAAAGCAGTGAATAAATCAGTATATATAATCACAGCAACAGCACTTAATTATGTTCAGTAGTTAATTGACTAAAACTGCATTATGTGTGAATTACAGGTGTATCATTCGTTTAAAATTATATATACTGATTTACACTCTATGCAATACTTTGATTTCGTGCTATTATATATTTATTTACTTTTCACAATTAAAAATAATATTATTATGCTTGATTAGTATGAGTATTATAAAGCATTGTAATTTGCTGGTAGAAATTAGTGTTGGGCGAGATTTTGCTTCGAAATTCCATTTCAACCCGCGCTCAAGTATTTGAGATTCCATTGATTTGTGATCAGATAACTACTAAAGCGTTATTTTCTTGACAAGAACTGTTTATAAACTACAAACCTAAAACCTTCATACGGAAGCGTCCGTACCTTCAAATATAAACAATGTTTATAAACTACATACACAGTTTATTTTTATTCATATGATAAAAGGTATTTATACTCTTTTAGCAAACACTTCTAAGGGGTTTTTTATACGTGTATGATAAGAACTGTTCATACACTTTGATATTTATGTTAAATTTATATTATTATATTATAGTAAAACTGTTTATGCACTAGGTAATATTTTTATGTTTGCAATATGATAAAAACTGTTTAAACACTTTGCTATTTATGTTATAATATATGTAAAATTATTGTTTATGCGGTACGTATTAATACTGTTTATATTACAACTATATTTTGTTAATACAACCGGACAAGCAGTACAAACTTTGTTTACTGGTATTATAAGAACTCCTTATTTTATACCCTACAGTTTACACATTACGGACGTCTTTTTATTTTGTAATAATTATGACTCCACATCTTAACTTTAATAAAGACATACGTGTAGGCTTACCAAAAGACACTTTAAAAACTTCAAATAATGAACCCTCATCGTAAGTTTTTCGACTGCTCTCGAATCGAAGCCTGTTCAACTACACAATATCAAATTAAGGCTTATGCGGGTCATTTCGGCAAGTTTTTTTTCTTAGCATCGTTGTAGGCTAGGTCCGGAGCGAAGAGGAGCCTCGTGTTATGAGAGAGCTTTAAGCGGGTAGTAGCATTGTTTATTGGCATTAAACCTGGCTAAAACCTGCAACTTGGTTGGTTGTCGCTACGTAATTAAATCAGCCGTATCCAATATTCTTTCATTTCATTGGCTACTGGAGATTAAACCCAGCTCATAAATGTCAAATTTTAAATCAGCTGAATTAGTTTTAATACAGACGACGTGTATTTGAAATAATAAAAAAAAAAACCCTGTGTGCGTGAATCTGAGGAATCAGAAATAATTTTCGACCCGATCATCATTATTTACGATGTCGATTACAGTGGATATATTAAGAATGAGTTTATTTGGTCATGTATATAGATCTAAGGTACCTACAACAACAGAACAAGGTAGTTATATATCATTTCAATTATATTTAAGCCAAAAGGTATATAGTATAAGACACGTGCGCAAATTGTATATGCTTTTTTTAATATCAATAATGACGTTAAAATCATGTGATGATATGGAATATTGTAACAAACACATATTTTTAATAACATTTTTCTTATTTTATTTATTTTTTTTTAGTTCCCCAGATAAAGTTTATGTTATCGTTATTTGACTACCCATGTATCAAAAGTATATATTATAAATAAAATGTAGAGAATGCATGAACATTCATATTTCAAGTAGGGCGTGTCTTGGGATTATAATATAATATAACAGTTTTCTAATAAAAAATAATTTCAATAAATATTTAAAATCAGATGTTTTAAAAGAGACATTATATTAAACCAATGGTTTCAATTAATAATCGCGTGTTTTGTGTTTTCTTTTTTTTTAAATCGAACGTTTAATATACACATCGATAAGTATTAATCATCGACATTTATTTGCAATCCTTAGCGTATCAATTTTCCTGCTATAGACACACTATTAACACATTTGGACAATTATGTTATATATAACAAATGTAAGCTTATAATATATTTTTAAATATTAAAACCTATGTGCGTCATTTGCAGTTTTCGAGAGAAAAAAATCAGATTTCCGCTGCTTAATCCGCTCTAAACTGTGCACAAATTGATTATTTAACATTTAATTAAGATAACAAGATATTGACGATAAATAATCTCCCGGAATTGATTCAATCGGATTATAAAGATGTCCATCAAAAGATTTGTGCGAATATTACAGGTGGTGCTAGTTTTTGACCATAATATATCGTTTATTCCGTCTGTAGAGGATGATAAATGTTGACATATTTTCAATTCATCTATGTATAAATACTGACATTTTTTTTTAGAGATTCAGCTTTCGCTATAATCAAACCCTCAAATGACGTCCAGAGACTTTAATGAATACCCCCCCCCCCACCACCCACTAAAAAAAAAAAAGACTCGTTTATATATTTTCGCGGAATCTTTTCTGTTTCATTATTCTATTCTCTAACATTCATATTTTTATAGTACGTGTAATTACTCCAATAAAGCAAAGAGATGGCGTCTTTATTCAACGTATCCGAGGTCGTCGAGTAGTACGGAGTGGCCTCTCGACTGGAATGAGCGAGTTCGACACCGGTGTTTGCCGAGAAAGCTAATCAGGGTTCTTCTCCTTATCAGTGGTGCAGGACGGAGAGCCTCGCAAGTAACAGCGTTCGGATAGTGTCAAAAATCTAGACCCCGGTGGCGTGCACGTAAAGAGCCTATCAAGATTTTTTCGGTTATCAATATATCGGACGATCGGATGGGGCGATACTGCGAGGTACAACTGTGTACACATGGGCGTACACGTAAAAGAACCATTAAAAGTTGGTTGGAATTTGAAGGAAGGGGAGGTGAAAACAACACTGCCAGGGAAAGATTCTCATCTTGGCATTGTACACGTAACCATATAGAACTTTTCCACATGTATTATTACATTCTGTACAAATAGTATACAAATTCCAATTTGGTTTATTTTTCAGATGAATAAGTCACCCACTGACAAGCTTTGCTCAAATTAATTCTATTTTTTTTCTTAGCTTTCCGTCGAACGTTATCTGAAATTATGTTGACAAATGGACTGATTTATTTATAACCGAATATAATGATCCACCCATATCAACTATTTGTTATAGGTCATTGACGATTTTTTTTTATTTTGTGGTAATGTGTAATCCTTATTTAGACAATTATTCATAACGCATTTATAGAATGTGCCCTTTAGGAACTCTCCTTCTAATTAAATGTAATACATTTTCATACTCAATTATTATGATGGCATACGTATTCATTGCTGCCATATTTTCTCATTAAATAAAAGAGAACGACCCTTGCATCACACGTGACAACCAATCACGCGCGTGATACTAATACGGGTGACAGTTGTCTGTCCCTGAAAACTAAGTGATATTAAAACTGAAAAACCGAAGAAAATTGAAGACTTCGTGTCACAGTTCAGACACATGAAAATATTATAACACTATAAGAACATGATGGCGGGTTGAATTAAATTCTTTAGAGAATTATTCGTACATGGAAATAATTACAGCAACCATTTTATTGACAGGCTCAGCTCTAATAATGCGGGTACTGATTGAACAAAAAAGCAAACCTCTGTTCGTCTCAAACACAACCGGTCCAACAAGCTTAACTCGAGAGGAGTTTGGTTCCTTTTTTTTAAACAAAATAATTTTACTAGAACTTGGGAATTGAGATTTAATATGAGAGAATACAATACGGGTAAGGGTAATAATTGTCATCTTGAATTACAGGTTCTTTCATTTTAACATACGAACCGAGATGGTTCTGGGCCGAGGTCTGGGCTGTTATAATTGAACATATGTCGCAAACTGAAAGTATTTTTACACCCCCATTCTCAATGATCAAGTGGCCCGAATGAACATGTTTATTGTCCAATAGGGCTTGTCGAAACGAGTGTTGTTTTTGATTCACCGCCACCTTAAGGAGGCTTATCCTCGCACTTCATTGAATGTCGTAACAACGATTAGAAGTATATAAATATCTGTGCTTTTATTGTGAAGACCTCTAATAAACTATACCGCCATTAGGTACCCAAATACTAGAATTAACATACGTATAATTTTGTTATCTTTTATGTACATCACTATAAATACGGGCATCAATCATTATTGTGTCATCAATTTTTTGGGAAATGCAATTTTTTAAAATTGACAAATGGATAAAATATTTAAATTCAATGTAATAAACAGTGTGTACTGCCACTATAGTCACCCACGTTTATGGCTTAATTTATTCGTTAAGGCCAGCTCAATGTTGACATAAAAATGTAAAAACAGCAATCATCAGTTTAAAATATTGCTTTGGTATATAAAATGTTGAAACTGAAATGTAGAAACACAAATCATGAATATTGCCCCATTTCGTCTTTTATAATATCCAATATTTAATGTTCAACACAATGCTAAAAATGTTTGTATTTGTTTATATCAAGTGTTACTAGACCTAAACAAGTTGAGATTGTATACAGGTCACAATTCTATGGAATACAATTACTGCTTTTTACTGAGCGACGTTTCGACTAGGCTTCTCTAGCTTGATAATGACTAGAGAAGCCTAGTCGAAACGTCGCTCAGTAAAAAGCAGTAATTGTATTCCATAGAATTGTGACCTGTATACTCTAGTTCAATTACTAAATGCCATTGAAACAGTTTAAGTTGAGATTGGTCAATATAACTGTAAGTATGTTTGTATTTGTTATAGATATATCAAGTATTGTTAGACGTTAATATAACTAGTATACGATAAATTTTGTATTTCTTTTTACAGATATATCAAGTATTGCTAGACCTAAACAAGTAGAAATTAGTATATCTAATATACCAGGTTGTAATGTTGGTGTTACATCTACCACGTGGATAAAAAATGGAACTGAGATGGGGCCATTTATAGGTCGTGTTTTACAATTAACAGATATAGATACTAATAATGATAATGATAATATGTGGGAGGTATGTATTGTATATATAGTAATAATATAAGATATTATCAATATAGGTTGTTTGTGAGGAAATGTGGAATGTTGTAAGGCATCTTCCAGGGCACACATTAATGGACCAGAAGCAGATCTGTGGTGTCATATAAATATGACAACACGTTTTAAAGGAGCTAAATCCCTATTCTTTGGCACCGCGAAATGGACACACATGGATCGCAACGCATATAATAATGTAATATGGATGTATATAAACTGATTCACATTCAAATCGTTTCTGTTTTTACTGTAATTTTTAATCAGTTATTATCATTTTGCATTAAATACTAGATATCAGAAGCCAATGTTTTCACGGTAAGATAATAACATCAATGTTGATTTAAATTGACTAATAAGTCGTGTTGACAATGTCGAAGACTGTGGACGATATTGAGTTAAAGACTTGCCTCCTTTAAATTTCACAAACAAGAGCAATTCTTATTTATTTTGTAACAACACGACTCAACGTTTCGATAAGGCTACAACTGTGATTCCTATTTAATATATTTCAATACGACGCTAAAGAAATCCATCTTCTTTAAAGATGCATTATGTAAGATGCATTCTGTAAGAGCTAAATCTGCCTATTACATGGGGTTTTTTTATTTTGGCTTCTTGTTCTATAAACTATTATTTGGACATTTATTCACATGCCATCTCTATAATTAAGTCTCTAAACCATCGGATGACCGAGATTAATTAAGTTTTATTTAAATTTCTTTCCTTAAAAATCTCGAACAATAACACGTCTATTATTTATTATCAGATATTTGATGATAAAGGAGACGTATTATATTTTATTGATGGGGGCACTAACTTCCCTAGAGCTAGCTGGTTATCGTATGTAAACTGTGCAAGAAATGAACAAGAACAGAATCTAGAGATCTTTCAAGTTGGACACAGTATATTCTACAGAGCTATAAAGGTATTAATATCAACTTTAAATCTAATTAAATTAAAACTCTGGGCCCAGTGCGTGGTCAGCAGACTACTGCCATTATTAATTTCATTAAAACGGTAGCATGTCATAATACAGGTTTTAAAAATATCTAGCTAAAGTTATGGCCATTTTGAGTTTACATTGATTTTACACGGTCATCTTTAACGCTTTATAGTGGTAATACAGTCTTTGTTCGTACATTGGGGGGGGGGGGAATCACGTGGCTAAGTGGGTAAGACGCTGGCTCGCTAGCCTGGAGGTCGGGTGTTCGATCCCTGCATTAGCCGAGAAAGTTCATCCAGATTTTCCGGCGTGGTTTCCCCTTGTCAGTGATGCAGGACGGAGGGCCTGACAAGGACAGCTGTCTAGTCGTTCGGATGGAACGAAAAACCGAGGTCCCGTGTATATATTGGTGTGCACGTAAAAGATCCTTCGGCAGTTGGAATTCGATATAAGAGTAGGCTGTAGCGAAATTTCCCCCATAGCACACTGTATGGCGTATGCCCGTCTTCATTAGCCCATTTTGTCCGTACATACCGGACTATTCGTCATGAATGTCTTTTAAAACCCAGATGCGTTTATTTACATTATAAAACTGTCCTTATATTACAATAGTATAAATGTTTTTACTTTTGAATATATTTGAAACGACCTAAAATTGAAATTGTCTTCCAAGTTTGGTTGAGATATCAGCAATTTGCTAATTTCAGTTTTGTTTTACAGGATATTGCACCTCGTCAAGAACTTCTTGTCTGGTATGGTCGGTCATTATCGTTATATCTAGGATTACCAACACCAATTACTTTACCATCTAGTCCAATAACTGAAGGTACATTTATTGATATCAATTACAATATAATTAAATAATACAAAAACGGGAGGGGGGGCTGCACATTTATAACGTGTAGTGCAAAATAACTCCTGGTGTAAAATAATAACTCCTGGTGTAAAACAATAACTCCTGGTGTAAAATTATGAGTAGAAAGTTATCATTTAAAGCAGGTATATATACCCCCAAAAAATGTTGAGTCAATTTAAATTATTTGGATGTTTGGAAAAATAAAAGATAATTAATATATTTGTAATCCATATTTTACAAAGATAAATCACGGCGGTGAATAAATTCCACGTGGTTGAATTAAAAATATTAATGGTGGGTTTAACGTCCACTCGACACAAACTACGTCATTTCGGGACTAACATATTATATTATGGTTCAATTTTATTTCAATAATTCGCTTGCGCGTAGGACAGGCGACCTACTCCATGTCACGTACAGCTGGGGAATTGAAACCACGCCAGTTGATTCAATGACAGATCCTTGTGTTCACTGAGAAAATTCAAGTTTTCCATTGTTGCCGTCCCAACTTTTTTTATAATGTAAACGAATAGGCCAATACACTCAGCATAATGCAAACTGAATTACAAAAATGAGGAACCGTCTGTTATAGTTTATTATGTACGCCGGTATATGGGCCTTTTCAGAATATAATACATTTTCTTTCAGAATCTCCGGTAAATATCCTACAAGACAGCACATCATCAAAACCAACAAGCAAATTAAACTGTGTTTTATGTCGTAGAGGTTTTAATTCAAGAAGTAATTTAAGATCTCACATGAGAATTCACACCCTGGAGAAACCATTTGTTTGTAAATTCTGTGATAGAAAATTTAGCCAATCTTCAACATTACGAAACCATGTTAGACTTCACACAGGTAAATATTCGTTTCAATATAAATATTAAGTTAGAACGAGTATTATATAAATATACTCTTCTCGCGGGACATTCCCGTCGCCTATCAGGCCCTATGAACCACGACAGATACCGGCGACAAAGCACCATCCCAGTTTCGATACATCGAGCTACATTTACCAGTTCCCAAATGAATTCCCAACCGGGACAGCTTTCTTTTAGAAATTTTACCGATATTGTAATTGATAGTACGAACTTGTCGTTATGTTTGTAGCTTGACAGTTGGAGTATTCGGCAAAATAAACGATTCTGTTCTATATTCCCAATTCTGCGATCCTCCTCCGGAACCACGCGCCTAAGAGACATCGCTTTTTTTAAGAATCTCTGTTATTTTGTCGAGAATGATATATCTAACACAACTAAGTACACTTTAAATGCATTATTATTTCAGGTGAAAAGCCATATAAATGTAATATATGTAGAAGTAGTTATTCTCAACTGGCTGGATTAAGAGCTCATCAGAAAAGTGCTCGACATCGTCCATCTAAATCCGAACAACCAGTTGAACTTCACGTAGACTGATCAACACGGATAAGGAAGAAGCGTGGGCATAAGCAACCATCAAGTAAATTGATGTAGGGAATGGGGCCAATTAAAAAAGAGAACATTAATTGATCTTCATAGAGTTGGGAGGCTAAAACATGTTCGATAAGTGCACACTATATAGACCATAAAAAAACAAACAGATTAAGCAACTGCATCTGACAATTTTTATTGTTTAGCTTATCGTGGAAATATTTATATATCTGTACATTTGTATTTTTGAAAATCAATTCAATAATTAAACTATGTGTATGTTATTATTATGATAGTAGGTGTAACTCTTGTTTATCGTCGGAATACTGTGTGTAATGAATTAGGGTTAAACATTCTGCTTTACTGCACCGAAAATAAGCAAATGTTGATATCGTAACGCAGAAGTACAACAGACATTTATTAGCAATGTAACGGGTGAGATTAAACATACATTATGCAAGAGCTAAATCTGCCTATTTGCAGGTCTTTCTTTAGGCCTGAACTTATTCAGACCATAATCAACCCTCGATGCCATCGCTAGCCTGTGATATTTAGCGGATTGGAATACCTTTTTTGAAAAATAATTAAACGTAAAGTGGATAATGATAATCGAGACTTTGTTTTTTTATCGTACCGACTTCAGTAATGATGATCGAGGCTAGCCTAAAATTCAAAAGCTAATATCTCGGTTCAGACTAGAGCAATTTGACTGGAATTTTCAGCATATTCTATTTACGTTATCTATTTTTAACTATTATAGCGAGAACTGTCAACTCTTGATCTAATCTCCCTTAATGCCCCTTTAAGAATACTTTGTCTCGTTCATGATATTCGTCACTACTTGGCTGAAGGCTACTGTGTTTAGGGCAAACTTAGGGCCGACACCACCGAATTTTCTTATTGCCTAGGTCCCACTGGATATTTTTGTGCCTTGGGGATGTACTACCGATGTGCCTCAATATGTCCCGGGGAAGTTTCGGGAACGTCACGAGCCATGTGGAACCATTGGGAAAACAGTCCGGGAAAGCATCCCCGGTGCTTTCCAGATCCACGGAGAAGCTCCGCGGATGCTTCCCTTCTGCGAAATATTTTTGTCCCCGAAGCACCAGCAATGTCTTGCCGAAGTATCATGGGGACCTTCGAGGATATTTGAATCCTCGGCGAATTATCAGCGACCATTCGATGACCTTTCGGTAAAACATTACACATGCCCGATCTTGGGGTGCACGTTAAAGAACCCTTGACAGTTGGAATTCGAAATAAGAATAGGGAGTAGCCCCGCTGTCCGGACAAAATGTCTTTTATCGCACACTGTGTTGCGTATGCCCGTCTTTATTATTTCCTCATTGCACACTGAATGGCGTATACCCGTCTTCATTAGCCCAGTCGGTGAAGAAACGTAAGACGTTAAACCACATTCCATTTCATTTACATCCATGTTTATACTCAACAAATAATGGTGAGATTGTGATATTCGCCGCAATAAGTGATTACACGATATTTATTTACTATTTTTGGCCACCTGAAAGGTATGTGACTAACTTAAAGGCGTTGAGCAGTCTTAAATGTATGGAAGCCTATAACTACCATTCATAATTTCTACTTTTCGCCTCTTCAGAACACGAAAGTCGAAAAGTAGAAGTTACGACAAAATGTGAGTCGACAAGACGGTATACAAGCCAAAATCAACTCGAAAATAGGAAATTAAGAAATAACACACCGCGATAATAGCGCCCCCCGTTTTTTCTTAATTTCTACTTTTCGACTTGCATTTTGGCTTGTATACCGTCTTGTCGACTTTCGACTTAGTCATATTTTTGTATTTATTGATGTCAGTAAGAAGGCGCCAACACGCTATACAAGCCAAAATGCAACTCGAAAAGTAGAAATTAGGAAATTAACACACTGCGCTATTAGCGACCTATGATCTGTCGTACTGTCGACTTTTCTACTAGGAAGTTGTTGTAGTCTCTGCCTTGCAGGTCACATTTGAATACGTGCAATTCCCGTTAACAAAAATGTTGGTGTGATAGTCTAGTAATGATGGCGATTATTTATTAATATCTCGATCCCTATGTTACGGACAATTTTATGCAGCCGTCAGTAATAATATTATAAAACTTACAATCTTTCCTATTTTCGAGTTGATTTTGGCTTGTATACCGTCTTGTCGCCTCACATTTTGTCGTAACTTCTACTTTTCGACTTTTCGACTTTCGTGTTCTGAAGAGGCGAAAAGTAGAAATTATGAATGGTAGTTATAGGCTTCCATATAAATGCACTGTAATTTTTTTTTATAAGATATGCCATTAAAAAAATTGTTATTTGGGGTGATATACAACGGAACAAACTTCTGTGATATATCTTTTATTCAATTAATATTTAGATATACTTTTCTATATAGTGATAGAAAGAAGTGACGACTAAAAGTAACTAGACAAAGACAATTACCTTAAATCCAGGTTGTATGTTACGACAGATGAGAACAGAATACCCATTGTTTCACTTTTCATTTTTCGTACCTAGTTTCAGTGCTGGATTAACCATTAAGCAAAATACGCACGTGCTTAGAGCAATATGGTAATGGGGCCACCATAGAATGTCTGCTTTGTTAGATGCTAAATTTAAAATATTTAAATTAAAAACTAATTAAGAACTTTCAATTAGTTTTTCATCGTTTTTGTCTTTTCATACTTTTACTTCTTTTGGCGCAATTAATAATGAAGTGTATAAAATCCCAGAAAAACTCTAATCACGTGTTTGGCGGTTGTTTGTGATTTATTATTGTTTATATTTTGAATTATGGGAGCACCAAAATCTTTTAAGTACTCAGGGCCTATTTAGGTCTTAACCCGGTTCTGTCTAGTTTACAGGAGGCTTTAGACCCTTTGTTGTAGAATTATCAAAGAGTGTTTACATTCAAGGGAAGTAAATCCGTTTTGGCTAAAATATCTGTATTTTGTCTATTTTTCCGAGCACTAAACAAACTTAAACAGGCATTATGGAAGGGATAAATCTGCTTATTGCAGGTCTTTTCTTTAGGTCTGAAATGTTATCTAAATTAAGTCCGGCCCACATCGCCACGACTTGCCCAGACTCTACCCAACGCAAAGTCTTGTCTCAGATAATCAGTGCAGTGTGGACAGTCCCACGACCACGATTCAATCGATTTCCGTTGTATCGTGGCCCGTCGGCCTGACTGAGCATGTTCAGTCGTAGTCGGATGCAGTTGGATGCAGTCGTAACCCATCGTGTTTGTGTGGACACTCACACGACACGATCAATTGTCTTACTGTTGTTTAGCCAATCAGAGAGTAGCATTTAGTCACGTGACTGTGCAGGTCACGTGCTCTTGTTTTCCCCGGGAAAATTCAAGATGGCAGATTTTTGGACAGAAGAGAGGGAAGTGCCGTAACTCACGACGCACAATCTGTGAGAGTCGGGCCTGTGAAGTAAAGACGCGACCCGATTTTTTTTTACAACTACCCAAGACGCTGAGTCCTGTCGGGTTGTGTGTAGTCGTAGCGGTATGGGCCGGGCTTTATTAATTAGACATTAATTATGAACATGAAAAGACCACGATGAACTCTCGATGTCATCTTATGTGTCCGATTTCATAGGATTGAGACTTTGTTAATGATCGTGACATTACCAGCAAGGCTACAGTGGTTTTTAAAATAAGGGTTTCTCTCCTTAGAGTAAAACAGTTTGACTGAAATTTTCAGCATATTCCCTTTACATTATCTAGTTTTTAACTATTATAGTGAGAACTGCCAGATCTTTATCTAATCCTCCATAAAGTATCTTTAATTTCTGATTTTAAAAAAAATTATTGTATTACAACTTACTGTGGTCATATCCACTATTAAAGCTATATAACTTATAGGCTCATGGACGTTTCTGGGTATTTATTCCCAAGTTCTAAAATTCAACACATTTTATCCTATTACTGTGGATTTTTATGATTTAAAGAATGTTATATCTGAAGAGCTTCATACAGAATCAGTTTCTTTCAATATGCTTCATACTTAAAGGTGCCTATAAAACAGACAACTTCTACAAAGTGAGTAAGGACAAAAACAAATCTTTAAGCGTGGTTATCTTTTACCTTGCTACTTTTTATGAAATACACGAACTCATTTCAAGAATAAAAATTAAATGAATTTTATTATACAGATGAATAAAATATACATGCGTGAATTGTGTAATTAGAAATAGTATGCTGTGAAATTTGAGAAATGTTTTGTCTGGGTAGTTAGGTTACATTAGGTTGGTGCATATAATGGAAGACCAGTCCAGTCAATCTGTGAGGACCTCGAACATGGTAGTATCTTTTGATAGACCGAATAGATCATTAATAAGCACTTATTTACACTCCCAAAATGTTTGACGGAAATAAAGTTTTAAGTTCAGGATAATATTTTTGTTTCGATAATGTTAGGCCACGTTTTGTTTCGGAGCCTGGTAGACAAACACGTTGTATTAAATTTGTTTTTAAAATGTAATACAAAAAGTCTATTAACAAGTCAACAGTGAGGCTGATGCCCCCCGCGGCAATCCCAAAATAAATATATGGATAAATGTTAGTCAATGCACATGTATCTTTATGAAAAGCTCCGAGGAATCAAATTGATCTATAGTATAAAGTTTCATCACTCTCCGTAAGTTAGAATCAACGTTATCTTGTCCCAAAGCATCGATCAATGAACTTGCTTAGCCCTGCTTAGTTTTAGCGGAAATGTTAATCGTTGAACTCAGTCAAGACATCCACCTAATGAACATCTACATTTTTTATAGTTCAAAATTTCGTTTTTACTTGTCATTACTACGCCAGGATCTGGAAGAGTTGTTGTCATTGACGTGTTCTGGATGATCACTCGGCAAACCTCGGCAGATTCAAGTACCTTACATCTAGCCACGGCTGTATGACGAAGTCCGCCATTGGAACTACTTTCAAGTTCCCGGATTACCAACAGCGTTGCCCATAACGACGCCTTTGAAGAATGTTTTATCATACAAATATTTCAAAGTCTGAAGGTATTTTTCTTTCAAATTTATCAGATTTTCTTAACGACGCAATTTTGATAACTTCTTTTTAAAAGCGGCAAGTTTCCTAATAAGTAAACCGGTGCCGCATCGAAATTGTATAGGCGTAGGTACATATCACTTACCGCCATGTCGAGGCTAGATGTGGTGTAACGGAATCTGCCGAGGTTTGCCGAGTGCTGGATGATGTGAGGGATTAGCCAATGAAACGGTCTGTTACGGCGAGTTTTTGGTGTGAGGTGCACGGAACTGTGGGTAATCCACTAGAAACATCAATGCTGATTGGTTAATGAAATGTGTGTCGTCATAGGTCAAAACCCCTCGTATGCCCTCTGACGCAACCTCCCAAAACGACTGGTCAGATCTTCATGTAGTGTAGGACATCGAAAGTATAAAAAACGAAACGAAATATAGATCTGTATTTTAATCAGATTGATCTACACCAAGTTTAAAGATGGGTTCCCGCGTACAAACTGGGTGATTTAATGGTATATATGGACTAAAAACATATTCAAACTAATTAATTTGTTAGAATTTTGCTTCAAATTCTTCTCAAACATTGTAATTGCGAAGGAATGTCCTGCTATAAAAATTCGATCAAACCAGGCCATGTTTACGTCACGTGACTTAACTCTCTTGTAAGTCAGAGGAGAATTCATTGCATGCATAAGACGATGTTTACAAATATCGAATCCTAATTATATTCTCGGATTATCCACTACCCGCGTCTTTTTCCGTCATTTTTATCTCAGAAAGTGTTGTACGTCTAACTCTTCATAAAGTTTATCAACTTGTACATCAAGCGCTCAATGTTCGCGTGTGACCTTTGACATCACGCGTGCAGAAATTCCTAATCGTCGGGCTGTCGATTAGGGAAACCCTTACATTTTTGTCCTGTATACGCTCCATGAATGTTTTTTAGGGGAATCCAGTATTTTTCTAGTACGATTGGATATCTCTACTTTCCATATATACCAAAACTACCATACTTTTATTGGAAACTAGTTGGAAATAACCACCCGATAAATACTTTTCTGGGAACCCATCTTTAAACATTCTACCTCAATTAAAAGCAGAGTTGTTCTTGACCGATCAAATTGCTTATCGCTACTTAGCCTAAGCAGAAACTTCCCATCATCGAACTTCGTCAAGGTATTAATATAATGAATGTATATTCTGAGTTCCATAACTCTCACACAAATAGAATCAAAGTTATTGTGTTCCAAACCAAAGTCTCGACCAATCAAGTTGCCTATCACTTCTAAGCCTTAGTGGAAAATATGCATGGTCTTACCCTGTCAAGACATTCACCTAGTCAACACCTACACCAGGTTTGGACAATTTACCTCAATTAGAAGGGGAGTTATTGTGTTCCAAAGTATCGATCATTCAGATTGAAGTCTCTACTTGGACTAAGGTATTGATGTAATGAAACTATATACGAAGTTTCACCACTCTCACTCAATTAAAATCAAGGTTATCGAGCTCCAAAGTATCGACCAATCAAATTGCTTATCGCTTTGTTTACCCTCAGCAGAAAATGCTCATTATCGAACTTAGTCAAGGTATTGATGTAATGTAACTATACACCAAATTTCATCACTCTTACTTAATTAGAATCAAAGTTATCGTGTCCCAAAGCATAAACCAATCAAACTGCGTATCTGTGCTTAGCCTAAGAAAAAAAATGCCTAATAAACGCCTACACCTAGCTCAATTAGAAGGAGACTTCTCGTGTCCCAAAAACGTGTGACAGACAGATTGACCCATTTTAATAGTCCCCTGCTTTCTTCGAAAGGCGGGGGACAATAACACCATATACCTTCCAAACCTATCTTTCATAGCTCATTCAATTCTGAATCTCCAAATAACCTATTTAGCATATTGTTTTGTGTGTTTGAGGAATTGGAAATAGCAATAAAACTTTTAACAAATTGTAAAGTTTTTTTTTAAAATTTTGAATGTAACCGAATTATTTTTTTGCGAACAATTCACACAATTGTGACTGGATTGTGCTGAATGCACTTGTTCGCGCAATGTGAGCATTCGGTGACCTCTTGACAAACCTTGTCTGGGGCGGCTGACATAAATAGTTATGTGTGCGCATATAGTTGTATCAATAGAAAATATATATAACTTATACACTGTTTGTTGCAGCATATGGTCTACATTATCTATGATATACAGGAACATGTCAAACAATTATGAGGTTTTGTTTTTGTCATTCTAAAAGTTTACGAAGAAAGATATTCACATTTTAAAACAACAATAATTCCAGCTGTGCGGTCCTTTCACTCTCATTAATAATATGAATAAAATTCACAATCCTTGCTTTAAAACCAAAAACACAACACCTTATCTAGTCTCTCTCCCTTTACATCACGCACCACAGACGATAACAATATACGAACAATTAGATTTTGGTTCCGTTTAAAGTCTTCTTGGTGAACAAAAATACCCGGCGTGAAGTTGCCTCTTGTATATAAATAAAACAATATAGGTTATGACCTATGTCTGTTTATAAACACTTTACGTTTGTATACACAGAGTTTAGGCATGTTAACCATTATTATTGTTTATAATGACATCACTATCACCAGTAGAAACAGGTAAATTCACAAATTCTGACTGTAAAATAAAAGAATTTAGAAAATATTTAAACCATATGGTTTCTTGAAGATATAGTATTGTATCAGGGATAGAAACATCACTTTCCCAACTAGATACACACGTAGAACAAAAATCTGTTTGTTTTATGAACTCTACTAATGAGAAATGGCATCCGGTGTTCCAAAAAGTAATCATATCTTATCACTGGCGATTTAATTGACTTGGCGTAGAAAAGGATGAGATGATAGTGATATTTTGGACATTTTGTGGTTATTTAGATTAAGATTAATCATAGTGGGGGAGAATTACTTGTCTGGGTACAATTTGCAAACGGAGTTCGTTGTCCTTGAAAAATAATACATGTTTGTGAACAACTTGTCATCAACATATCGAGCACGCAAACAGATTTGCTCCGGGATGGGCAGAGGTTATATGAATGCCGGGTCAAAGTTACAAACCTACCACCGACCGATGATCATTCATACACAAACATAAATACATAATGAAAACAATCAATTAAAACAAAGATTATCAGGCAATGAAACATACTCCCACCACCAGCTTCGTTTAAAGTGTACAATAAAAGATTTACAGAACAAAAGAGCTAAAATTGGTAAAAAAAATTCATCATGTTTCATCTCGTAAATAAGGTAGATGGTTCACATATAGGCTATAGACAAATCAGTTGTAGCTTGTATATATGCTAACAACATGATGTTCAACCATGTTCAGTATATTGGTATTAAATACTTTGTCCTGGATAGAATTTGAGACAAGACTTTAGAATCTGACTACCATTCAGATTAGTTATGGTGAACCCCGTCTTCAAGAAATATAACTCTAAAAATATCGAGGAAATCGATTTAAGGGATTTAACCCAGAGGGATTTAACCCAGTAAAAGATTGCCTAAAATCGTTCAAAAGCTGAAATTCTCAACGTTATGTTTTTAAAAGGTCGAACACATGAACAATACCGGTGGTCTCTACATTGCTAACAAGAACTACGGACCATGGACCGACTAACGGAAATGAACGACGTCATTATACGACCACATTAACACATATAAACAGTTCATGACAAATCTCGCATCCTAAATCAGTTTAGTTTGGGGACTTCGTCTCAAAAGATTACTCGTGGTTAATTCTAAATCCACTTTTTCAAAACACATTTATTATGACGAACATGTATAAAAATAAGTGAATTGATATATTCTATCAAATCCGGATGGCTCACCATGGGACTAACATATCGTTACAAATGAAAATCGGAGAATTTCTCCAATGCATCAGCGATGACGAATTTGCATTTGCCCAGATTTCGACATGCGATGTAAAATTTGTATACGTGACCTTGTTTATTAAATTTTTATCCGGAGCACTAGATACTGTTTCCCTGTGCTCCACCAGGGTCAAAACATCATCTCCGTAAAAACCCATATGACCACGGGAGCTCCAAGCAGCATTAAACTTGAGCCGATAAGGAGCTGAAACATTTAGCAAGTAGAGAAACCACACAATTTACTTATAAATTTAGTGTTGATCAATAGCTCAGTAATACATAATTTTTAATAGTTTATATGATGTAAAACTTGTGACTTAATGAAACTTTTACGGTCGCTGTCCCGAAGCTCAAATGGCACAAGCGACACCAGGAGAGACAGTGTCACAATCATAAAAATTATGTGTATTGGGTACCATTATATGATTTTGACATTACTATCAGTACACCTCTCACTACTTACGGCTAGTCACCTGAACTTAAACAACAAGTTAGTAGTTGTAATAAATGCTCTAGAGGACCATCATATTCGTTACTATTTATCCTGCATACTAAACTGTCTGTCTACAATTATCTAGTTGACCGATATTTTCAGTCCTACATCGGCGATTTTAGTCGAAAACACTAAGTATACTTCAAGAATTGTGTTGAGGATTTATTCTGCTTCCATTTAAAAAAAATTGAATAAAAAATTTTATTTAGTCTTTGTGTGTATGACAAATTTGAAACGGAGTATAAACGTTTTATAGATTTTTTGGATATGGCGGCCATTTAGGGCAGAGATCTAGAGGAATGAAGTAGATGGATCTCTGTGTGCAGAATGCTTAACTTTGGGTAAGGATTTTATATACTAAAATTACTGAATAATTCGTGACATAGGCCGCCAGTAAAGTCAACTTTAAAGGCCTGCTCACACCAAAGGTTATGCGTTGTGATTTTTCATCATTTGATCATTAGTCTGCGATACATAATGCATCCCGCCAGATTGTCCATGAGATTAATAAAATCTGATTCCACAGAATCTATTCCGTTGGTGTGCACAGTTCTTTATGTTACTGGAGCTGTATCTTATACGCATTAATAAATTTGACATACACTTGAGGCAGTGGAACATTCCACTTCATCAGTTTCATCCGGACAATCAGCAATACCGTCACATCGCCATATATTTGGAATACAATCCTTATTTTGACACTGCCAGGTATTATCGGGACAAGCAACTTTAATATAGAATAAAAATATATATAATACTATTGTTATAACATATTACGATAAGATATCATATTTATACAATTACTATAAAATATTGATATGACACATTACTATATAATACTGATATGACACATTACTGTATAATATTGATATGACACATCGTTATAACACATTACTATATAATATTAATATGACACATCGTTATAACACATTACTATAACATATTGATATGCGAGGTAATACTTAATCTGGACTTTTCGAGTATCGAAAGAGCACATTTATTCAAAATTATATATTTTTTGTTATGTTAATTTGGCCTTACAATAATACTACGATAAGATTAATGTCGCTCAATATCTACAATATTTGGGTGTACGCTTTCGTGAATACAGTCATTGTAACGTGAAGGGGTTGCGGTTTCGCATGTGTTGCAGTGGCGACAAAAAAGAAAGGGAAAATATATTTAGTTAGCGGATAATTTCACAGTATGCCCTACTTGCATGCTTTCCAATTTTATTTTCAAAAGATAGGTTGCCAGACAACAAAACATACGCCCACATCAGCTAAGTCGTCCGAGCAGTCAATAAGCGTTTTCGCATATTGTTTCTTTTGTCAGTAAGACACTAAAAACTGATTACGACTAACAACCCATTAAGTAATTATCAGAAATCATTAGGACCTGTTTCAATTATTTGTTTCATGACCTTAAACACTGTGTATAAATTTATTTTAACTTTAACCTCTATAGCGCGCCCACAAGATTTCTCAAGTGATCAAGGGCCATAAATCTGGCAGTAAATATCGAAAATCGCTGATAAGCAATAGACTCCTTCGTCTCATAACCTTAAACGCTGTGTAATTTTCAATCGGATATTAATTTTAGCCTCTAGAGCGTCCACAAGATTTTTCAAGGTGATCAAGGGCCTTAAATAAATTAATCTGTCAGTAATTATCGGAAACTGTTGAAAATCAATAGGCTTCTTCTATAAATTTATAGTCAATCGGATATTAACTTTAGTCTTGAACTTGTCCCCCTGTGCATAATTTTTCTCATAAGCAGACATACGATAGATGAAAATAGAATAACTAAACACAAGTGTGTTAACAGCTTTTGGGGTTAATGCTACTTTAATAAGGTCATATTTTAGTGCCCCTCATTACCGAATCGAGCTAATATAATGGTTAAATCTAAAAAAAAAATATTTACAGTGACATTCCAGTTCATCTTCATTTGCTGAACAATCTCTCTGTCTATCACAAACATATCTTGTTGGAATACATCTACCATTATTACAAGTAAACTCATCCTGTGTACATCCATTAATCCAAATATTACCTGCACGTCACAAAAATACAAACTAATTATCCTTTTTTTCCCCTAAATTTCGAGCAGTTCGGTTGAATATAATGCCGGGTTTATTTAGGAATACATTTTAAAATTAATAAATAAATTAAACTTTGATAAACAATATAGCACTTCCACAAGGAAAGAAGAACTAACATTACTTTTTTCAAGAATGTAAAAGTTCATCAGTGAAATCAGTTTATTTGCTATTTTACCAGGCATTATCACATACAAAGAACCAACCAGGCAACGGAACCTTGCTGAACCCCTTTGTTAATACCAGTGACTAGGGGGGATTGGATGGTCGAATGGTTAGCACGTGCGCGCTGTATCATAAGGTCTGTCATTGAGTCAACTGGCGTGGTTTCGAATCCCCGGTTGTACGTGACAATAGTACGGTCGCCTGTCCAACCTTAATGTGGATTTTCTCCGGGTGCTCCGGTTTCCTCCCACTGCTAAAGAACCCTACGCGAAAGCGAATTATTGAAATAAAATTGAACCATGTGTTAGTCCCGAAATGACCAAGTTTGTGTCGGGTGGACGTAAAACCTCATTTCTCTCTCTCCCTCCCTCTCTCTCTCTCTCTCTCTCTCTCTCTCACCAGTGATTAAATAGATTGTGAATTCAAGTTACTAAAACCATCATTTTACCATTTCAAAACACTAATGCGTTTATTGTCATATCACTCTGAATAATAATTATGGTGTTCCAATTTAAAGGACAACATTTCAAATATCACAGAGATCATTGCTACGATAGATGTGTAACGAGCGATTACAGATACATGTCCGAATTCTGCTCACTGATAATTCCTTCGAAGACGAAAAGTTGTTATATGAGACTGTGAGAGGATAGCTGCAATTGTAGAAAAAACCCGTGCATTACCATGTTTTTATTAAGCATAGAATAAATAAACAAAATAATTGAATGTACGGGCCATTTTTATTTTTCTCGTTTTCTCTTATCTAGTGGCATTCAACTATTGTTTTGGATTGTCAGATATCCTTTCACAGTCTCATATAACAACTTTTTTGTCTTCGAAGGAATCATCCGTGAGCAGAAATTCGCCCGTGTATCTGTTATCGCCCGTTACTTCGGTCAGTTATATAGACGGATAACTCTTGTTTTCTATTTTTTGCGCCACTTCCGTTTCTCCAAATCTTCGTTACGCATCTATCGTTGCAATGTGATAATGGCTGACACCAATATTGTCCTTTAAACCTTGATACTAAACGAGATAGAGGACACAACAATCAGGCAACAGCCAGTACTTTTTGACCAGATTTAATAAATTGTTTTTAGATTCACAGTTGGCGCGACCTTGAGACAGTAGTGAAAATTTCCCTAACGTTTATTTCAGTCATAGTAAACAACAAGGCCAGAACGAGTACAATAATGTTATCTTTTTGGCGTAATGAGTGAACAAAATAAAACTGTCTATTATTAGCCAATTTACGGATTTTTATTAAAATTTATCTTTATAGTAAAATTCAAAATAATTATTTTACAGCATTTTTCAGAAAAGGGTGATTTGAGCTAATCCGGTAATAATTATAGAGGGAAATCAAGTATGCATATATTTTCAAAATTATTTCCAACTATTCTAAATCAATGAGATATAGCTGGCGCGAAACTACTGAAATAGCTGCGACTTAATTTGGCTTTAGAAAGGGTAATGGGTACGTTCGGTAGTTCGTTCGCTCCTTTGTTCGTTCGTGGGCCATCTACTACTGTCAATCAATTTTTTTTATCCCTTGCGGACATTAAAATTCAAACTTGATTTCATTGGTCTCAATTCATTTAAAGTGATATTTTCCATATCTAACCAAAGTAGTTAGATTCAAAAGCACACAAGTTATATCGGTGTTAATCAAGGCGAGCTTTTATCCCCTTTGCTTCTCTGGTTATTCATTAACGATTTTAAAGAGATTTCGCCTAGCGTGTTGGTGATTCTCTTCCCTTTGCGGATGACACGGTAATATTTTCATTAATCTCTACATTTATTGCAATATAAATATGGAAAATAGAGACACATCCAAGATTGTCATTTACAGAGGCCAAATTATTTTAGTGTCTTATGATAATAGTATATTCATAGCACACCAGCAGTACACCACCAGCATGGAGAACAGTATTCCTGGGAATTAAACATAAAGTACAAATTAATTGTGCTCATTGTGTATTAAATGTAATCTTCTTTCAGTCATCTGTATTCATTACCCTAAATTATGCTTGCAGGGTTTGAGGTTTGAACATAGACAAATCAATAGAACGCCTCGGGCCCTCTAAATATAATGTTGAAAGTGGGTCTGAACGTGAGTATAGGACTTGCCTTGCATACATACATTTCAGATTTTGGTCCTTTCTTACTTTACTCAAATTCAAAAATATCTCGTAAACATTAAATCAAATTAGGGAAATATCTTGCGCGCACATTATCGCTGTAAACGTTTTTGTACAAGCTACCCTTTGAAGTTCTAGGCCCATATTGAATCTTGGGGCATAATCAAGGAGTCGAAAACCACACATTTAACATTTGGGGGTTTTTTTTTCAAGAAAATTTAATCAGAAACATAGCTGCCCAATTTGGTTGAAATCTCACAGGTTGTTTAACAGAAAATAAAATAGTTTGAAAATTTCTGAATTTATCAGACTAAGTCGCTCTTAGGGGTCCACGCAATTATTGCAACAAATCTGAATGAGCACCAGCACCAACGCACCATTAATATATCTCAAGCGATTCTGGACAAAACGGCGCAAGCATTAAAGGGTGCAAGACTCTATTCTTTCGAACCTTAAATGAGCCTAAAAGCACATATTAATGTAATATAAATGTATGTAAAGTGATTTATATTCAATTTTCAAGTAAAATCATTGAAATTTCTAATCAGTTATGTTCGGTGAAATCCGCACCCAGACCAAATTGAAAGCCTGTCGTTTTCGCCTTCTCAATCTATTCTACATTATTATTATTTTGTTATTTGTAAATCAGTCGTCACTAATTATTTCTTCATTGTCTTGTAGGATATGTTTTCCATTGTTTAATACAAGTGGCGCCCGAAAACACGAAGTACACGTCTCATGTACTGATTTTAAAAAGTTTATAGGACCCCATATTTTCACGGCAAGATGGCAACATCAATATTGATGGCAGTGGACCAATGCTGAATTCTAATTCGTATTTTTAATTAAGAATATTATGAAAAAGATTGGGTTAGGGGTGTAGCTCCTTTAAACAGGCATTAAGCAAGAGCTAAATCTGCCAATTGCAGGTCTTTCTTTGGTGTGTCCTCACTGTGCCCACTTTTGATTAATCCAATTAAGGTCTAATTAGGATTAGTGGATTAAGCGGATTAGGATTAGGTGTTATAGGTAATTAGATGGAAAAAAAACCCAAATATTTTATGTAATTTTTTTTTTATTTTTCGATGTTTTATATATATTTAATAAAAATATAACATACATGGATATATCATACATCACATTAGCACTTTATAATTTAATGAAAATATAACAATTTTCGATGTTTTATATATAAAATATTTAATAAAAATATAACATACATGGATATATCATACATCACATTAGCACTTTATAATTTAATGAAAATATAACAATTTTCGATGTTTTATATATAAAATATGTAATAAAAATATAACATACATGGATATATCATACATCACATTAGCACTTTATAATTTAATGAAAATATAACAATTTTCGATGTTTTATATATAAAATATGTAATAAAAGTATAACATACATGGGTATATCATACATCACACAAAAACAAGATAAACAATGAAAATTTACAATGTAGTTAAACGGGCTACGCCATCGGCATACTCGAATACAGTCTTTATACCGTTCTGAAGATCTGTTTTCAGAGTTTGGAGTCGGGTTTCTAGTTGCCTGTACTTTCTTCTCTTAGGTCGTAATTTTCCGTTGGCACCTAACTGGAGAATGGTTACTTCGGAGTAAGCTTGTTCATTCTTAAAAAAAGCCACCAACTTGAAAATATTTGGGTGAGGGGTGGCAATAATGGATGTTATCTTGGAATGCCATCCTTCAACATGGTTCGTTGTGCGTGAACCTTCAGTGTGGAAATGGTTCCACATCATTCTGTCATGCTGCCCCTCCACCCAGAACTCAGTTACGTAATCTGCAAATTGCAACACTCTGGCATCTTGGAGTGGTGCATCATCAAGGGCATTCAGCCATACATCTTCAACCTGCTGTATTGGAATTAATGGTAATGCTGCTGCTTGCTTGACGATTTTATTGATTTCTGGCACCCGAGAAAAATCTGCTTGTAGTCCATATTTCTGCGCATTGCGCCAAATACACTGACCAAAGTGAAAAAAACAACCTTTTAGTTCTGACCTCGGCAGCACAGTTCTCACAGCATTTTGCATACTAACTTCGAAATCTGTAAACACATGGCCTGGGTTAAGATTAACATTGACAAGTGCCAATATTTTGTCTCTAACACATCTGAGGAACTCAACACATGTTGCCTCCTTCTTATCGGGTAATAGTGCATACACCAAAGGGAACATTTTATTGTGTACAAAAGCATGTATAGTGTAGATCTGGGTGAATAATGTTTCATCACAGTATATAGTGTCTGCATTGGCGAGATGGTAAAGATTTTCTTGTGTGGAAAACACTAGAAACCTGTTGTCGGCTGCTGCGTGGAGAAGGAAGTCGTCTCCGGATGTGGTCTTGGTGTAAGAATCTGGAAGCTGGATATCGTTGCGGGTCTGAGGAAGTGCTGGGAGGATCTTTGCTCGGGCTCTATACAGGGAAGCACAGCAACTATAGAATGTTGGAATCTCTCTGATCATCTCACCTGAGTCACGGTCAGATCGAAGGGCTGTAAACAAACAAAAAGAAAATATTTATTATACATATTATATCAATAATACTCGACCAGACACTCGCTTGGTTTGTTACGGAAGAACATGTTCAGTATGCTTTAACGTTGAATCATTTAAATCAACGGCACACAACATTAGAGATAAATACATACCTGATACTTCTTCTTAATAGATGGCACAGACTGGTTTGGTTTCCTCTTGCACCTTGGTTTTCATGGCAACGAGAAATTTGTCGACTGCCACCTTGTGTGGGTTAGCAACATGGTTGTGGTTTCTGGAATATTTGGTAATAAAACCTTGGTGGGTGTTCAGGGTTGCTGGACAACCTTTTATACAACATCTCCAGTATACTCGTTCTGCCTTCCTATTCTTCACTCGGAATTTGTATTCTTCATGGACTAAGTTTTCTCCACCTTGAGCATTGGGGATGTACTGGATGTTTACTTGAACGTTTGCCATGATGAAATATGACAGACTGACTTCTGTGTGTCCTTATAAAGACCGTGTAATGTGTAGGCTTACTGAACATAATTCATATTATATTCAAGTGTCATTTTTTGAATAAAATTCATCACTTTAACGATTACAGTGAGTTCATCTCACCAATTATAAGACTGAATATTTAGTCACTTTCAATATTTGTTTTTTTCCATCTAATTACCTATAACACCTAATCCTAATCCGCTTAATACACTAATCCTAATTAGACCTTAATTGGATTAATCAAAAGTGGGCACAGTGAGATGTAACCCTTTCTTTGGGCCTTAAATGTTGTTTGAATTATTAATTAGACATTTATTAACATGACAAGACCATAATTAACTCTTGGTGCCATCGGATGGCTCCGATTTTAAGTAAATTAGAACGGCTCGGCTATTTAATTATTTAATTCAAAAATTGAGAAACCGGGCTAAGACTCGAATGGCCAGTACGGTGGTTACGACCAATGCACATATCTTGTCAATACTACAACAATTGATAACTTCGCTCAAAATAAAGTAATTTGAATGAAATTTTCAATATATTCATTTAGCATTATCTATTTTTCAAATATTATAGCGAGAACGGCCAGTTCTTTAATTAAATCTTACATAATGCCCCCTTAAGAAAAGCGTTAACAGACGACATACAAGGTGTATAACAAAATAGCACTATCTGTTTCTCTCTAGACGTCAAATGTGTAATATTTCAACACTTGCAGTTGACAACCCATCATCACTATCACAAATTCAATATAAATTAAATAGGTTGAAAAATTTAAAAAAAAAAAAAAAAATAGATCACCCCAGGCTTGTTGGTAGTTGAGATAAAACCAAAATATTTCCCCCAAATGTCCCTCGTCAATAATCTTTTAATATTAAATATTCCGTTCCATATAAATAAGGTTTTTTTTCCCTTTTGCTCAAATTAATTATAACCAAATAATTGTGACTAATATGTAGGTATGTAGGTCATAACGTGTGATGGAACTCTTGCTAATTCATTATGTTTGTCAATATAATACAATATTTTACTGTTTCCTTGTATTAAACAGGGATCGAATCTTTAACAAATAAGAGTTCCCGAAACTTGCACTTGTGTCCAGTCTGAAAGAAATTGGGTGGGATATGTCCATGCTTTATGTGTTGAAGACACATCTTTTCTTATATGAATATATCGGAAATGGGGTTTACAGACGATTAAACCAATCTCTAAATTTGCAACGTTATGTAACGTTTATGTAGGATATCAAATCTAATTAGTTTTATACTTAGGTTAAGTATCGAATGTTTTTTTAAACTTGATGTGCTTAGAATGTTGAAGGACAAATTTCGGTGTTTTGATCACAGATCTTCTGCCACATGTCTATCATATCGGACAAATTCTAAATAAAATCAACCAATTTATCCCTTTTATATTTACAGTCGTTTCTAGGACATGTCTTAAATTAGGTAACAAAAACATAAACACAAGTTAAATGTAATGAAATGGGGGTTAATGTCTACTTTTGCTCATCAATCGGGCTAATGAACACTTGCATGCATGCAGTGTGCTATGGTGGGAATTTATCGAATTCCAACTGTCAAATGGGTTTTTTTTTACGTTTCACCTAAAACGCTAGTCCCCTTTCTTTCTACGCCCTCCGTTCTGCACCACTGACAAAGGGAAACCAGACCGGTTTAATACCAGGATTTAATCAGTGGCCCCGACCTGGTTAGCTAGCCAGCCTTACTACTGAGCCACCGTGGTTCTACAAAGATTGCAAGATATCGGTATATGATTGTACACTTTTGTACGCAAGAAATAACATCCATTTTGACCTGACTTTAATTTCAAATTTCTAATTTTTTAACTACACTGCGATTGCATCCATAGAAAGAGAAAAGCATTTTCACCGATACTCATTGAACAAATATTAGAATTTAAAACATCTTACCGTTAAGAAAGAGAATAAGCATAGCCCACCAATAATAGCGGCATGACAAGGAGAAAAATAACGTCTGCATTTTGCAACCCGTTCATCGACAACAGACCATTGGGATAATGTCATCTATCTAACTAAAATGATAGACATGCACTCGTCTGAGCTCTCTGGGAGTTTTCACCCACCTTATTATTAGGATCAGTTTTAGGTCAAAAATATTTTGAGGGTAAACTGTCAAATAGTGTATTTAGTGTGAGATGTCCATTTACACTTCTGTTGCAAAACAAAATTTTTAGACCGACGAATTAAACTTCCGGTCGCTTCACTGGATTGTCGCTGCAATGACCCTTCTCTTTTCAGCACAGGAAGCTTGTTGTGACATTAATGAACAAACAATTTACCCAGCCCCTGAAGCTCATGCTTAGCGTGGGCTGGTCAGCAGCTATCTACCTATTTCCCGGTGGCCCTGACAATGTAACGGGTGTCATTATTCTGGTAAGACTGCACCATAACTCACACCTAATCGGGTATTCCCGTATGTAGATGGTCAATTTGTTTCTCGCGTTCACTTTCCTGCAATTTGACTGGACCTTACTGGCAATTTTCCTCGAATACACTGGTCTGTAAAATTATTCTATATGCAACTCCTAGTATACTAACTACAAACAACTACAAACATATAATTCATTATTCAGTTTCTTAACGTTTTATTGACACTAAATACTTATAACAAAAATATTTTTATATAATAGAATTAAAATTTAGCCCCTGTAGTAACACGTTTTTAATGAGGGTACTCTCACTGTTGGTGATGGTTTTGATTAGTCACACCTATTCTAAATTACAATCCCAAGCAAATCTATGGTGAACTCAATAGCTGATAATCTACATTAAATTTGGCAATTTACTCTAAGTTTGTCAGGTCCCTACACAGAGCCAAAAGTCGAAAGTTAAAAACGAGGCCAACACTAGTAAAATATGAAATGAATTTATGTCGAGTCACAGTTGATTTCATCGGAATTATCGGGACAATCGCCATCACCATCACATCTCCAGCTTTGAGGTATACAATCCAAGTGGTCAGCTGACTGACAGGCAAATTTATGACCAGGGCAAGTACCTGAAGAATAAATATTGTGAATAATTAAAATAAAATATAATACTGCGTAAGTAAATGATTTCATTTGTTTCTTGTGTAGAAGTGGGTGAGAGGGGGTCGTAAAAATCTAAATCACCAATACCCAATCCTGGCCATTTTATAGTTCGAATTTTAGTGACGATGTTCCGTAAATAATGACAATTTCCAGGTCATCGAGAACCAATCAATTAGTAACATGTGAAAGAGCGCTGCTGGCTAGCTAACATGGGGGTCCTGGGTTCGATCCCTCTGTTGGCCCCGAAAGTTCCTCGGGATTTTCCGATGAGGTCAGCGATCCAGGAACAGTGCCTAGTCGTTCTGGTGGAAATAAAGACCGGGGTCCCGCGTAGACATTGACATGCACGTGAAAGAACCCCTGATAGTTGGAATTCGAAATGAGTAGGCCGTACTTCCATCATAGCACACTGCATGGCGTATACACATCTTCATTAGACAGGATGAAACCGAAAAGTAGGGCGTTTTAAAACCCTATTTCATTTCCTACTGGTCAAGCAAAATTTCTGGGAAAAGGTTGCAATGTGTAGACAAAAATAATCATAGGCGTACGAGCCAGGGGGCAGGGGGAGGGGGGGGGGGCAGCTGCCCCCCTAACTTTCGGGCAATCTGACTTTTCGGGGGGTCCTAACCCGAATTTTTTCGGGCATTTCGAGTTCTGCCCCCTAACAGTCAGCGAGCCCGTACGCCTATGAAAATAATCTCGGGATCTCTAGTTAATGTGGGGAGGTGGGGGTGGATGGCTGAATGGTTAGCGTGAGCGCGCTGTATCATAAAGTCTGTCATTGAGTCGACTGGCGTGGTTTCGAATCCCCGGTTGTACGTGACAAGGAGTAGGGTCGCCTGTCCAACCTCGTGGGTTTTCTCCGGGTCCTCCGGTTTCCTCCCACTGCTAAAGACCCCTATGCGCAAGCGAATTATTGAAATAAACTTAAACCATATGTTAGTCCCGAAATGACCTAGTTTGTGTCGAGTGGACGTTAAACCCCATTTTTCTCTCTCTCTCTCTCTCTCTCTCTCTCTCTCTCTCTCTCTAGTTGATGTAAAAACGGATACAAACGGGGAATAACTGTTACTTTAAGACATTATCCGGACAGCACATTGTGAATTTTATCAGAAAAACAGCGGTTATGCCGCCTCTCTTCCATATTAAAAAACAATTAGTTTCTTCAGATCGTCCACTGTATTTTCTTTCTTGACTACTTGTTGGGAAAATTTTTATACCAAACACTCACTGACGGGACAATTCCTTTCGTCTGCACCATTTCTACAGTCTTCATCGCCATCACACTTCCATTCCATGGGTACACACTGTCCATTGCTTCCACAATGAAAAACATTTCCTTCACATGACACTACATAATAATATAAATATAAATAATAAACTGCGAAAGCTTGATACCAGGGCTAGTAAAAATAATGTACTGACTACTGAGAGTGACGGGCAGATCCTATTTCTAGAACTGGTTAAACCGTTCATCTATTTATTTAGTTCATTATATACAGTGGTAATAGTCCGACAGCAGGTCGACAAACCTGGAAATATAGTCCACCTAATGTTTTTTGATGGATTATATATCTTCAGTATGTGTAGATTCTGAATCCGGATGATGCCACCCTGACACCCATGGGGAAATTTAAGATGGCCGCCATGAGGCATTTTCTGGTATTTAGTGGGGTAAAATATGTGACAGATTCTCTCGGACCACGGTTTGAAGATGGGTTTTATAAGAATTCGACAACTATATTATGCACAATGCTATAGACAACGGTATGCACAGTGCTATATACAGCGCTATTCACAACAGTGTGCACAGCGCTATGCACATAGGTATACCCAGTACACAATGGTATACACAGCGTTATACACAGTTTTATGTACAATGGTATACACAGCGTTATACACAGTTTTATGTACAATGGTATACATAGCGCTATACACAACAGAATATATTATCACGATCTGTAGTGTATACTATTAGTGGTAGATCTTGGTGATTCTAGATTCAAGACGAGGGGGGGGGGGGACCAACCTTTTACGTTCCATGTGCAAAAATATTTTCAGTACGACATAAGATGTACGTACGACATACCTCCAAAGATTAAATTAAGAAAACATGTTAACAGATTTAGAAACATTATTTACCACAATGATTCTATTTTGATTTCGCCAAGCTGTTAAAAGTTGGGAGTCAAATCAGATCATCATTATCATGTGAAATGTGCCATCTGTTCCATAGGTTGGCTACCTTTGACATAGGCCATTCAGCCCGCGACTTACAGATTCGAAAGAATACTTTCGGTAATCGTACAGTGACGTATCTACGAAAAATGGCGCCTATGACAAACTCTATCTTAACATCTAACACCCAATGTATTTTTTTAGGTAGCTTTACCATGAAATCAGCTCAAAATTACAGGTCAATTTCTTTTAAGTAACAGATTATGGCACTAAATGAAAATTACAACTGCACCTTCCCTGATTTCAGTTTCTTATCGTTCTACACTCAGCTGAGCAAGATCACAGAGTCTGCCTTGACACAAGGAGGCTTACGCAGTAGAAAGGGTCTTTCTGCCAGTAACTCTGAGTGACATCCATTGCACGTATTGTACCTGTCATATCGTGGATATCCCACTGACTACATACATATAGCTTAGAAGAAATGGAGTTCACTTACATTTTCTTGCGCATTCTGGTGTCACTAAAACCCCTAATAAGACAATAAATCCCAATAAAAGATGCGTAATTTGACAAGTTAACATTCTACTCTCTACTGTATCCGCACTACCGATCTCAAAATTATATCTTGTAAATAAATCATCAACGTCTATGACAACGGTATAAGTTTATATTTTAAACCACTTTTTTTCTTTTATTTTTTTTTTAGGAGAGAATCACGCCATGTTTGGGTATATTGTAAGTTTATTCGATTGTTTGGGGTGAAAGTTGCATGTAAACTAGTGTAATGAACCAGATTTCTAAAAATATCAATGATATACCTTCAACGTAATTGGCCAAAAGATATTTTTAAAGCGGCATTTTGCTCTTTTATATTTGGAGATCTTTTCCAGTTGGTATATGTAATTTAATACTCGATTCGACCCATTTCGAATACGAAGTTAAATCGAGGGATTCATCAGATTGTATTTTAGACATGTCTATCGACCATCACTGAATATAGACATTATAACTTTCAATTTATGAGTCCTACAATCTTTTAAGTACTCGCATACACACAATATGCACTCGGAGAACTATATACTTTGAAAATAGATTACTGCCCTGTTTGGCCGCCATATATTCAAAAATTAGTATACTATTTTGTAATGCGGTTGTAATCGATTTTACACCCTTCATACACACAAAGACTAAATACATATTATTAATTGTATCAAATGGAAACATTGTAAATACTTCTCAAAATTCTCAAAGCATAGTTAATGGATTTAGGAATTAAAATATGGGTCAACCAGCTACGGGTCTGTTACTTTCGTCTGCATCATCTATAATATATAGATAAAGACAGCGTTAACTTATTGCCAATTTTGTGTCCCACTGTCTACTTAGCAAAAATTAACTGAAATTAGTAAACAAATTTTAATCGACCTGCGCTTAATTTTTGAAAACAAAAATATATTCGTATATCTTTTTAATATACCAGAGCTTGGATTAATCGATAATAACCAGAGCGAAATTCAATATATTTATTTTCTTGATGAAAATTTACGATACCCCTTTAAGTTTAAGTACTAAAACATTATTGATAAATTTAATGCGGCTAAAACTCCATGACATTGACATGACGTCACCTACATTTTTCATTTCTCTCTGTTTTTAAATTTGAGCCAAATCTGACGCAACATGAACGTAAAACACATAATATTTTGTCATTTCAATTTGTGTTGATTCTTGATGGATAACGTTGTATAAAATAAGCCTATTCTATTTCAATTTTTGACAGAAAATCAACCATGTTAGTGGAAGTCAGACGTTATAGCTCAATTTATTTATAACTATATTATTAGTATATTGGCAGCTCAGAATCTTCTGGTCACTCTCATGGCCATGTACAAATTCTGCGTTTACGTCACTATTGCTAGTTTGTCTAGAGTGAAATACGTATCTTAAAGCTGAGAAAGGAAAGTAAAGGGGTGGTGTTTATCGATTAATACTGACATCGTTATTTTCATATGGTCACGTGCGTAAAGCTTGTGAAGAGCATTTTGCCCAGACAGTGCCGTTTCCGCTTACTCTTTATCAAATTCTGACTGTTATGGGATCTTTTACATGCATTTTGACAAGTACATGAGAATGTATCGGTTTTCGTCCCATCCGGGCGACTACTCAACACTTTAGCTGTCCGCTGGGCACGGGAAATGGGCTCGGAAAACCCCCGAGATTCTTCAAGCTGGAACACTGTAGTCGAAAGCCCAGTTCCCTTAACGCTGGAATACGATTAAAGCCAAGAACGGTTGTTGCACAAGAACAGCGTCAGAAACAGTGTATTCTGTGTATGGGTATTAAAATATAAATTTACTCTACAAGAAATACCAATAAGTGATTATTTTGAAATAGATGGTCTCCTCATATATTCCTGCCATCGACTGCGGTTTTGCCAGACATAAACACGTTGAATGACTTTGGCCGAATTGTCTCATTAAATCGACACTTCGTTTTTTAGTGTACCGATTTGTCTACATGTTAAAGTCTTGGCCACCCAGACGGGTTTTCGGCAAAATAATTTCTTTCACGTGAACGAGTTTAAACAGTCACGTGACAATCATATGACTATCATTTGTGTAATTTTTACCGGCTGACTGCTGATAAACTGACTCAATTAAATCAGGCAAACATGTTGTTAACGAAGATTGACACAGCAGTTTTTGTAACTGTTTTATTAGTAGCAAAATGTACAGCTACAATTCCACATTTTTTACACGGTCGTCCCAAAAATGGTATGTTGGGAAAACCAAAAGCAAGAGACACGACTGCACCACTGCCACAGGATCAATGGTTTGAACAAAAAGTTGACAATTTTAATGATGCCAACACAAAGACTTGGCAACAGGTACAGTATAAAGTGTTTTTTCTTCTGAATATTGTATTTGTTCTAGCTGACACAATGCATAATCTAAAAGGGAACACAAGAGCTCTGAACTATTCTGCAGTACCGTACCTTATGACACGCGAGGGGTGGGTGGTCCGGGGCCCAAAATAGTCAGAAATGACATCTTCGTTATCTCTCCCCAGATATGTACATTTCACAACTTCTGCGATCACAAACTGTCACTACAACACTTCAATATGAAGATCTGAATATTTGCCCGCCCCCCACACCATACTCCTCAATATCCTGGAAAACCTGAAAAAAAAACCTTTTATTTACTAATCATGCACAGGGATGTAGAATAAAGGAAAACAATGCTTCCTTTGTCTTCATAATCCTTCAAATGATCTCAATAAGACCATCAACTAATGAAACCAATACTTCGTTTTTAAAGGATTAAATTGTACATTAATGCTATCGACATCTGAAAATAATATTGTTAATAAAACATGAAAAGATATAATTTTATTTTTTCCAGAGATATTTTGTAAATGACCAGTTCTATAAAGAGGGAGGTCCAATATTTATTATGTTAGGAGGCGAGGGACCATTAGCCCCTATATGGATGGTAGAAGGAGCATGGATTAATTATGCTAAAACATTTAATGCTATGTTGTTTTCTATAGAACATCGTTTTTATGGCAAGTCACACCCTACTATGTAAGTATCTATGGGCTCCATTTTAACACTAATTTTCAGCCCTAGCTATACTATACATTCAAATACGATACAGCTAGGCTAAAATTTAATGAAAATTGGTGGGACTGTTCATTTGGGCCAAAGATGAAATTAGGATTTTTTTTATCGCAAATAGACACAGTTTATCAAAGATACATTCCCACATACAAACTGGGTGATTTGATGATATATTTGGACTAAAAACATATTCAAATTAATCAATTTATCAAAATTTTGCTTCAAATCCTTCTCAAAACATTGTATTAGCTGTCTATTTATCATAATATCATTGCCTAATTAAATTCTTCTATTATCCATTGCCCACATCTTTTTCAATTTTTTTTATCTCAGAAACTGCTGTACGTTTCAGCTCACCATCAAGTTTATCAACATATACATCAAGCACTCACTAGCGCTGGGAGATCATACCATCTTCACATGCAACCTTTGATATCACTCGAGTAGACATCCCTAATCGTCCGGTTGCCGTTACGGAAACCCTTACATTTTTGTCCTGCAGACGCTCCATGGGTGTTTTTCAGGGTATCCAGTATCTTTCTAATAAGATTGGATGTTTCTACTTTCCATACAAAATTGCCATAGTTTTAGTGGAAAGTATCTTTAAAACTTAGCAAAAATTTTCATCGGGGCATTAAGAAGAATTTATTGAATATACAAATGTTTGAATCATAAGTTTGCTTCTGGTTGTCATTTCATGGATTTTGAATCACAAAATTGTGTATCACAAAATAGTGAAAGTTGAATCTCTAAAGAATATCAGTCCATAAATTATCCAGTTTTTTTTCCATATTTACAAGAGATGTGACGAAATGCAAACAAGCCAGCATCACATATAGGTGTTGGGTAAAATATTCTGATTAAATCCATGTCAGATTATCTGCAGTTGATATTTGGGTTTTGTTTTCTTAGTAAAATATTTCTTATATCTACCGGCCAGCCTCTGCTACTCTTTTAAGGGAGTGTTGCTGTTCCACCTCAATTTTTCCTGCTAGTGAAATATATATCAATCAATTTATATATTGTCCAAAAAATAATATATTGACTAACTAATACCAAAGAAGATCAGTAGTTTTAAATACATAGGAGATATACTTGCTACTTGCAAATAATTGTTGAAATAATTATATTATTTAAAGGGATATGAGTACAGAAAATCTTCAATACTTGAGTAGTGAACAAGCATTAGCAGATACTGGTAATTTTATACAATATGCTAAACAGAAATATGGTCTGTATGATAATAAATGGATATCTTTTGGTGGATCTTATTCTGGTATATATATTATTAGTGTGTCTTATATTCAATACATGTATTTTAATTACATTTTATAAGAACCTTTTTTAGAAGGATCTAGCAGGACAGGTCATTCAAATTATCCATTTACATTTATTTATCGTTCTATGGATTTACTGTTTTTGATAGACAATGCAGTCCAACTGCTTTACAACTCACAGAACTCATGGGCTTTACATTGACATTACAGGAAAGCAAAATTAAGCTAAATTGCAAGATACTTTAGGTACTTTCAGAGTATTCAACTCAAGTTTTATCTTTCCCATAAATTATAGCTATGAAAAGAAGCTAGATGTTGAAAAATTTGGAAAAGGTATGGAAAAGATTAAAGTATTATATGTAAAACTATGCTTCACTTTACAGGGATTCTTTTACCCATCGGCAGTAGTTTCAGTAAGGAGTTAATTCATCACAGTCTTGGAATCTATATTTAATATGTTAACAATGTTTAATAATATTCTTTCAGGTTCTTTATCAGCATGGTTAAGATTAAAATACCCACATTTAATATATGGTGCAGTGGCTACAAGTGCCCCATTACTAGCATTGATTGATTTTAAAGGTATGTTTACACTGTTAAGGCCTGTCATTGAGTCTACTGGCGTGGTTTTGAATCCCCAGATGTACGTGACAAGGAGTACAGGGTCGCCTTCCAACCTCGTGGGTTTTCTCCGGTTTCCTCCCACTGCTAAAGACCCCTACATGCAAGCGAATTATTGAAATAAAATTAATGAATATTATGTTTCCATGGAAACAATTTTAACTTTGTATACCAATGTACAAGATGTTGATGACAAAGTCTTTTTGTTTGAATTGTCAATCACAGTGGCAAAGCACTAGCTGTCTGGATGAGTGTGTGACAGCAGACCAAAGTTGTGCTATCATGGTTGGTGATACAGCTGCCCAGTACTCCAGCGTTCATCTATTGAACATAAATGTTCACAGCACATGTTTTCTCAATTTTGTTAGCTTATCTTGGTGTAACAGAGGCATCACTAGGAACAACAGGACCAGCTTGTAATACAGAAATTAGTAAAGCTACAACTGCTGTAGAAAGTCTAATAACAACAGACAGTGGTAGAATGAAACTAAAAACTATGTTCAAGTAAGTTTCTTAAAGGCTGGAATTTAAATACTATGAAAGATGTTATTTAAGGATTGAATCAGACATTTTATTTTGTATTGATATGTATCTTTGATTTTCCAACCTGGTTTCCTTTTGTCATTAGGGTTGGATGGCCGAATGGTTAGCACGTGCGCGCTGTATCAGAAAGCCTGTCATTGAGTCAACTGGCGTAGTTTCGAATCCCCGGTTGTACGTGACAAGGAGTAGGGTCGCCTGTTCAACCTCATAGGTTTTCTCCGGCCCTCCGGTTTCCCCCCACTGCTAAAGACCCATACGTGCAAGCGAATTATTGAAATAAAATTAAACCATGTTAGTCCCAAAATGACCTAGTTTGTGTCGAGTGGATGTTAAACCCCATTTCTCTCTCTCTCTCCCTTTGTCATTGCTGCAGGATGGAGAGCCGTCTTCATAACTCAGTAGGTGCAGAAAAGTAGCATGTTAACTCTATTTGATTTCATTAATTTGATTTCATTATGATTTATATTTTTAGTTTGTGTGAAGACATAAATCCTGCCAATATATATGATGTAGCTAACTTTTATTCTCTATTAGCTGGTAATTTTGAAGGTGTTGTACAGTATAATAGAGACAATAGAGATTTCGAGGTATTTATCAAAGCCCTGCCTTTATAATATTAGAGCTGATAACTATTGCATAGTTAAAACAGAGGCAAATTGCAAGTATGCATTGACCTAATAAATGACACAGGTTAAAGTTGCCAAACTAATTGGGTGAAACTGCAAGAATCAATGACAGTGGAACAATTTTAACCATTGTCTCAAAAAGTTGCCAAACTTCTGTATTTTCCTTGTATCACCACATTTGAAATGGATAATATCACTGTCTTGTTGTGGAATCAGCAAGTTTGAAAGCCATTACTTTCTATTAATCTCTATCTGAACTTGAATAATTTACAGGGTGGTGCAGGTGGCATACAATATATATTTTATATACTGATAGTGATGATAGCCTTTAACTCTTATAATATATTTATTACACAGTGGTGTAAGTGGTTACAATATTTAGTTTATATACTGAAAAGCATGGTCGCCAACTCTTAATACATATTCATTAGAGGGTGGTGTAGGTGGTATTACTGTGGTAATGTTAATTATAATATTTCATATACTAGCAATGATATAGTCATCAACCCTTGATATATATTTATTAGAGGGTGGTGTAGGTGGTAATGTTAAATAAAATATTTCATATACTGGTAATGATAGTTGTCAATCCTTGATATATATTTATTACAGGGTGGTGTTGGTGGTAATATTACAATAGATACTCTATGTGGTGTGATGAATGATACTTCTAGAGGCAGTGCTATTGAGAGGTATGCAGTAATAAACAGTATGATGTTATCAACATATGATGAAAAATGTTTAGATATTAACTATAACAGTATGATTGATGATTTAAAGAAAACTGACTGGAATAGCAGTGCTGCTGAGGGAGGTTAGTAACATGTAAAAATAGATATTTGTTATAATTTCTCCACATAATTTATAAAAATGTTTTATTATCATTACCATACACGCATTAGCTTATTTGCATACAAGGTCACTTTTACAGAAACCAATCTCTGGTGTTAATCTTTTCTCATTTGACCCACCCTTCTTGGATACTGTACAGGAAGTTATTGATGGAAGTTGGTATAGTCATGGACCTTATTATAAGGTCCATGGTATAGTGTCATATATTGTAGTGTGATGAGTTTATTTTGGGCTATACTATATACCGGAAAACACCGGAAAACAACTGGAAAACACCGGAAAACTACCAGAAAACACCATGTTATACTGAATACCAGAAAACACCATGTTATACTGAATACCAGAAAACACCGGAAAACACACTAAATACCGGAAAACACACTAAATACCATAAACCACCCTAAATAGGTAACCCGGAGAAGGGCTATACTATAAACTGGAAACTAACCCTAACACAGAGGACCAGGCTCCCGGTTACCTATTTAGGGTGCCAATCTCCGGGTTACCTGTTTAGGGTATTTTCCGGTATTTAGTGTGTTTTCCGGTATTTAGTGTGTTTTCCGGTATTTAGTGTTTTTCCGGTGTTTTCCGGTATTCAGTATAAAATGGTGTTTTCCGGTATATAGTATTGACGTTTATTTTCATCATGACTAATGGAGGATAAATACTTTACACAAAATATTCATATTTCAAATATAACTTAAAGTCTCCGGTCGTTTCTGGATTTGTGTCTGAAGACATTTTATTAAGTACTAGTATATTTGAACTAATCTTATAGAAATATTCTTTTATTGCCAGGTCGACAGTGGTTGTATCAAACTTGTACAGAATTTGGATTCTTTCAGACGTCCGATTTAGAAGACCAGCCATTTGGACACGGCTTTCCACTCAAGTAAGATATTGCTTTTATGACTTTATTAAGACTATATTTATATAAAACTGGTGGCAGAGGTAACCATAAAGAACACAACTTAAAGGCAACATAAAGAACATGCATAAAAATGGAATGTGCATGAAGGTCTTGTGTTTTGATACACCAAAAACAGATTTCATCTAAATCCATTCATCATAATTAATTGAAATATATTTACCCAAAGTTTAGGCAATGTTAAGCTATTTTTCACTTTGTATTTGTTGATCAATAATTATATATTTAATTTTTGTATCCTGTTGTTCAGAATGAATAATACCTGCAATAATTGGAAATATTAAGGGTGTGAAATATAGTTAAATCAGTAAATTGTGATATTACCTACGGGTATACATAACAAGTTGAGATATCTACAAATAATATTATATAAATACTAAATACAGTTATTGTTTAGAATGAATGTCCATCACAGAGTTTTTTTTTATCTGATAAATGTTGATATCACTCAATGCGACAATTTTAGCTGCCTGCAAGAGAAAGGGGGAAGTGGGTGCTTGGTGAAAGAGAGTAAAATGGTTGATTGTTATTCACACTTATAGTATAATGTGTAGATAGAACTGTGTACTCTTACATTGTTCATCAGAAAATAAATACATCCTATATTAATAACTTCTATGTTCAGTATTAGGAACAGTTATTTTATTTTATGAAATTGGTAATAAACCAAAAAAATAAGTCCCTTTAGGAGATGGTGACGAGGCAGCAAGATTGGAGAGTCAAAGATTGCAATAAAAATGGATTTCTTACTACTAAGTAAAATGTTACTGTTGATTAATTACTTACTTACTAATTTTGATTGATTCGTTAGCAGAATCTTAAACTCTACATTACTGATACTCATTTGATTTGAATTATTTACAAGAACAATCCAAACTCTACATTACTGATCCTGGTTTAATTTGAATTATTTACAAAAGCAATTCACACTTGACTTCAGATAAATGTGAATAATCTAGCTTGTTGAAGGAAGAACCAACTTTTTCATTTATTCTAAAGTATGTAAATAATTGGAACTAGATTGGCCTTTTTAACTTTTTGAAACACATGTGTAATTTTATTATTTTATTTTTAATTTTTGTTTTACTTCAATAGTTTTTCAGTTCAACAGTGTATGGATATTTATGGTTCTCAGTTTAATGCCGATCTGATAACTAAAGGAATAAATAGAACTAACACCAACTATGGAGCACAGAATATCAAAGCATCAAGAATTGTATTTCCTAATGGCTCAATAGATCAGTGGCATGCCTTAGGTAAACTTGTAGATTTACCAGATGGAAGTGTGGCTATTTTTATAAACGGTATGCTATTTTATAGTCTTTGCATGCATCAACAATTCTTCTAAACACACATTCTTATTTCATTTATTTAGAATATTGTAAATATCTATCCAAATTATCCTTTAACACATTCATTGTGCATATTAACAAATCAAGAACATCCATTTATTTAGAATGTTGTAAATATCTATCCAAATTATCCCTTAACACATTCATTGTGCATATTAACAATCAAGAACATCCATTTATTCAGCTAAAACAGCACAAAGTCTAGGTAGAGACTTCCATTCACTTTAATGAAAACATACCTGTAATGAGAACATACCTGTATCTGTCGTATATGTACACCTCCAAATTCATCTTAAGTAGGCATCCTATTCCTTCACTTCAGGGAGATATCCCTTCAGAGCAAAAAAACTGATAACATGCTTTCAGAGGACCATAGGTTCGAGGATTCGGAAGACCTACCTAGTCATCTGGAACAGTTTTCCAGTACATGCAGAAGATTCTACCTGCTATCAAGAAATATTTGGTATTCATAAAATCAAAAAATGATCAGCATAAAAACAGATTATTTTTATTTTGAAGTCATTTCATTATTCAACCAGCACATTATTTGAAATTTAAAATTCTGTGAAATATTTAATCACTGTGAAATTTATGGTTGTTTCCAGGTACAGCCCATTGTGCAAACATGTATCCACCAAGACCAGAAGATCCAGAAGGACTTGTTCAGGCTAGAGAAATAATCAAAGACTTGATTGGAATTTGGACCTTACCCTTGGCTTAAAAAACTTAACATTGGCTTAAAAAATTTACCTCAATTTAATATTTAATAAACAAAATTATTAGTTACATTATTTTTGTAAATAAGATTATAACTGAGAGTAGTATTTGTTTTCACTTTATCTCAGTCTGTTAAATATACTTGTAAAATATATACCGGTTATTTTATATTGGAATACAACTTCACACATCCCTAATAATAGATTGGTTTAGAATGGTCTGTACAAAGTTGTTTACTTGAACATATAAATAAGAAGATGTTCAAGGTCTTCTCATTATCACTACTGTATGTTGTAAATGGTAATCTATAAATTAACTTCATAATATTGTCTCCATACTATATTTGTTCATTCCATAAATTGTGTATTGTTGTAAAATGGTTTTATATTGTTAAGATAAATTTGTCATAAATAATTGTACTGTGTTGTATTTTTATTGACTGATGAGAATGAGAAATGAGAATTTTAATCAGAAATGAGAGTTTTAATCAGGTCATTTTATTTGAATCCCCATCTCTCTCTCTCTCTCTCTCTCTCTGTCTCTGCTTTAGACCATTTAACATCAGGTGTTCCGAACTAGTTGGCATAGTCTGTTTCGCTCTGTATACCCATCATTTTATTTTAGATAACTGGAGCTGTAGTTTATACCTGGATTTTAGAAGCTAAAACTCCTGGGTAGAAGATAACATGACCACTTTGTCAAAGTCACTAGCCCAGTGATTTAAACATAGAAGGACATTCGCTGCATTTTCTTCACTCAAAAAAAAAGAGTCAAATTATACCAAATCCAAAACAGTGTGATTTATTATATACTAAAGTATTTACGAAAAAAAAAATGCACACATATGTTAGATAAGGTTTTATAGACCCCTACGCGAAAGCAGATTATTGAAATAAAATTGAACCATGTTAGTCCCGAAATGACCTAGTTTGTGTCGAGTGGACGTTAAATCTTTAATGAGACCTACCATAGTGCTAGCAAAATTATGTATTTTTATGTCTTACTGAAAGATACTATGGTGATAAGGCGATAATAACACCATGTTGCACAACAATCCAACATCCAAGTCTACTTTGTTGTATGCTCTCCAGTGGCGGCGCCAGCCGTCGGTGATGGAGGGGCAAAGGCACGAGCTTTAACTAGGGGTAGGGGGCCTCCCCCAGAAAATTTTGAAAAACAGGTTGCCGGAAATGTAGCCTGGCAGTATTTCAGGCACTGATCGATGAGGTAAAGTGTCAAACGAACGTACTTGCGAATCACGACGAATCCCACTCAAGAGCGTCAAAGTAGGGAGTCCTCCCCCAGAAAATTTTGAAAAACAGACTACCGGAAAAATGCTGTCTTACAGTATTGTCAGGCACCGATCGTCGAGATAATAGATCTGACCAGATACCGTCCGTCGCCTGATCACTAGTTTATCCGACTAGAGAACAAAATGTCAAACGAACTGACTTGCGAACCTCAACGAATTCCCCTTGTGAGCGCCAAAGTAGCGAGTCCATTTGGGACCTCGCCAAGAAAATTTTGAAAAATAGACTGTCGGAAATGCTCTACAACATGCAAGTTTATGACTGAGTGGGGATGTGGGGTTTATTCACCGTAGAAGGTATTGATTACCGAAACGTATCACAAATACTTTTTTTTATTTTCTAAAATTATTGAGGGGGCAAACAGAGGGCAGACCAGATTAATGGGGGGGGGGGGGCAAATGCCCCCCTTGCCCCCCCCCCCCCCCCCCCCTGGCGCCGCCACTGATGCTCTCACTAATACTGTTGTTATGGCAGGTCAGGCTATGAAAATGGCGAAAATTACATGGCCACCATAGTATTGGAGAAAATCTGAAGTAGCAAGTCGAAAGTCAAGACTTGACAGTAGAAAGTAAAAAGCAGAAAGTCAAAAGTTGATTGTAGAAAGTAGAAATTCTGTCCATGAAAGTAGAATTATGACGATTAAAAGTTGAAACGCTTGATGTTTTTTGCAGATTAAGTTATAGGTTTTTACCATAAAAATACTTTTTAAGATAAGAAGTTTCCCGTTTACTTCAAATTTTCTACTTTTTACTTTTGACTTCCTACTGTTTACTCTGGATTGCAATTTGAACTCGATACTCCGCCATAAAGCACATGTATTTTTTTAATGCCGACTCAAGTCAAAGTACATTGACCCTCTAGAAGTCACAATTTGTATTCAATTTTAAAAACCGTATCAATATATCACCGTTACACCCGACTGAAACTGCCGGACAAAATAGTGTAAAAGTATGTAATACCAAGGTTGTGGACCTCTAGAAGTCACAATTTTTGTTCGATTTTAATGAAACTTGAAATGCATGTTTATAACAATATCGGTCCCTTTCGATATTCGCGCATATGGGACTGTAGATAACAAACCTTAATCTCTCAACCCTCCGTGTTTCGAGATAAGAGATGAGGCCATTGCCTTCAACGTAGCACATGCGGGAGCGATTCGCACCCGGCATTTTTAAACAAAATTGACAATAGTTTTAATCAAAAGAACGATTGATTATTATTATTTATAATATTTCTACCACACACAACTACAATTAAGCATATAATCCTACCTGAAACGGGTACAAATCGTCGTTTTTAAAATCGAGGCGTTAATCCGTTACTAAGACCGCCATCTTTTTAAACGATACGCTGTCACCATGAAGGCGGGGCTAAAGGCTTTTATAAGGGCAATCTAAAGCACAGTAACGATGAATGGATTTCGATGGCGGTGAAATGTCAGACAAAAACAACGCTTCATTAATTTAAACGCGAATATTTGGAGTTAGGCGACAGTTGTGCCACTACATTGGCCTCTGTAAGTTTAATTAATCATAATAGCCTAAACTTATCTTATTTTAAAGATGTTACATGCATTAATAAAGAAATTGAGTTTGCCACTTGGAACTAAAGGCATCCAATCGTAGCTAAAAAGAAACACATCAATATATCTCAACGTTTTTAGCTACGTTCTCGTAGCTAATGGGACTGTAACTTCCTGGATTATGGCCCCTGATTGTACGAAAAATCGCATTTTTTAGCTTGTGGAACCTCTAGAGATCCCAAAATTTATCAGATTTAAAAAACCGTTTAAATAATATATCACCGTTACACCCTAATGATGTCTGAGTTCGAATTTCATGAAAATCAGACCGAAACTGCCCGACATAATGGCTTCTACTTGTACTCAAATAGTGTAAAAGTCTGTAATACCAAGTTTGTGAACCCTCTAGAAGTCACAATTTTTATCCGATAATGATGAAACTTAAAATATATGTTTATATCCAAAAGATCTCGGTTTATTTCGACCATAACTTCCTGGATTATGGCCCCTGGTTGTACGAAAAAAACGCGTTTTAGCTTATTCTCTGTCCATCTCTTGTAAAATGTGGGCGTATCTTGCACGGCAACGCTTGTTGAGATTTGTTTTCAATTTTGCGGGGATTGGTCCAATTAGTACTAAGGAGGAACTCTTATCAGATTATGCATTGATTTTTTAGAGTTAGTGCCCTTGTCACCAAAACCCTATAAAAACTTTTCAAATGGGTATGGATTGTTGGTCTAGGCATAAGGTGGGACCCTTTTGAAATTCAGGGTTGCACATTAATTTCCACAGTTTTACTGCCTTGTAAACCATCTCTACGGGTCATAGTTTTTATTACAAGCTTACAGAGGTGGGTGGGGGCGGGGGGACCTTATCGAAATCTGTTTCCAATTATTCACCACAAAACACAACTCTGCAAACCTGATTGGTTAAAAAATATAATGTCTAACTGATACAACTAAAACAAAAAACACACCCAATGTAACGTAACTGTGACATATACATTTCAGAAGTAAGACACTGAGAACATTCCTTCCTCGCGGAACAATAAATTAGTGAAAAGTAGGGAAAAGGGCAAGTTTTAACGGTAATCAGTAATAAAAACGCACATCAATGACAGTGGACAACGTTCTTCAGCAACTCACATTCGCACGTCGCTAGAATCGCCGAAACCACCAACTAATTCTTCCTGGTTTATTTGTTTGGGAGAAATCAAAACCTCATCATTTTCCATAATATTCAAAATTAAAAACACGAATTAGAATTCAGTATTGGTCCACTTCAATCAATATTGATCTTGTTATCTTGCGATGAACATAATATAATGGGATCCTAATATCTGATGTTTAACGCAATTAACATTTTTTAAAATACAGATGTGACGTCATCCTTTGATGTTGGCGTACCATTATTTCAAATAATCGTATGGGCAATGTGCCAAGTGTAACTAGTTAAAATATTGAACCCGAGTGAGGAATGACGTATTTCATTGCAAAGCACGTGCAAGTTTCTGTATTTTAAGTTGTTTAATGGTCTCCAGCTTAAGACATTGCGTAATATATTATTGTAAAAACACTCGGGCCTCGCGGCCCTCTAGTTGTTACAATATATTACTTAATGTCTCGCTCTAGACCATTAAACAATACATAATTAGTACACGAGTCGTATATATATTCCATAGATAAGATAGTTCCCGGCGCCATTTGCAACGAACAAAGAAAACATATCCTACAAGACAATGCTAGTTACTTCTTAAAAAGAACAAAAAAGAACAATCCCAATAAAATAGGGTATTAATTATCATCGATTAAATAGTCTTTATCGGATCGTGTGGAAATGAACGTTGTCGCCTGCAATGTTTGGCCGAATTGACTTTAGTAAGGCCGAAGTGCCCAGTTACGTAGTGATGGCTTCTGCCTGGTCGAAAGAGACTACGCAACTCCATTCCTGATGAGCGGGCTTTTTGAAAATGGCTGAAAATGATATCGGTGATACGGATTTTGATCTACATCCAAACGATACAGCTGTTAGTATCATTATTGCAAACATAAATAATTACATTTAATGTCTTCCTGTATCATTGAAGGGGCAAACTGTCTGTGGCTATTGTTGTTAAATATTACTAATTAGGCCTAGTAGTAGTATTTACACAATTGTAAACAATTGACATTGTCATTGTTGTATTGTGTCATATGAAATGGTTGTTCTGTCAAATGAATGATGTTCTGCGATAGGCCTACTTATTATTGAGCTATAAACCTCTTTAACTAAATAGTATTCTTTAATATTTCAATATTGTCCATAATTAAAAACACGAATTACAAATAGATATTGGTTCTATATATTATACTATTCAAAAAAAGTAGGGGATATTTGATTTTGGGGGCATAATACTAAAATATGCAAATGACTACGAAAAAAGTCACTATAGAACCTAACAGAAGAAACATTTCCAGTTACATGTGACGCCCAAACGCACCAATAGCTACCGCATGGAATGCAGGTGATGCTTGGGGTCATCATGGGGGTCCAACCCAAGATTTGCACGACTCTGACTTTGAATGTTACAGTCATTGTGGCATTGAATTCCAGGGTGGAAACATCAGTTTAATTGTTTTAGTGACCAGAAAACAAATTTTGATATGCGTCGGCTTACCCAAAATGAAAGGTTACGTGCCCTCGGCATGCTACAGATCGGCACAACACAGGCGGTTGTGGTGCGGACGATGAATGTTTCTCAGTCTGTCATAAGCAGGCTATGGTCCAGATACCGTGATACACAATCTGTACAGGACAGACCACGCTCAGGTCGACCAAGGGCGACAACTCAAGCCCAGGATCGATTTATCCGTACCTTGGCCTTGAGAAATCGTGTCATCACAGCAAATCAGATCAGCGCTCGTCTTCAAACAGACACTGTTGTGAGAGTGAGTGGCCAGACGATTCGGAATCGACTGCATAGGGGTCACCTTCGCGCCCGACGTCCTCGCGTGATCCCTTGTTTGAGAGATCATCACATTCAGGCAAGACGTCGTTGGTGTAGGGATCGTCAACACTGGGATAATCGACGCTGGAGCAATGTGATGTTTTCAGATGAGTCAAGGTTCACTGTTGATTTTTTGGACAGACGTAGGAGGGTGTGGCGTCGTCGAAACGAGCGCTCCCAAGACGTTAACGTCATCAGACATGATCGATTTGGGGGTGGTTCTGTTATGGTGTGGGGAGGCATCACTGTTGCTGGAAGAACGGCTTTACATGTTGTTGCAGGGCGTGTTACAGGCCAGTACTACCGGGACAACATCTTGGCAGTCCATGTTGTGCCGTTCGCACGACGTCATGGCCGCCGTTTCATCTTCCAGGATGACAACGCAAGATGTCACAGGGCCAGGATCGTTACAGGTTACCTCCAACAACAGAACATCACCACATTACCTTGGCCAGCACTGAGTCCCGACCTCTCCCCCATCGAGCATGTCTGGGACATGCTTGGACAGAGGTTACGTCAACGTCAACAACGTCTGCCAATGTCCAAGAACTTGCTGCTGCGTTGCAACAGGAATGGGACAATCTGGACCAAAATGACCTTAGACGTCTCATTAGGAGTATGCCACGTCGGATCAATGCTTGTTTGGCAAACAGAGGAGGATTTACCCGTTACTGACTTGGTTGTGATGCTGTGGTAACTTTGCTGTTTGACCCCGGGTATCATTTTACCCTTATAATGGTCAGTCTGTGCCTTACTTAGTCTAACGATCATTTGGAATAAATCGATGAATGTGAACTTCATTTCATTTTGTCATTTGTTTCTTCGTCAGTTTCATTAGGTGACTTTAATAACACTTAAAAATCAAATATCCCCTACTTTTTTTGAATAGTATATAATAATATTGTAATATAGTGACCTAGAATTTAGAAAATCGGATCCTAATCCATATCAATATAAGGAGGAGCTGAATCGATATTTGGGACCTAGAAATGGACACTAATTGGTTGCAACGCATATAATAATGTGATATTGGATGCATATAAACTGATTTACATTCAATCATTTCCATTTTTACTATTAATTTCAAATCAGTTGAGTTATCAATGTTCGACAAAATGTGCCAGAATTCTCAATCAAATGGTAACCGCTAGCGTCTGGTTTTTCCAGTCTACACCGATAGTATTTGTTGCGCATGCTCTCCAGATAAGAATATGTCGTCACTGTTTGACATGACTTGTGGAATATGTCTAGCCTCGTTCTTCGAGTCCCTTGTTTTGTTAGAAATGGTGCTGAAACGCATTATGACATGGTACATGATTCCACTACCAATGGTTGTTTATTTTGTCTTAAATATTGGATATCAGAAGCCCATCTTTTTCTGGCAAGATCACAATACCAATGTTTATTTAAATTGACAAATAATTTGTGTTTTCAATCATATTAAAGGAGCTAAGTCTCTAACTCAATATCATCCAAAATCTTCAACATTTAAAACACAAATTATTTGTCAATTTAAAACAACATTGATGCTGTGATCTAACCAGAAAAAGGTGGTCTTCTGATATCCAATATTTAAGACAAAATAAATATTTTACCATTGGTACACGAATCGTGTACCATAATGTGTTTCAGCCCTAGTTCTAGCAAGAGACTAGAGGAACGAGGCTAGACATATTGCACCAAACCAAACGGCGTATGTAGACTGGAATAACCAGACGCTAGGAATTTGCATTCGATTGAGACTGCTGGCTTATTTCAAGGAACATAACTGATTTGAAATTAGAGTAAAAACGGAAACGATTGAATGTAAATCAGTTTATATACATTCATATTACAGTATTATATGAGTTGCGACCCACTTGTGTCAATTTCTAGGTCCCAAATATTAGCGATTTAGCTCTTTGAAATTAAATTAAAAGATTTACCCAACTCTTACTGACTTGGTAATATCTCGTTCTCAGGATGCTAAATGTTGCTATATTTTTTATTTTAGTTAATTTTTCCTGTGTAAATACAGAATGGAAATTAACCATTCAACTTCCACAATATTGATGTCATTCAATATCCCCTCAAATGAAGAACAGTTGCTTTAAAGGTGCATTATGTAAGTTCTTGCTAATAATATTTTAAAAAGGATAATGAAAAGGGAATATGTTGAAAATTTCAGTCAAATTACTTTATTCAGAGCAAAATTATTGCTGATGATAGAAGAACAGGTAGTCTTGATTTTCATTGCTACCATTGTTACTATAATAAACAAAGTCTCAGTTATCCATTTTTATATGGCCACATTGAAAAGTTGTCGTATATTGTCGTCATCCCCATCTGTCGGTCGTGTATCCCCAATTGCTCATGGACGCTCTAGAACCTAAAGTTAATATCCAAATGACTTTAAATTTATACACACTGTTATGGCCCTTGATCACGTTGAAAAATCTTGTGGACGCTCTACAGGCTAATGTTAATATACACAGTGTTTAATTAAGGTCATGAGATGAAGAAGCCTACTGATTTTCAACGATTTCCGATTATTACTGCCAGAGTTAAAATGGCCCTTAATCACTTTGAAATATCTTGTGGATGCTCTGGAGGGAAAAGTCAATATCCGATTGACTTTAAATTTATACACATTGTTCAAGGTCATGAGACGTAGAAGCCTTTTGATTTTCAACGATTTTCGATAATTACTGCCAGAGTTATGGCCCTTGATCGCTTTGAAATATCTTGTGAACACTCTAGAGGCTTAAGTTAATATCCGGTTGCCTTTAATTTTATACACACTGTTTCAGGTCATGAGACGAAGAATCCTATTGATTTTCAACTATTTCCAATTAATACTGCCAGAGTTATGGCCCTTGACCTCTTAGAAAAATCTTGTAGAAGCTAAAGTTAATATCTGATTGACTTTAGATTTATACACACTGTTAAGGTCATGAGACGCAGAAACCTATTGATTTTCAACGATTTTCGATAATGACTGCCAGAGTTATCACTGGTAGTGGTAATTACTGGTAATCAGATTTTCATGTGTTGTAAATGTTCTCATTACTGAGTCACTGACAAAAGAAAAAAATATTCGACAAGACTTGTTGAATGCCCGGACGACTTAGCTACTGTGGGTGCATGTTTCGTTGCCTGGCAATCTATCTTTAAAAATTTTGTTCCTTAATTTCTCCAAGGGGAGATTTATATAAGTTAGGAAATTTCTAATGATATCATTGAAGTTGAATCAATGAGATCTACTTACATTCCAAATTTCATGAAAATTATTGAAAATCATACTAAAATTAAAGAAGTCGTCAAGCTGGTTTTTACTTCCGGAATGAGATGTCAATGACGTTCGAGAAGTTTCAGAAAATGTTCAAATGAAAATGGCGGGAAAGAACTAAAAAATATCGAGAAAATATCGAAAAAATAAAACAAGATAACTTTGAATGGAACTTATATTTTTGGAATTGGATTGACCTCTGCTTATCGAATATTTAGGTCAAATTTGTAAATTTTAAAAATTAAAGAAATAAATTGTCTTGTAAACATCTTTGTTGGAACAAAAAAGGGTCAAATTCAAAATTGTGAAATTTTCAAATACCAAAAATTCAACACTGATCCAGGCTATCCAGAAATGTATTCATTTCGGAAATAGGAGATGAATTCTTCAAACTAGGGCCTATTGTGTTTATTTTTCACTATTTTTCATATTCAATTCAAAATGGTGACAAGCAGTTGACCAAAATCAAAATTCTGCTCCGATAGTGTTTTAGGAATTCATTAAAGGATTCAGAAAATATAACTCCCATGTCTTAAGTGTAAGAAAAATATCGCAAAAGCCTTAGGGATTTTTCGCGGGGTTGGAATTGGATGGCAGAATGGTTTGCAAGTGTGCGTTGAATCATAAGGTCTGTCATTGCGTACTGGTTCAATTTCCGGTCGTACGTAACAAGGAGTAGGGTCGCCCGTCCAACCTCGTGGGTTTTCTCCAGTTTCCCCCACTGCTAAAGAACTCTACGCACAAGCAAATTATTAAAATAAAACTGAACCATGTGTTAGTCCCGAAATGACCTAGTTTGTGGTGAGTGGATGTTAAACCACATTTCTCTCTCTCTCTCTCTCTCTCTCTTAGGGATTTTTCACAATTCAAGATGCTGGCACTTCCGGTTCGATCTACAAACTCTATATTTTGTGTACTCATCAGTAGTTTCCTCGCTAGTAGTACAGAAAAAAATAAATCAAGGCAATCTGACCTACTTTTTTATTCTCCCACATGGAAATGTGGTCGTATATTGCCGTTGCCCCCGTGCATCTGTCTGTCGGTCCGTCCATCAATCACAATTTCTTGTGAACACTCTACAGACTACATTTATCATCTGATTGTTTTGAAATTGATATATGTTGTTTGCATTAGTGAGATGAAGAAGCCTATTTAATTTCAATAACTTTCGTTAATTTCTTCTGGAGTTATGGCCCTTGTTTCACTTTGTTGCACCTTGTGCAGGCTCTAACGACAAAAGTTATCAACCGATCTGTATGAAATTTATATGCCTCATTTAAATCAGTAAAACAAAGAAGCCTGTTGAATTTCATCAATTTCCGTTAATAACATCTAGAGTTAGGCCCTTGTTTCACTTTGTTGAATGTTGTGAACGCTCTAATGACAACAGTTAACATCCGATCTGTTTGAAATGGATATGCATCATTTAAATTTGTGAAATGAGAAGCTTATTGAATTTCAACAATTTCCGTTAATTACACAGTGAGTTATGGCCCTTGTTTCACTTTGTTGTACCTTGTGAATGCTCTAACGACAAAAGTTATTATCCAATCTGTATGAAATTTATATGCATTATTTAAACTAGTAAAACAAAGAAGCCTATTGAATTTCAGCAATTTCTGTTAATTACATCATGAGTTATGGCCCTTGTTTCACTTTGTTGAATCTTGTGAACGCTCTAATGACAACAGTTATCATTCAATCTGTTTGAAATTGATATGCATCCTTTAAATTAGTGAAAAGAAGAATCCTATTGAATTTCAGCAATTTCCGTTAATTATTTCTAGAGTTATGGCCCTTATTTTACTTTATCGTACAACAAAAGTTATCATCCGATCTGTATGAAATTGATATGCATTATTTGAATTAGTAAAACGAAAAAGCCTGTCGAATTGTAACAATTTCTGTAGATTACTTCCAGAGTTACAGCCCTTGTTCTAGTTTTTAGAGCCTTGTGAACCCTCAAACGATGAAAATTATAATGTCATCTGTATGAAATTGTCTATTAAATGCCCCTAATTACCTACAAAAGAATAAATATACGACAACTCTTGTCAACCGTTCGGACAATTTAGCTGCTGTGGGTGTATGTTTTGTTGCCTGGCAACCTATCTTTACGTTGTTTTTTTAAAACTTTGATCCTTAATTTTTCCAAGGGGAGATAAGTTAGAAAATTTCTAATGATCATATCGTTCAAGTCGCATTAGTCAGATTTACTTAAATTACAAATTTCATGAAAATGGTCCAAATATTAAAGAAGTTGTCAAATTCCTCTCAACTTTAAGGACGAAATCACAGCGACGAATTTTCGAAAATCGGAAATGGCAGGTGAAAATGGGTTTGGGTTTTTTTCAAGGTACCCAAAGAAAAAAGAATTAGTAAAATAGGTCAAATAGTTACAGTTACAGCTATGTTGGTCAAGTTTTTCATTGTTAAATTCGATGATTTTGGATTCGTAAAACGTTTTGAAAGTATATTCCAACACCCATTCCTGGGGGTGGGGTAGTTAAAAGTTTCAGAAAGATCCTATTGTTAGATTGTGAGATATAAGCTTGGCAGGAAAAACACCTACCAAAAAAATAATAATAACAAAAACAAATGCAATAAGCTTTCTCATATAAAATATGAAAGCTTAATAATTTAAGGCCTAAAGAAATACCTGCAATAGGCAGATTTAGTTCTTGCATAAAGCATGTTTAACTAACAGTAAGAAATGATTTATTTTTCAGTATATCAACCACAAGAGAATAAGGAAAACAGAAAAAAGATGATGTCAACACCAGGAATCTCTTCTGGTATTTTGAGACTAAAGAGAAGTCAAATGAAAGGAAAAGCTAGTGGGAAAAAAAGGAGTAGAACACTTTACAATAAACTTAATACCAGTCGTAAGTTATATAATGAGATTTTATGTACCGGAAACGTAACAGATGTATTATTATAATTCGTCCTGAGTACTTGTCAAAAAACACAATATATGGCAACATAAGGCTTCATTTTCCACGCATTCAATTGATTTTTCATTGTTTTGAGCAGATCCTGATTTTCTGGTTGCTAATAGTAGGAGTAGAAAAACTCTGGGTACTCCTGATTTTCAACTTTTGTTGGGAAAGAGAATTTCTTATCAATGAAAGTCTACCCACCAGATTTTAGATTCAAGGGCCATAATGCTGTCAGCGAATAATTGCTGAAATTTTTTCATACTATAGCCAGGGAACAATCTTTAGGATAAAATTATATCTTTTGTTTTTCAGTCAATAGTACCAAGATTGTTCGAGAGGCTCTCAATTTAAACAATAGAGCTCTTTCAACAGAACAGTTAAAAATTCAAAATGAGATTCAAATTATGAAGACAAAGTGTCATCTTTTAAAGGAAGAAAATGATAATCTTGATTCAGAAATTGAAATGTTAGTTCGAGTGGCTAGCTTAACAAATACAGAAGAAAAATGTCAAGCTGTTATAGAAGTAAAAGAAAAGGTGGGTTAAAAAAATATTCAGGTTCTGGCTGCTCATTAACTTTCTAATTTGTAATTATAGGTTTGATGTTGATAAAACAATTCTTTAAAGGATTTACATTCATGCAAAGATAATTTTTGTCATTTTGATAATCAAGACTACACTGGATAATTTGGAATATTATAGCCTTGAAGAGCACAGACACTATAATACCCTGGAATAAAGACTGGCCAATCAGAAGTCTGTATTTGTATAGCCTATTTACACAGACGTTATCCGCTGAATATATAATTTTCAATGTTATATCGATTATTATATTCCTACATGGAAATGTGATCATATATTGCCGTCGCTCCCATCCATACTAAATTATCATCTGATTCTTATATATCGCTGAGATGAAGAAGCCTATTTAATTTCAATGATTTCCATTAATTTTTACAGTAGATATGGCCCTTGTTTCACTTTGTTGCACTTTGTGAACACTCTAAAGACAAAAGTTATCATCCAATCTGTATGAAATTTATATGCTTCATTTAAATTAGTGAAACGAAGAAGCTTATTAAATTTCAGCAGTTTTAGTCAAATGAAAAAGCCAGTCGAATTTTAACAGTTTCTGTACATTGCTTCCAGAGTTAAGAGACCCTTGTTTCATTTTGTAGAACCGTGTGAATCCGCAAACAACGAAAATTATAATCAGATGATTAAGCTACTTTGGGCGTATGTTTCATTGCCTGGCAACCTATCTTTGATCAACATACCAATCATTTAGTTTTTAAATATGAGTGTTTATGAAATTGCTATAAATAACATTTTGAAATTGATGTCTGTATTTATATGTTTATTTACTTTGTTTACTGAGAAATAAAGTGTTCGTATCTAATAATAAAGTTAAATACTGTGACAATTTCTCTGGTGAATATCTGAGTTTTTGAGTCTTATATCTAATTAATGAAAAAAGCCAAGCTCGGGTTGTAAAAAATTTCATCCAATATGGAAACCTGGGTTTCATGTCCATTATTATATGTTGGCCAAAGATAAAAAAAAAAAAAGTACATTCGATGGTTGAACTAAGTGAATTTTGGGGTCAAATTGATGTAGAAATAAGTCACAATAGTCAGATTGTTTTTAATGTTCTAAAAGTAAGAATACCCTAAACCATCCTTACATATACTCCGATTTATTTTCAGGTTCATGTGACTGGATTAACCAATTTAGTGTTGGAAACAATGAAAGATGTTAATAATGCTCTGAAATCCTACAAATTTCTAAGGTTTATATTAAATGATGCAGAAAAGGTGATGGACATCCCTACAGACAATGTTAATACAGATGACGTTAATATTGAAGATCACTTATCTTATACAGACAGGTAATATCCTGACCTTATTTGGTAGTCAAAAAATACTGCCATTCTAATTAAAATTGGAAGAAGGCACAACATTCATGTCAATTAAACAATACTGAAATTGAACAGGACTGGAACTAAATGGTGCACAATGATAGCATGGACTGTGCTACGGTACCTTATCAGAGCACTCATATACTCAACATTTTATGATCTATGTGAATGCCAAATCCATCACATGATTATCAAAATGGTGATTCCCTTTATTGCCATACTTAAAGTTTTGATTATCAAATATGAAGTCTGAAACTGCTTCACTATTGTTTGGCCAATCAAAATACTTTTATATTTGTATGCATAATCGGGGAGTTGGATGGCATTGTAAGGTCAGTCATTGAGTCATCTGGTGTGGTTTCGATTCCCCAGTCCTACGTGACAAAGAGTAGGGTCACCTGTCCAACCTCGTGACATTTCTCTGGACCATCCAGTCCCGTGCCCCCGCTAAAGACCCCTATGTGCAAGCAAATATTTGAAATAAAATTAAACCATATGTTAGTCCCAAAATGACCTAGTTTGTGTTCAGTGGACATTAAACCCTATTTCTCTCTCTCTCTGTTGTTATTGAATTGTATCTATCAGTGTTGTATAGGAAAACATGAATGTATTTGAACCCTACAAAATGATATAGAATATGATTATATGTTTTAGATTATTAGAAACGATATTAAATAATATGATTATATGTTTTAGATTAGAAACAGCATTAAATCATATGATTAAATCAGCTGATGAAGAGATAATAGATGATAATGTTTGTGGTGATACATCTGTTGGTAAGTATTCAATTACTCTCATCTCATGTTCACTTATATTGAGAAAAAGATCTGATTATATATTGAGATTGTACGTAATAACGTATTCACATTTCAACTTATGGAGAAAAATTTATCAATGTTAACCACTAAAATATTTCTGGGAATGCTGATTTAAACCCCATTTCTCTCCCTCTTTCTGTTCCTTTAAAAACGTAGCCAAATTATGATGAATGCATTAATGAGACATTGTTATTTAAATGCAGCTAATTATCTTCAAAAATTATATCTTGGTATTTACTGAAAGCATATCTTGAACCCTCACAATAAATCTGATTGACAGGTTCTGATTGTCTATATTTAACAATTATGTTTTATTAATCTGTAATTTTAGGGTATTCTAATAAACCATCATGTTTTTGGTTTTTTTTAAGATGAAGAAATGAAAGCAAGTAATAGATTCAATCATAATCCTTGTGATGTTGGTTTACCTCAGAGAATTCCATGTGATTCGAAAGACACACCAGAAATACTTTCAGATACTTTTCAAAATCGAAATCTTGTTTTTAGTGAGATGGAAGAAGATTATGAGTTGAGTAAAACTGAAGATGTTTCACCTGTTGCTAATGCACAAGAAGCAGACGTCACTGTAGAAGATAAAACAACCAAACAACCATTATCCCCACAACAACAAGTTTCAAGATTGAAACTACAGAAGCCATCGGAAGATGAAGAAATAGTTGTTGATGAAACTATATATTTAAATACCGATATGGAAATGACAGCAGTTATTGAAGGCCCCATAAATTTAGAGAATAAAAACAATTCAAACTCCACTTTCAAGAAACCAGAATCAAAAGCGTCGACAGAAGATTTCCTTGTTTCACTTAGACCAAAGCAAAAAGACAAATTTGGACCTGAAAATTTATTTGGATTTGAGTTCCAGACTCCAGATAATAAAGTAAAATCAAGTTTCAAACATCCTGATACAAAAGTTATCTCTAAACAGGATAAATATGATAGATTGGTGGTAGAATCAGAGGAAGATATTCTGAGGGGAGATAACTCTGAGAGTAAAACTCTTTCACGCTCAAAAAGTAGATGTCGATCAAAGAGTAAAAAGACAGAAGACTCTGTTGATATGGAGCCCAGTTTATTCAGTGACGAGCCTTGTGAGATATTTAATATACCACTAAAACGGGAAAGTCCCCTGCCTAAACCCAGATCAAAAACAGGAAGATCTAAACACAAAAAAAAAACAATAACTGTGGTAGGAAATGATGAACTTGAAGAAGAGGTGTCTGAACCATGTATAAATGTTGATGTTCATTTGACAAATAGTAAAGTAAATACAAAAGATATAGATATAATAGTAGGTGAATCAAAGGAGGATAAAAATAAATCACCAGTAGAAAATAAAAGTAAAGGAAATTCAAGGAGTAAGACAAGATGTAGATCTGATAATGTGAAGAAAGCAGATACCACTGCAGTTACAACAGCTGTACCAAGTCCTACAGCGTGCAATTCTAATGTTGACATTATATCTAAAGATAACACACTTCCTGTAAGAGGAAATACAAGAAGTAAGAAAAGTCGTAGATCTGGAGATGAGAAGAAATCAGATACTGCTACGATTGTACCCAATACTCCAGTTAACAATCTTGATACTCACTTACCTGATGAGAAACTGTTTCCTAAACCAGTATCGCATGGAGAAAAAAGTAGGAGAAAGTTCTGTTTCAGTGATGGAAATTCTGAGGACGTTTTGGACGAGGTCAAAAAACTTTCTCTAAAATCCAAATCGAAAAAATCATCTAATCTGAAACATGAATCACATAAATTGGTTTCTGATAGTAGTAGTAATGAAGAATCACCCATACTCGGTAAAAGAACTTCTGTAAGATATAGTAATGAGGGCATTAAAGAAATCATACCTACAAGGAAAATATCTACAAATGGAGATGATGAGATATTGTGTATTCCAGACTCTTGTAAAAAGTCTAAGAAATCTATTGATTCACCAGCTAGAAATGAAGAAGATGTTGATCAAGATGATAGTGACCATCAGTATGTAATACATGTACTAATACATTAATATATATTTTTATTACAAGAATATTTTTCATTAGAGCCATTAATCACCAATCTTACCTTTTTGGGGCACAATATCTAATTTTTCGCAGCATAATTCAGGCTAAAATGTAACTAAATTGATTATTTAAAGTTATAATTAAGAAAATCGTAAAGCTGCTGATCAACATTTGCATTATTTGATTTTTTTTAGATTTAAAAGATCAAGAAGAACTAAAGAACCTATATCTTATAAAGAAAGACCAATTAATATGTAAGTTGATATAAGGGATTTTATGGTGTTATTGTCCCCCTCCTTTTGAAGAAAGCAGAGGACTATTAAAATGGATCTGTCTGTCCATCAGTCTGTCTGACTGTCCATCAGACATTTTGGGACACAATAACTCTCCTAATTGAGCTAGAATGTAGGTGTAGGCGTGCATTAGGTGAATGCCTTAATTGAGTTTGAAGATGAGCATTTTCTGATTTAGATAAGCAATTTGATTGGTTGATGCTTTGGGACAGGATAATTTTGGTTCAGATTAAATGAGAATGATGAAACTTGGTGTATAGTTTCATCACATTGATACCTTGACTAAGTTCGATAATGAGCCTTTTCAGCTCAGGGTAAGTAGAGCAATAAGCACTTTGATTGGTCAAGACTTTGGTGTTCAACAACTTTGATTCTAATTGCGTGATAGTGGTGAAACTTGGTGTATAGTTTCATTACATCAATACCTTAAAGTTTGATGCTGAGCATTTTCTGCTTAGGCAAAGTAAAGACTTCAATCTGATTGGTTGATACTTTGGAACACAATAACTCTTCTTATTGAGGCAGAATGGTTAAACTTGGTATAGGTGTCTCTCAGGTGAAAGCCTTGACAGAGTTTGATCATGTGCATTTTACACTAAGGCTAAGCAGAGATGAGCAATTTGATTGGTTGAGACTTTGGAACTCCATAACCTTGGTTCTAATTGGGTGAGAGCCACGAAACTATAGATTCATTATTTCAATATACCTTGACTAAGTTCGATGTTGAGAATTTTCTGTTAGGCTAAGGACATGTAGCGATAAGCAATTTGATTGGTCAAGAATGTGGAACATAAACAACTTTGCTTTTAAGTGAGGTAGAATGTTTTAACTTTCAAGATGTAGATGTTTATTAGCTGAATGTCTTGACCGACTTCAATGATTAACATTTCCCACTAAAGTTAAGCAGAGCTAAGCAATTTCATTGGTTGATGCTTTGGGACAAGTTAACTATGATTGTAACTGATGGACAGTAATGAAAGGTAGTGTATAGTTTCACTAGCAGGTACTTCAAAACCTTGACTAAATATAGATAATCAGTTTGATTGCTCAATACTTTTGACAAAGATAAACTGCAATTAATTAATGTGTCATCTATTTATTTTGGGATTTGGGCGGGTCACGTCGGCATTACTGTTGGCTTGTTATTTGAGTTTTCCGGGTGTATTGGCTCACATACCTCCGCATCTCACAGATTAAACAGAATAATGCGCATAACAACCTGATGTTTCATACATCATTTACCAAGGAAAATAACTGAAAACATGATTACACCATGATTTTATTGCAATCAATATAAATTTTTCAGCCATTGCCATAGGTGTACAGAATCTACAAACTACTGTGCACCTCCTTGACCATCTGCATTTTCATCATAGAATTACTGTTGATTGGTTTGCACACAAAACACAAACTAGAATTTAAACAATCACAACAACAACAAATTCTTGTCTTAGTAGATTTTTTTGAACCGATGATATATTCATTTGATTTATGAATTAATGAGCCTCTATGGAAAGCAACCATTGATTACCATTAACTGTTACTCTTACATTTTAAATATAAACCTTCATGGTTCCATTTTGTCTTTTGTAGTAAAATGAGAAAAGAAATTACAGATGGTAAAACTGTAGAATCATGTCGACTGAGTGAAAAAGGTAAAGTTTACGAATTTCTTTTATTTTAAAATACTCTTTGGATTATCTCCTGCTATTTTAAAAATACATGTATTCCACAATCAAGTACAGAGGAATGTTTTCGAACGCTTTGAACATTTTGTGCCATAAGTTGCAAGTGCTACAATAACATCACTCAAGATGGGTGACAGGAGACTACTGGCATAGTGTTAGTATACCATACTAATGTACTGTCATCCAAACGAAAGTTACAACCATCTAAAGTTTACATTATTGTCTTTTGATCTCATGATGCAATCTTTATTGTCAATGACTCGTCAGCCGTATTCTATCCATGGACATCTTTCTCAAGAAGGTTTTAGGTTTTTTGTTTAAATTACTATCTAAATGTAAGTCATTATTTTGTTAAATATAAATAAGGATAATATTTATTTCACTTCTGGAACATTGTGGCTTTTATATTGAATTATGGATTTTATACTTTCAGGCTATTCAAATGCAAAGATTCCTTTAGACAATGTGACTAATGTTCCAAGGTGAAATTACCAACATTTTGTTAGGCCAGTATCTTTAGGTGGACTCTACTTCTGTGCCATGTTAGTGCTTCTAATTCAAGACAATTAACTGAGAGAAAACATTGCACTGTATAAGTATCTTGAATAGTCTGTTTTGTGGAAACTATTCCATGTCATTCTCTGTACCTCATGTTCTGTGCTTGGTCGAATTACTTACTTCAAATATCTTCGCATATAAGCGTTATATTACTCAGTGAGAAAGGCACCGGCTCGCCAACCAGAAGATCTCAGGTTTGCTCTTGAATAAAGTTGGTTATTGTGAAAATCTCTGTATAATTTATTTTCTTATTATTACAAACACATAATTGTTTGTAGGCCTACTATTAGCCTTTTTAAGTCACAATCCCATGAAAGACATTTATAGGAAGTCGTTATGAGATATGTCAAGTGTACATTTTATCTAAATAATGGATCATTGCAATGGAATGGTCGCTAAAGTCTTGTAGATGTTATCCATAGAATTGTGTATAAAGCAAATAAAACAACTTTATGAATGTTCTCAAAGGATTATTAATCATGTGTAGTTAATTAAATAAAATACAAAATATGGAATTCATCTGCTGATAATAAAAAGAGCTGCATAATAATATCAAGAATGATTCTTATGTCATTAGTTGTGAATGACATATTTTAATTGGTGGGTATATGGGTCTTTATAAGTGGGAGAACATTCAACTGCGGAAACTGGTGAAAACCTATGATTTGGGGCAAGCAACACTATACTCCTTGTCATGTACAAACTTACATTAAAAATCAGGCCACTTGACTCAGACCATTAGACCACTCAACTACCACCACCCCAACCCCACCCCCAAAGCTCAATAATAATCAGGTCCATAATGTCCCAAAGTCTGGAAAAATGAAATTGCTTATCAGCTTAGAGGAAGCAGAAAATGCTCCTTCTCGAACTTGTATTCACCTAATGAACAGCTTACTTTAATTAGAATAAGAACCTAGATCATTTTGGCACTGTGATGGGGAGACAGACAAATGAACACATTTTAATAGTCCCCTGCTTTCTTCAACAGGTGAGGGGAAATATACATCAACTCAAAATCGGAAGTTGTGTCAACTAAGTTTGATTATTCATATATAACATATCCAGAATTTAAATGATTTCCTAAAGAAATTGACAAAATTGTGGATAATTGAAATGTTGACCACAACCACGTAATATCAACAATCAGGAACTTTAGCTTACACTGGATAAAGTATTTATAATACCCACGGTTAATTGTAATTAGATTGATTTAGAAGTTTAAATTAATCCTTTTAATGGTTACCCATTACTTAGGTAAAGCGCCTGAGAGTAGCTCGTTGAATTGTCCGCGCTATATAAATTAATTATATTATTATTATTACCCAGATCATTCGATGTGTGATATATTGGCACTACATGTGTCATTTAGTAGGTCGGTTTGTTCCCGCGAAGGCGCAGTTATTGACCGTAACGGATTAAAAAAGGTCGTTTTCGACGACTTCGCGGGAATCCAGCCCTAAGGATTAAAATGGATTAAAAACGTAACAATGGTGTTATAGATTGTTATGATAAGAATTTACACTTTCATAATCCCCACTGTAACTAATTAACCAACATTTTAGCATCAGATAAGAAATAAAAAACATAACTATACTATAATATTACAAAAATTAATTTAATTTCGTCAAATAAATAAAAAAACATAACTATACTATAACAAAAATTAATTTAACTTCGCCAATAAAAACAACTATAATATAACAAAAATTAGTTCAATTTCGCTAAATAAGACACCCTGTCTAAATACTCGACTAATGTCAATTCATTTTGCTGGTGTCTTCGTTTCAATTCTTCGAGCTGGCTTTGAATTTGAGCATATTTATATCTTTTCTTTGGTGGTTCCTGTCCCCCAGCATATTGGAGGATTCTTATCTCATTAATATTTTGTTCTTGTTGCAAAAATGTGATCAATTCAAAAAGATTAGGGTGGGCTTTTCCAACTAGCTTCTTGACCCTCCGCGATTTGTAGGTACAAAGCTGAATTCAAGTTGTGCGTTTGCCATTGTAGAATATTATTTGAATTTCGGATAGTGTAACGGGATTTTATATCTTTAAAAATGACACTGATTGTGTGAGTGAGCGAATAGGTGAACACTACTTGGTTGATTTGATGATATTCATATTAGTTGTCAATTGGTGAATAAAATTCAGAGTGAACATAAATTCATAAAATCTTTTAACACCGTTAATTAGGTCCTAATAACAACATGTCTCTCTTCAAACGAAAGCCGACACGTCGATATCTGCGCCTTCGCGGGAAGGATTAATTTTGGTCACGTTCTGTAACTGCGCCTTCGCGGGAATACACCAGTAGGTCACCAACACCCGTCTAATTACTCAATGGTGCGGAAACCTAGTTGGATTTTTTATAGGTCGACGACATAGGGTATGTTATGTTTGTGGTGGAGGTGGGGGTGTAAACTATATATTTTTTTTTTAAATGGGTGAACAGGGATAGCCTATATCGCCCCCTTTTCTGGGGGTTTATAGTTAATTTTGCATTCTTCAAAAAAGAGCTATGTGAGTTGTCTGCAGCAATGAACGCATATAACTTGCACAGCCATGTAAATATCATGAGTAGATATCTAGTGGGTATATTCCCGCCAAAAATGACTACGATACATTTCCAACATTTCACGCCACTGACCTTAATACACAAAAATCTTGGAATCAAGACGGCTGCATAGATTTCATAGTGCGAGCAGTTTTTAATTCGAAATATCTGCATTTAAATATTTATCCAAACGTAATATGACAAGTAGCATATACAGATCTCTCATTTATTTATTTTTGTCTTTAAATTTATTTCGTATCTTGGTCCTTGTTTACCCGTGTATCTTTCATTTTCACTCAGTTGAACTGATAGGTTTTTTTTTCATGAATTACATGACATCTATTTATCACACATTAATTCTTGCCAGTGGGTTTTATAAATTGTAAAAGTAAGACTTTATAAACCCCATTTCATTTACGGTGTCATGATTCTCCTGAAACGGCGAGTGGCGAACACCAAAAATTAAAGAGATAATATATGCGACTATGTTTAACGTCCGCTTCCACCAAAGGTGATATTGCAGACAAATCTTATTTTTCATTATCTTAGCGCAAAGGTCTTACCTGTGGGTTTTATAAATTGTAAAAGTAGGACTTTATAAACACCATTTCATTTACGGTGTCATGATTCTCCCATAACGGCGAGTGGCGAACACCAAAATATAAAGAGATAATGCGACTATGTTATTCTCAGTGTTTAAGGTGATATCGCAGACAAATCTTATTTTTCATTATCTTAGCGCAGGGGTCTTTCCTGTGGGTGGAAACCGGAGTAAACCCACAAGGTTGAGAAGGCGCCCCTATCCCCGAGCCACATACACTCCCACCAGGGATCGAAACCACAGCCGCAAGCCAGAGGTGACCGGCCAGCTAGAGGTCGAACCGCGGCACTCTAGACCACTAGGCCATCCCAACCCCCTATAATGTGACTTAATCAGAATTCCTTTATATCCCGCGTACTTTTTATTCTGCTGTAAAAATTAGAACTACTGGAAAATTCACTACGAAACAAAGAAATGCCATGTGCTATTGTGCTGACAGGTCTTTCATTCACTTAATTCGTTGAATTCAGAATATTCGCTTTTATGTCAGTTCTCACTATAATAGTTAAAAGCTAGATAATGTCAAGGGAATATGCTGAAAATTTCAGTCCAATTGATCCTCTGAACCGAGATTTTAGCGATTGAATTTTCGACTTATATTAGCCTCGATCATCATTACTAAAGTAGGTACGATTAAAAAAAAAAACAGTCTCGATTATTCATTTCATGATTAAATCATGAATGAAAGTTGAGCAGCAAATCGGATCATAATCCAGTAAATATCGCAGGCTAGCGTTGACATTGAGAGTTGATTATGGTCTGAATAATGTCTAAATAATTTAGATAATATTTCAGGCCTAAAGAAAGACCTGCAATTAATAATAGGCAGATTTAGTCCTTGCACAATGCATGTTTAATCAACGCTGATGAAATAATTATTATTTACAGTCTTCAACCAAAATCAGATTTCGAGATAATTTTATCGCCGAGTTCACTCCTTTTAGATATGAATAGACCGGGGGCTCAGTGCGGGGTGGGGCGTTTTCGAGCTATTCGGGTTCAAAGGTCAAATGAGGTCATTTACACTGAAAGTTAAGGCGCCGCCATTCTTGTATCACAAAACATGCTGAAAATGATCGAATGTAATCACTCTTTCAATAAAAATTTAAACTTCCTAATTTCACGGTTGTTCTTTGAGACCCCGGAGGTCATAAGGTCAAATTTTTAGTTTTTGCACCAGGCAGATTTAAAGCAATAAATGTCAGCGTAAAATATAAAAACTAAAGCCAAACCTGTTCTAATTAATAATAGGAACATTTAAAATTTATCTTTAGGTGGTCTAAGCACCGTACGTTTACTTTGGAACGTCGAAATAGATCTTGCATAACAGAACCAAAACACTTTGAAACCTATTTCAAAACTACGCAAAAACTGTAAAATCGAAATCTCTCGGATTTAGTTTCACAACGATTGCTATACATAATGAAACAAGTTGTGCGAATGAAAGTGTAATTCTTAAAAAAAAAACTTGAGTAGACGGTAGTAGTTGGTAATTTATGTCTACTAAAAACCCGGAAGCGTGGTGTCTTATATATGCCATGGTGTTGATTTCCATTTATCAGTAATCCGGAGGCCGTCGTGGCCCTGGCCCTGTTTCTCGAAATCTTAACTAAAGATAAAATCCAAATCTTAGTAAATACTTCAATTTTGTTTGGCTAAGTACTAAAATCAATCAAATTACTAAAATTTGGATTTTATATCTTAGTTAAAATTTCGTGAAACAGCTAGGCCCCTGCACATTACATTACAAACTGGGCGCCGAAATGTTGATGACTTAGTCATCTTGTTTCTAGCTGTGATATTTGTTAAGGGATGTAAAGTGTTAATTCAAAAAGACCAAATATCAATATCCAAACATTATAATATGTATAACAACACTTCATTGTAGGTCAATTTAAAATATTTTCGTTTTTACGGCGAAACCCCTGTGTGTGCTCCACATCCACATTTTGTATAGATTTTCTATTCTCTATGATCCAAGTCTACTTATTGGATTTGTTTGTTGATCCAACATGGAGAACGCTTACCGGTGTTTAGTAGGACCTCGTCTCTATCGTATCCATAGACAGGATGGAGTTGAGGTAACTGTTTTTTGTTGCAAGCATTTTAATTTCAAATCCTTCTACGGGCTACCGATATAACATTTTGTTCTAGATTTAACTAAAGAAATACCGTAAACTTAATGGTATTGAAAGCGAACCAAACATCGAAACAATCAAAATGGCTGATAATCATGGATATACATTTATATAACAATTTAGCATGTCAGAAGTCAAGGCTATTAAAACTTATTAAAGGGGGACTTTGTACCTGTTATATATAGTTGGGATCAACTAAACTTTGCCATCACGACAGTACTTTTTATTCCAGTATTGTACAGGTATCGGTATTGTTTTTATAGGGTTTGGTTTTTGGGGTGTTTATATTAATGTTTACAAAATAAAACTTTGATACATGTATATTATTCAAGTTTTTCCTAGCTTTACCAATTGATTATTTTATATTAATTGATATTATGGGACCATTTTGTTTTGTTGGGGTTTTTTTTGACATAGACTCTACATCAAGAGAGTAATAGACTATGATAACACTCCCGTTTTTTTTTTAAGCAATTTATGTCAACGAAAACGTCTTACATGCAATGTGCATTAATAACCTTCTCGTTAGTTCTAGCAGGAATATTGACATCTCTTCAATGTCATCCACCAATTTTATGTATCTAATAGAAAAGGTTAACAGATTCCAAAATCAAGGCTGGGGTAATGGTAATGGAATGTAATCAGTATTTTTTAAGTAACGTAATGGCCATGTAATGAGTAATGGAAGATTTCAAAAGTACCTGGTAATGAGTAATGGAAATGTAATTAATTACATTTTATGAGTAGTGGAAATGTAATTAATTACATTCCAAAAATCATATAATGGTCAATTGCATTTCAATTACTTTTCAATTACATTTTATGGCACATATAAATATTTCCAATATAACAAGCTAAAATGTTATAGCACCAAAGAGAGAGAGGGAGAGAGAGAAATGGTGTTTAACATCCACTCAACACAAACTAGGTCATTTCTGGACTAATATATGTTCAATTTTATTTCAATAATTTCGCTTGCACATAGTGTGACATAGGGGTCTTTAGCAGTAGGAGGAAACCAGAGGACCCAGAGAAAACCCACGAAGTTGGACAGGCGACCCTACTCCTTGTCATTTACTACTGGGGAATCGAAATCACGCCAGTTGACTAAATGACAGACCTTACGATACAGTGCGCACACGCTAACCATTCTGCCATCCAACCCCTCAAGCGCCAAAGAAGTAAATTAAGTATATCTGACACAAATCCAATTCATGATAATTTTGAAAATAAGATTTAAATCTAATTTTAACAATTATAATAAGAATAAGAAGGCATTAAACATTTTCTTTTATTACTTTTTATATAACTTATTATAAGACCCTTTTTTAGACATGTAACCTAAAAAGTGGATTTCTGAAAAGATTGTTTATTCCCACGAAGGCGCAGTTATTGACTGTAACGGATTAAAAAAGGTCTTTTTCGACGCCTTCGTGGGAATCCAGCTTTCGGGGATTAAAATGGATTAAAAATGTAACAATGGAGTTATAGATTGTTATGATAAGAATTTACACTTTTATAATCCCCAATGTAACTAATTAACTAACATTTTAACATGTTTAGCATATGACTTTAAGAAATAAAAAACGGATGAGCTTTAACAACTAGCTTCTTGATCCTTGAATGCCATCCTTCCAGAATGTTGTTGGTTCTGTGTTCCCTTGTGTGGTAGTGGTTCCACTGATGAGTAGCATATTCACCCTCGCACATTGGTTTGTTACGTTGTCGGCCAATTCAGTAGTGAACACTACTTGGATGATATGATGATATTCATCATTAGTTGACAATTGGTGATTAAAATTCAGAGTGAACATAAATTCATAAAATCTCTTCAATCGAAAGCCGAAAAGTCAATATCTGCGCCTTCGTGGGAAGGATTAATTTTGGTCACGCTCTGTAACGGCGCCGTCATGGGAATACACCGAAAAGATGTATATTGTAATCAAAGATTAGTGCTAATTTACAGGCAGTCACCCTGTCAATCAATAATCAGTTAGATTAAAAGACAATAGTCTTAACTTCTACACTTTAATCTTTAAACAGTAGCTTTCAAGAGTTCTTGTATCTCATCATTTTATGGTTACTTAATATAGTTGTCGTTTTAATTTCTATGAAAAATGTTTTTTATTTATATAGTCATAAAGTGATGATGGGTAATGGTGATTAATTACTTTCAATGTACATGTAATGGTAATTAATTACATTGCTAAAAATGAGAAAGTAATTTTAATCAATACATTTAAAAAAAGTAATGGTAACGTAATAAAAATTACAATGGCAATGTAATGGCCCCAGTCCTGTTAAAAATCCAAGATTAAAATGAAAGTAAAGTTCCTTCCAGATGCAGTGACACAAATACGTAGCAAATGTTAATAGGTTTGCATGTACAGTTGACTTTCAACTCTCTTATTATAAATCTTGAACAGAATACAAGGATTAGTAAAATTAGGCCACCATGAAAGGAGGATATCAGATTGGACCAAAATATCTTCACCAAAAACAGTTGCCACAACACTAGGAAAGGCCGCCAAATGTGGGGGGAAAAAAGAGCCCATCACCTACCGTACCAAGCTATATTTGATCAAGTTTGATCTGCCATGAAAATGAAAGAATTTTTTAGAAATAGAACAAAGTTGTTATCAAATGTGAACAAACAAATAAGTTTTGATTAAGTCAAATTGAATGCCAGTCAAGTTGAAACGTACTTAATAAATCTATTTCTTGTAGCTACATGTACAATCATTCAACTGATATCATGTGGCCTTGATAGTAATAAATAAGTATTTTGAAATTATTTTCCAAACTGATTATTTTTAGGTGACTGTAACTTTTATGTAGTTTGAAAAAAAACCTGTAAAAGTACATGCATTATTTGTAATGTAACGGTAATATAATTTTTGTTTAAAGGGACAGCAGTATATAGCTAATGTGATAGAATCAGGGTCTGATCGATGTCTAAAAGTGGTAAGTAACAAATTGATTTTTCTTTGAATGTGGAATAGATAACAATTACAAATAACAAATATCAAATTGTGATTACTGAAAACTAATGACTACAATGGACTCTGTCACTTCCAATATCTGAACACTACGGTATTCTGTGCAATCTGCCATCATTTTCATGTCCCGATTTATTTCCTTATTACTTCAACCAAAAAAGGTTTGGGTAATCCTGATTCTGAATATTCTGAATTACAACATCAATCGGTTATCCCGTCACACGATTTGCGTACAATTAACATAGGATCATCCAGCCTTTAATCAGTGGGTGTTAACCAACAAACAATAATCAATCAATTATCTGTGAGCATAAAACGTGTCAGTCTTTGTTGATGACCTTGATAATTTCATAATCTCTTGGTATTTGATTTGAGTTTTTCACGTCAAATACAGCGACATTACATAAATTACCAAGATAAAGAATCACTATCATTATAATATTGTGTTCATAATGTGTGATTGTGCTGCAAAGTGTACCCATACAGATTTGACATTGGATGTCAAGCAGCAAATTATAGCAGATTTTGAGAAAGTTCCACGACTTACACTGAAGGAATTAACTTATTAAGCGTTAAAAATATTCAATTGGCCATACTACAGTATCCAACATTTTAAAGCGAAAAGAAGATTCAAACAGTAGAATTGACAGAGTCCGTTGTACTTAAAGGGCCAATCCCGATAATTTTTGGGAGAAAAAACTGCTTAATTTTGTGTTAAAATGTCTTAACACCCTCTACCTACTGGCGAGCAAGTAACTCAATATTTGTGATACGTTTGCAAACAACTTAAACCCGCCAGTCTTCATCTGGAAATGGAGTCTAGTGTCCCAAAGTGTATTATACAGTGTCTGGATAAAACCAGACCTTTTTTCATAAAAATAATGTGTAGGTGAAATTTACCGTCCGTTATCAAGTACAGCACATGGGTCATTCACTGCATATACCTCTCAAGAAACGGGAATCGATTATAAGGTCACCCAACAAAAAAAATTGACCTGAAATCTTAAAAGGGTTACCTGTCCGGATAAGCAGTTTTGACGTTCATGTCCAAACGACTCAATATTTTGAGCTGAAATTTTGAGACAAGGTCAATACACCATTCCTATATATTTTGGTGCTTAAATTTCATATGTACTCGGACTTTAGTTTTTGAGACTCTGTTTTAATCGGGATAGTCCCTTTAAGAAAAGCATGGCAACCGCTTCTTAATAAGTTCGAGAGTTATTCCCTTTATTAGGAATCTAATACATGTATGTCCCAATGGAAGCTTCAATTATGACTACCAGGTAGTCTTTTTAAAAGCTCTTTAAACTACTCTGGTGACTTAGCTGCTTATATATATGCTTGTTTCATTGTCTGGTAACTCATGTTTTCTAATTTTAGCTACAGTTTTGCTCTTCATTGTCTTGCTGGTTTTCTCCAATACTTCTTCCAATCCTCTACAGAAAAGGTAAGCTAACCGCTATTAGGTTGGTGTCTATAAATATCATGAGCTTACTTTTTCTGTTATTACTTTTCAATATTTCAAATTTTGCCACAAGCAATGAAATGAAAAGTTTCCGTTAATTTCAAAGTTGTCACATACAGTTTATAATGAAGAAAATAATACTTATCATTTCAGGTTTATTTACCGTGGTTGGATTAACAACAGCATCTAAGTTTATGCTGTCATTGTCACTGTTTTATGTTACCGCATATTTTGTTAGAGGTAATTCTGTCTTTACAAATGTAAACATTTGAAGAATATTAGCCACATTGTCCTAGAGAACTTACAAAAGACAAGAAATTAAGCATATTTTCTACAAAGTAAAGAACCATTGAGGATAGAAGAAACATTTGATTTTAATTTTTAAATGTTTTCTATGAATTTGATTGTGTTGTTTGTCAATAGGTATTGGTAGATTTACTAATGGTGATTATGCCAGGTTTATAAGTATTCTAACTGAAGCTCAAAGATCATTATCACAAGAAAATAAGGTATGTTTTTAATCTAATTAATATTTTGCTTATATTTATTCAGTTGTAAACATTGATCAGTTGATATAAATTTATATGCAATTGCATACCTTTCAGTACAATTTGTGGTCACCCTATTCATTGTCTATTAGCTATTTAATTTGTCTGATATTTTCAGTTTTGTATCAAGCAATATTGTCAGGGAGAGCAATATTAAACACCGGTTAACACTTGGGTCACACCAGTTTGAACAATTGTTCTTCAGGAACATCTATTAAAATTTGCTTCTTATTTCTTGAGGAAAAAATAATTCAAAAACAAAAGAATTGTTCACAGTTAGTCAGGGACTTAATTTGGTTTGGACTTGCGTAACTAGCAAAAAAAATTATTTTCAGTTCTTTGGCATATTAATAAACAAATCAAGACCTCAAAGAACTAAGAATCAATTAGGTTAGGTCATACAGCGCTAGGGAGAAAATATATACAATTGTTTGGATGATTCATAGAGCCAGGTTCTGTTTAAAACACTTAACAATAAAATTCTTCGTCAGACCTCTTTTTGATTTCAAGATTCAGACAGAATTCTTGCTGCTTATTATTACAATAAATCTCAAAATGGCCTAAAATGATGACTTACTGTAGTCTTATTTTATACATGTAGACCAATTTTCAATATTAATTCTATAAATATTTGTGGTTTTTTTTAACAGAAGTTATTACGTAGATATGATTGTGAATTGTCAGCTTGGCCAGTTGATTTTAGATGGGATGATGGCAGTTCAAGGTAAATTCATTTTGAGTAAAATATCTTATCCTTTATTATCACTGCTACTAAATTCAGCAGTTAAATGAATGGGGAAAAACATTGGGATTTTTAAAGCTTGGGTCCAACTTGTCAGTGATGATTGCACCTAGTTGTGAAGTTGTCGGGAATGGTATGGAAAGCCAGATCCACCTGAAATTCAATGAACTATTTGTGGAAATTTGGCTGTTTGATCAAACTTCGCGTTTATAGAAACATGATCGGAAAAGGAAATAGTTTTTATGTTAGTCTCAAAATGACTGATGTATTTTGTTGATATTTATATAAATGAACCCGTTTTTAATGTGTAGATTTGACTTGTGATATAGACTATAAAATGTGTCATGTGAGATTGTTAATGAATATTGTTCTGTTATAGAGATGAAAAGAAGAAAACTACTGGAAGTAAAATACAAGTTCCACACACTCCATTTACCTTTAAAACCATACCTTATCACATACTCAGGTAGGCTTTATTTCACAAACTTCTCCACATTGTCTTCTGACAAGGGGAGCCAGGATGCGGTAGCGTGGAGGTCGCGGGTTCGCTCCCAGTGTTGGCCGAGAATGTTCATCAGAATTTTCTGGCGTGGTTTCCCCATGTCAGTGGTGCAGGACGGAGGGCCTGACAAGGACAGCTGTCTAATCGTTTGGATGGAACAAAAAACTGAGGGTCCCGTTTACACATTGACGTATCCCTTGGCATTTGGAATTCAATACAAAAGCAGATCATAGCACCACTGTCCAGGCAAAATTTCTCTCATAGCAGACCGTGTGGTGTATGTCCATCTTCATTAGCCCAGTCGGAGCAGAACAGTAGAACGTTAAACCCATTTCGTTTCACTTTTTGTCTTCTGACACATAACTACTGACACTGCCACATGTCAGAATTTCAGCTTTTATCCGAATGACATGTGCCTGTGCAGTTGAAATTGTTATATTTGTTGTCAGAAACATCCTATCATTAAAAGCTGGTTCAATTATGAATATTCATATGTATACCCCATCCTAATTACATTCTAGTGATCATAGCTATAGGGATAACCTATAATTATAATCAAAAGCTAAAGTAAATGTATTATTGCTGAAAAATATTGTCTTCTGATTAAATCATATTTTCTTTTATTTTTCAGTTACATTGCCATTCATACATTTGGTAGAAGAATGGTTTATCCTGGAACTACAGCACTTATGTCGACATTAGTTGGTAAGATAATTCATTGCATGTTTGTTTATACATATATAGTCTCAGTTAATCATTACCCCTCATCTGTCTTATGTAAAGGAGTTTGGTGGCCAAATGGTGTAACGTGTGCATGGTAGATCATATGGTCTGTCATTGAGTCAAGTGGTGCCTTTTCGATTCCCCACTTGTACGTGACAAGGAGTATGCACGTTAGATCATATAGTCTGTCATTGAGTCAAGTGGCATGGTTTCGATTCCCCACTTGTACGTGACAAGGAGTATGGTCGTCTATCCAGCTGCATGGGTCCTCCCCAAGCGAATTCCTGAAATAAGATTAAACCATGTTAGTCCCAAAATGACCTAGTTTGATTTGAGCAGTTGTTAAACCCCATGTCTCTCTCTCTGTCTTATGTGAACCTAATAAAATTGATGAATGACTTTAAAGGTGGTTTAATCTAAATTTAGACATCAAACCAGGCCAGTTGGATTCTTTCTACATGACATAAAACTCATTGAGTGGAATAAAATAATTTATTAGGAACAGATATTTTAAGGCACACAGAGTCGTTGTTTATGGAATTTAGTCTCACAACCAACTGAAGTTTATGCTGTAATAGATTTTTGAAAACAGGGTATTGGTTTAGTAGTATTTGAATAAAATCATCCAGATAATAGAAACTAAATAAACTCTAATACGTACTTATGGAAAAACAGCTACTCATTTATTTGGGCTATGTTTCAAAGAGAATTCTCCCAACATAATCAAGCTAAATACATTCATTGAACTGACTTATTTTCATCAAATGTATAGTTGTCTATTATCATATATTTTATAGGTGATACCATAAAACAAGCTAGAGCTAAATTAGTAGAAGAAGTAAGTAAAATATTAGTAACAAGCTGTCATATTATTAAAGTGTCATGGTAGTTGTGGATATAGAATTGGACACATGACTAGAATATAGCAAAAGGGAAAACACCTTGGGTATTTTAATGCCTAGTTAATACTTACCAGGGAGAGGAGAACTATATGAAGAGTATAGGTGGTTATATAGAATCTAGAAATGTATAAATCATTCTTATCTGTGCCGTAGTATCAGAGAAATTGTGAGCTGAAATATTGATGCATGTGTATCAAGTCGTACATTTTCAGTGTACTTTGACACTGTTCTTAGAGATATAGATAGGCCTTGATCCAGTGGAAGATTACTAACCAGAAACACAAAAGCTCTTGTAAATTGACAAATGGTTATTAATATAATTTAATATGTTTGTATTGACATTATCAGAAAAATGGTGAAAGAGCTAAGCTACTAACAGAAGATGATAATATTATTGATAGTATGTTTCTAGATAGAAGACAAAATGGTGGCAATGGTAAAACATTGGTAAGTAATAATACATCTTTTAACTATTACAATATTTTACATGTATTAGAGATATAGAAATGTCAAATTCTTCTACCCTGTTTTGTAAAAATTAGCACAGTATTAATAAATAAGAATTATGTCATTTTTAGTTCATTAGTGATCGAGGTAGTGTGTGACAGAGGTTTCAAACCACATTCCATTTCAAATGAACACTGTTTTCTATGTATTACATTGTCTGTCAACAGGTTTTATGGTACAAAACAGATCATAATAATATTTACTGTACTTACTATAAGTTTTATGTAATGAGTATTAAGTATAAACAATAAGATGGCTGTATTTTATTTTACAGGTAGTTTGTTTTGAAGGAAATGCTGGTTTTTATGAAATAGGTTGTATTGGTACACCCACAGAATTAGGCTTTTCTGTATTAGGTTGGAATCATCCTGGCTATGGGGAAAGTACGGTAGGTTATCCTTACTGTTAATTGAGCCTTGATATGGATGCAAATATACTTGTCCCCCACCTTTTGAAGAAAGCAGGGGACTATTAAAATGGGTTCGTCTTTCTGTCTGTCTGTCCGTCACACTTTTTGGGACACGTTAACTCTCCTTCTAATTGAAATCAAATGTTCAAATTTGGTGTAGGTGTTTATTAGGTCCATGCCTTGATGGAGTTTGAAGTTGAGCATTTTCTGCTTAGGGTAAGCCGAGATAAGCAATTTGATTGGTTGATGCTTTGCGACACAATAACTTTAGTTCTGGTTAAGTGAGAGTCATCAAACTTGGTGAATAGTTTCATTACATCAGTACCTTGACTAATTTCGATAATGAACATTGTCTGCTGAGCAATAAGCAATTTGATTGGTTGAGACTTTGAAACACCATTACTCTCCTGAGGTAGAATGTTCAAACTTGGTGTAGGTGTTCACTAGGTGAATGCCTGTCTGTCTGTCCATCCGTCACACTTTGTGGGACACCATAACTCTCCTAATTGAGCTAGAATGTTCGACCTTGGTGTAGGTGTTTATTGGGTCCATGCCTCAATGGAGTTCTATGATGAACATTGTCTGCTTACAGTAAGCAGAGATAAGCAACTTGATTGGTTGATGCTTTTGGGCACGATAACTTTGGTTATAATTAAGCGAGAGCTATGAAACTCTGAGTATAGATTCATTATATCATTACCTTGACTAAGTTTGATGAGAATTTTCTGCTTAGCTAAGGAGTGATAAGCAATTTGATTGGTCAAGACTTTGGAACATAACAACTCTGCTTTTAATTGAGGTAGAATGTTTAAACTTGATGTTGATGTTCATTAGGTGAATGTCATGACTTGAGTTCAATGATTAACATTTCCAGCTAAAGCCAAGCAGAGCTAAGCAATTTATTTCACTTTGATTCTGACAGATTGTGATGAAACTTGGTGTAAAGTTGATAATCAGTTTGATTGCTCGATACTTTTGAAAAACATAAACATGCAATTAATTAATATCTATTTATTTCGGAATTTTGGCAGGGGACATCAGCCTCACTGTTGGCTTGTTATCATATCATGGCAATACACTTTAATCAACATGTATATTCATGCAAATACTTGAATAAAATCACCAGATTTTGCTTTGAGATGGTTCAAATTTGTTTTATCAGAAATTCATGACATGCATTTTAAAAAAAATACATGCATTTACTCATTACCAATCCCGAAGAATTTGAAAATAGAACAAGAGCTTGACCTGGTGTAAAGTCACCATTAGATTTTGTTGGCTTAGAATTTAGAATAAAATTCACAAATTTCTCATTATTATGAAATTTATAGAAAAAGTACAAATATTAAAGATACATTAGTTAAGCTTTTGATAAAGAGTTGGTCAATTCAAAAATAGATGATAAAAAAAGAAAATATTGAAAATTTCAGTCAAATTGCTTTATTCTGAACGAAATTACCATTGTTGGAAATTTGGACTAGAAATAGGCATCAACTGTCTTTGTACCGCCTCTGAGAATTGCCGATCATTTGATTGACAGACAATAACTCCACCCACACATTCTCGATTATGAAGTAACATCCTCAATGCCTATGGTACCCTAGACGGTCAGTTCTTTCATCGACAGTCTCCGGTAGTGACATTACAGGGTTCCCGCGGTCCTTGAAAATCCTTGAATATCCTTAAATTTAAAATTTCATTTTCAAGGTCTTGAATATCCTTGAATTTCGCGGAAATAGGAAAATATCCTTGAATTTCAGTTGAGATCCTTAATTTTGTTTCAAATGTCTTCAATTCCTTTTAAATATGAGATTATAACGATAGTTGGTAATGTTTTGGTTATTTTTAAGATGAAAAATTGTAACTTTAGGCTAAAAAATGTCCTTGAAAATCCTTGAATTTGACGTATATTTATCCTTGATTATCCTTGAAAAAATGTTTGACGAAGCCGCGGGAACCCTGCATTAGTGATTAACGGTAAACGTTAGTTTGGTCAGCCATTTAATGATTTAATTATTAAATGAACAGCACACTAAGAAAATGCGAAAAACTATGTAATCCCAATTGAGTATTCACTGGTGTCTACTGGTACGTTCATAGCTGTGTTTTTCTTTATTTAGTTTGAGTCATTCAATGTGTCTATGACTAGTCTGTGTCAACAGTTGTATGCCATCTATGACTTGCCGAGTGTTTATTTTGCAAAATTCAAATATTTTTCATATATATTTACCAGGTGTGCCACTATTTTTTCATGTGTTCTAAGGGGGGCCGTTGCCAAAAAAAGGTTGAGAACCACTGGTCTACAAAGTTGATTTTGGGCTTATGTAAATAAATGTCTGATTAATAATTTGAAGCCTATAGAAAGACTTGCAATAGGCATAATTAGGTCTTAACTAATGTATCTTTAAAACAAATACATTTATATTGTAACCTAATTGAATTTACAGGGAGTACCATTTCCAGATCAAGAACAAAATGCTGTTGACACAGTTATGCAATATGCTATACACAAACTAGGATTTATACCAGAAAACATCTGTTTATTTGCCTGGTCTATTGGAGGCTACAGTGCATCCTGGGCAGCAATGCAATATCCAGATGTCAAACAAGTAGTAAGTTCTTTCTTTGATTGATACATTTACTAAAAAAAAAATAAACATTTATTTTAAATCAACAATGTATACAAGACATTAGTTCAAATAGTTCATTTGTTTTTGTTTGAAGATTTTTTTTTATATACAGTGATTGTCGGTTATTTTAGTTTAAAAAAATGTTTTTTCTTTGAGCCTAATACTTCAAATATATTATGATGTTGTAGATTTTAGATGCTACCTTTGATGATATAGTTCCATTAGCAACATCCAAGATGCCAGGGGCATGGAGTGAGTTTTTAGACACCACATTTAATATTTACTTGTATTATTGTAAGGGCAACATTTTTTGTGAACGCTCCTAAAGGTCTGAGTTCTTAAGATGTTTTACAAATTTGCAGTGATTGTTCATTGTGTTGTCAGGAAGAATCCAACTGAAAATTTTGTAAAACTTGTTGAGATTGTTTATAAGAACCCTATCATATTTCACTACTTTCGAATTGTAAATTTCAAAATGCATTTTACAGAGTTATCTTTCTGGTTAACTATCAACTTTTAATGTCTTTTAAATCTATTGAGGAGTTTTTGAGTAGGGCCCAAGGAGGAGAGCTAGCGTAATGCTGAAAATTTTGGTAATGAATTTAGCAAAATGATTTTGATAACTGGGATATTACTAAAATATTCCATTCTCTTTGAAAAAAATATCTTGCTAATTCGAAAAAAAAGTGAATGAACTACTGGTATGTCAAGAATTGACCGTCATGTAAAATTTTGAAGTGAAATCTCATAAGTAGAATACAGATTATAAGATTATGCAGTGAATAATCTTGGTAAAAATATTTCTGTTCCAGAGAATTTGGTGAGCTTCACATTACGAAAGTATATGAATCTAAATGTTTCAGAACTGTTAAATGAGTAAGTATGTTTTGATGTATACAATATTCTTACGACTGGCCCCCGGATAAATTCATTTGATTTGATATTTGTTGTTTATTTCTTGCAACGTCTATGTAGTTTGTCTTGTCCGCTGGTTTATCTTGTTGGTTTTGTTGTGCGTGTAGTGCGGTCCTCCTGCACTTACTTTAATGATTGCTTTTAAAATGAAATATGTTTAATGAGATTTTTAGTAAGGTCGAGTACATATTAGAGTTACATCCTCAGATTAATTTTACCTTTACCATCATTTTAATACTGATTACTTTAATATTTGACATTGTTTTTTTATATTGGACTTATTGTTTTTTATATTGGACTTATTGATCTCCACCCCCTCCTACAGAAGTTTTCATATGTAATATAGCTGGAAACTATTGATATGCTCTAATCTTTCTCTCTATCTGTCACACTTTATGGAACACAATAACTCTTGCTTCTATTTGAGGTAGAATGTTCAATAATAGGAATTTCTTGATGATGAACATTTTCTGTTTAGACTTTGAGTAAACAGAGATAAGTCATTTGAATTCTTGATAAATGATAAAATGTGTAAGTAATTTAGTCAGTTGTTATCAGCCCCACTGTTGACCTATTAAAATAGAAATGTTATGCCAGAATGTGAAAATATATTGTCTGTGTATGTAATCGTTGCTATATATATATACCAGGGTACATAAAATTAATATACTTATAGGTATCTTGGACCAATACTGATAATACGTAGATCTAAAGATGAAATCATAACTACAGAGTAAGTAAAATCTTAGTTTAATTCTTTATATGAATCATTTTGTTTTAAGGTATTTAAACTGTTTATATATAAAATATAGCATAATGTGTTGCAATTGTATTAAATTGAGTAAACTAATATTTGTGTATTTCAGTGTTACACCAGGATATCCACCAAATATTAGTACTAACAGAGGAAACTTCTTGTTACAGAACTTGTTGAAAAAACGGTAAGAATAGTTGTTATACAAATAGAAATAATAAAAATAATTGTTTTAAGCATGTTACAAGGGACTGTGTTTTAGTAATCGATGTATGTGTTTTTCTCACCAGATATCCTAATTTGGTAAATGAAGCAGCATCAACTTTATTAGATGAATGGCTGGCTGGAGAAAGTTCCCATCAAGGTTTGATATTTTTATACACCCATTAGCATGTCCATCTGTCGTGTCATTCTAAGTAAATACGAGCATTCTATGAACCAGGAACCAGCTATCTTGGAATATTGACTTCCTTCAGTCAGTTCACTATTGTCCAAAGAACAAGGATGCCCAGTTTCATGTGGATTGTACTCAAATTGGTGGAAGCTAACACTTTTATTTAAAGAGGATTGCTAAAGAACACGTTTACAATGTATGAAATCAGTTCCTGTTTCATAAATTGTTACATATGTAGAACTTCAGTTCATAAGAACCGTAATCATGCCAAAGTTACATCTAGGCCACCTTGTCCATAAAAGCAGGATCTGAAAAAAGTTTACAAGAAGCAAATTTACATGAGTACTGAATGATTATTCGGGGTAGTGTGTGAGTAAGTAGTTACAACACAAAGCAAGAGCTGATGCCTATCAATTATTAGAATTGGTTTATGTAAGTAAAGGTGTAGTACTATCTGTGTATATTTTATATTACAGAGATAATGTTTATGACACATAAGGTTGATAGTAATTATTGTAAAAGTGTTTTAGAACAGTATTCGTCTACCTATCCTATTAATATAGGTAAGTCTTTTTAGTTAACCTCCTTTATCATCCTATGGGAAATTCTAGTCAAACTCTCAGGAAAGGACACTGGTGATTTTGAATTGTTTAGGTATTTATATCTGTTACAACTGGAATAACAGGAAGTAAATTCACATGCAGAAAATTTTATTTCATGCAATAATAAACAATTTTATCTCTTTCCCTGTAAAGCGGACATTCATCTGAACTTATAAAATGAAATATAATGGGCTATTGAAGATCGGCATATGCAATACAGTGTGCTATAAGGGAAATTTTGCCCGAACAGTGGCACTACGGTCTACTCTTACGTTGATGGGACCTCGTTTTTTCGTCCCATCCGAACCGAGATATTAGCGATTCAATTTTACGCTAACCTCGATCATCATTATTGAGGTTGGTACGATTACAAACAAAGTCTCGATTATCTATTTTTACGTAAAATTATCCATCCCAAAATGTATTCAAATCCATTTAATATTGTGAAGGCTAACAATGGCATCGAGAGTTAATTATGGTCTAAATAAGTTAATAATTTAAGATAACATTTCATGCCTAAAGAAAGACCTGCTATAGGCAAAATTAGCTCTTGCATAATGCAAGTTGAATAACAATGCACCATTGAAAAAAGCTAAATAAATATTAATAATAGGTGAAAAAAAAATGTGGATAAATAAAAGAAATGCAATGCTAAGTCACATATTTATACTTATAATAAACTGTTGGGTTGTTGAAAAGCTTTTTAGAAGATCGTTTTGTGCAAATAATAATAATAAAAAAAGTGAAATTTAACAATACAATATGTTTCTGCTTCTGTCACAAGTTCTGCCTTTATTAAACATGCATTATGCAAGAGCTAAATCTGCCTATTGCAGGTCTTTCTTTAGGCCTGAAATGTTTTCTAATATATTAATTAGACATTAATTTACTGATCCAGGCCTTAATCAACTCTCGATGGCATCAGATTTCTCCGATATTAAATAGATTAGAAAGGTTCAGCAATACTTTGATTTAATCAAATATGGAGCACCGAGACTTAGCTTCGATCAACCAGTACGGTGGTTGAAATTATTGCACACGTCTGTCAAACCTTCAAAGGCTAATATCGTCGCTTGCAATAGAGTAATTTGAATGAAATTTTCAAATTATTCATTTTACATCATCTGCTTTCGAACTATTATAGCAAGAATGGCTAGTTCTTTATCTAAATCTTACATAATGTATCTTTAACTATGCTATGGTGGTAGTGACTAGTTCCAACATTTAAAATACTTATTGAGATATTTCTAAATTGAATAGTAAGAATAATGATATAATTATTTATTTAGGAGAGAATTTAAATCAAGATCAGAAAAACCAGTTAGTGTTGTATCTGGTAAGTGAAGTTCCAAAATTTTCTTTGGGATAGCATTCCCTTATTGTTGTTGGTAAATTTTTCATCGTATGCAGGGGCGTAAATGTGGGGTGGGGGTCGGTCGCAAAGTCAGTGCAGTCGGTCGCAAAATAAGAGCAGTCGGTGTCAAAATAAGTGCTCACTGCACACGTCACGCTACTCACGCAAAACTTTAGTATAAAATAACCTTGTCAACTTATCATGTTTGAAAAAATGATGTGTTTCACTCTTATTCTGTTGTGAGTATGTAGGTCTAAGAACAAAATTTCCGCCAGGGAGAAAAATAGTCGGTCTCAAAATAAGTGCAGTCACTGCAGTCGGTCTCAATATAATGCATCGCCGTCTTAATGAATTAATGAGGTAAACAAATAATGCCAGAATAGATCCCAAATACTAGTCGGTCGCAAAATCAGTGCAGTCGGTCGTAAGATATGAGCAGTCGGTATCAAAATAAGTGCTCACTGCACACATCACTCTACTCACGCAAAACTTTAGTATAAAATAACCTTGTCAACTTATGTTTGAAAAAAATGTTTTTCACCCCATGGCAAAAAAATAGTCGGTCTCAAAAAAAGTGCTCAACCCAGTCGGTCTCAGACTAAATGAATTAATGGGGTGTTTTCTGACCATCAGAATTCTGCAAAATCTCTCCACAAAGTCCAGGGCATTTCAGAGACCAAGTAACCGCCCCATTGAGGTAAAGTGCCCTCAGGCCCATCCTCAAAAATTAAAAGCTCAGTTACATATTGGCGCTTAATTCCATTATGCCGTCATTCTTGAACTCCTTCTCTGTCTTATACTATCTCATCACTATCATATTCACAGTTACAGTGAATCGCCCAGTTAGTAGTACCACTAGTGAGTGAGTCTTGGGTCAAAAGACTGTAGAATTGTTAGTTCTACTCTCACAAAACAGGCGACATTGACAGATAGGCCTCAAGATTCTGTCCCATTTCTTATCCTCTCGTTAACGAGAATTTGGACCCATTTGCCATGACATTGAATAAAATTGTCAGGCCCAGTCCCAAAAATTAAAGGCTCGGTTACACATCTGAAATTTTTTCGCCCCTGCGGCGCTCGATTCCATTATAACATCATTCTTTCACTCCTCTGTTGTCTTATACTGTCTCAGCACTATCATATTCACGGTTGTACTGAATTGCCTAGTTATGTTAGTAGTACCACTGGCACTGTTGTGTGGGTCGTGGGGCGTCAGACTATACAAAAGTTCTGTCAACTATTGCAAAACAGGCGGAATTGACAGGGGCAGATCTCGAGATTTTGTCTAATTGACTCACATTTCTGGTCCTCTCGTCCACAAGAATTTCTCCCAGCAATGACCTCAAATGCCAAGATATTGACTCAATTTTTCAAAATTTTCTCAGGTTGCTCAGTGTTATAGGCACAATCATATATGACATAAACTTTATGTCAACTTAAATAAAACTGCTTCCCAGCGAGACAACGATCGGCAAACAACTATATAATTATACAATACCACCTATGTTCTACCGGGACGTTTAATGTTATAGCCAGTATTTTGTTGACATTCATTGTGGGGTGGAATTGTGGCTGGGGTGGCGCCCTAGATTTGGACCCCACCCCCCACCCCTATCTAGATCCGCTACTGCACATGGCCCCTACAAAACTCGCACCTGTGGTGCTCGGCTCCTGACTGTGTTACTCGTACTAGGGGTATGGGCATCAGTCATTCGCATTTTGGCTAAACACCCCCCCAAACAAAATCGTTATGTACGCCCCTGATCGTATGTCCATATTTTCTGGATTCCATGCACTTTCCGAAATTGTACAGGCCAGTGGGCACTGACTGTATTTCACACTATACATCTGTCACACTAGGGTAACAGAATGCAGCGGGGTCTTGTATTTTGTGACTTTTAACTAATATAAAATCTACGATTAAGAGTTGTTATATATAATTTCTAATTTTAAACTTGTCTTTACAGTTTGATGTGTTATACATGTTTTTGTTAAAGGAGTAGATTTTTATTTTTGTATTTGTTTTGTTACAGGCATCAAAATACATGCAGGATTTTGATTCAACACATTGCACACCATTGCCACCATTATACTTCCGTACACCATGGACACATAGCCAATTATAATTACTATGATTATATTCCACAGGTGTTTTCATTTTAAAAAATAAGTTTCTATCTAATGACTGTTGTTTTGTTTAAAAAGTTTTATATCATCAATGAATTAAAATCAAATGAAATTAATTTAAATTGCATATAACCCTGTATATTCAAGAGAAAAAAGTAATAATTTTAGAGAACCTGTTTGGTGCAGAAAAAAAAAGTTTATGTATTTGTTAGAGTTTAATCACATGAAAGAGTACTCGAATCAACACACACAAATTGAAATAGATAGTTTTAGTGTAGAATTATAAATAAATTAACTAATAGTTTGTGTGAATGTTTTGTTTGTAATTTAATGTATTTTGTTTAACTGTGGAATATTGATTTTATATAAACATCACAGATCTCAATTATTTATTGAATGAGTTACAAACTCTTAGTTTAATGTTATGTTATAGAATCATGAATAATCATTCTTTTACTGTTGATATAGAATAATGAATAATCATTCTTTTACTAGTTTGATAGAATCATAAATTAAATATGGAATCATGAATAATCTGTTTTTGAAATAGAATTATAGATAATCATGTTTTTACTGATTTGGAACTTGTTTTGGAAAACTGATTTGTCTGTGATATCACCTTGTGTTGAAGAGGATCTTAAACCATAAATAATAGTTAATTTAAGAGTTAGAACAAGAGGGATTATTTATTATTCCCTGCCTTTTGAAGAAAGCATGGGACTATTAAAATGGGTCTGTCACACATTTGGGGACATAATAACTCTCCTAAATATTTTGGAATTTCGGCGGGGGACATCAGCCTTACTGTTGGGTTGTTTGTTTTATATATTGTATGTAAATTTGTACATTATTGTCATTATTTTATTAGTTTATTAATAATGTTTTACACTATTTTGGTAATGTAAGGTTGGGAATCAAATGTTTACTCAGCATTTAACATAATTCAGTTAATCTCACAATGTCAGTGTATTAATAATAATAATAATAAATGTCCATAAGCATGTTCAAAGCGCTGACATTTGTCCAATACCATGACTGCATTAACAGATTTTTGAGGGCTTAACCAATTATATGCCACTATTTAACTTGATTCATATCTGTAGAAGCCGATGTTAAACAACATATAGTCTGTCAGTCAGTTATTTAATAATATATCAGTATAGGTATAAGCATAGGCGTACTATCTGGGGGGGGGGGGGGGCTGCCCCCCCCCCCCATTTTGGGCACCAAATGCTGGGAAAATTTGGGCACACAATTGTACTTTGTAAAAGTTGTATAAAAAAATATTGTGTTCTTGAATGCATCCAATTTAACAGCGAATTTAAATTCAGAGTGTCTATAGTTAGGCAATTAAATAGAAATCTTAAGACTCAAACCCTCTATTGTTTTGAGTACAGTAAGCCACGAATTACAGTTACATAAACAACTGTTTTTAGTTGTGTATATTACAAGTAAATAAAATTTAGTTCTCTTTTATTGATGATTTAGAAATTAAGAACTTATTCATCGCAAAAGAGATATTATGATTATTATGTAACATACTAAGAACCTAACAACATTTTTGGGGCACCAACCACCACCGGCCCCCCCCCCCCCCCAGTCAAAAAATTCCCCGTACGCCTATGGGTATAAGAGCTGTGCTTGTTACCAAATTACTATATTTAAGAGAACTTGTGTGATATAACACAAAGAATACAAAGTATGACGCTCTGTTGAAAGCAATTATGGATGAGGAAAAAATATAGTTCGGAAGATCTTAAATATAGCATTGACTGTCTAGATATAGAGCTTGTAGAAGATTGTATTCTTATAACAGAATATAAATGACCTACATGAATATTTGTTATGTATAGATTCTGAATTAAAAGATTTTTTAAGTAAAGAGTTTTCTAGAGTATACTTATTTCTTTACCTGGACTACCAGTAATCATTTGTCTTGGTTATTACATTCTGGATATCGATGTTGTGGTTTGGCTCGGTACCTTAGTTTTCAGTTTTAAAATTGGAACCTTTCCCTAGACATTTTCCATGTAAGCTAATAGAAATTAAATGAAATAGGGTTAACTTCTTACTGTTCGGCACCAACTGAACTAAGGGAGGCAGGCATATGCCATACAGTGTGCTATATCGAATTCCTACTGTTATGGGTTCTTTTACATGCACTCCAATGTGTACACAGGACCTCAGTTTTTTTTGTTCTATCCAAACCACTATATGTTGTCCCTTGCCAGATACTCTGTACTGCACCACTAACAATGGGGAAGCATGCTGCATAAACCTGATGAACTATTTAGGCATATCTATTAATATGCAGTTTCACTGTTCACCATGAACTTAGTCACACCAAATACTGTGTCAAGGGCGATACCAATTATTAATTGTATTCTCCCAAATGTGATTATTCTGGTATTTATATGAAAGATTTGACTTTAGAAACAGTCAATAATTGACCCAGAATTATGTATTAGTATGTTAAATTTTATTTTCCATGCTTATTGAGACATATTTTTATCGAGACAATATACTTTTGACTACCTACCATATATTTGACTTACATAGTAAAAAATTTATTAATGTGCAGTAACTTCCATACTGCTTCTTCATAGACCTGGCAGCAACTATCGAAAGGCCTGGCAAAGATAAGCAACTAGTCTTTTGGACGACTAAAAAAACCTGAGGTCCATTGTATACTATTGGTAGCACATTATGGATCCTCTGACCATCGGAAATTGAAATAAAGAGTAGGCTGTAGTGTGACTGTCAAGGCAAAATTTTCCTCATTAGCCCAGTTGGTTTAGAAATGTAAGGTGTTAATCCCCATTTTAATCCAAAGTGTAGACATGACAAAATACATATATATTTCTTTTGGGCATCAAAAATCTGCAGTCTGTTTCTGTAAAAAAAATCGACCACATCTTGTGAATGAATAATCCATAACTACTTGCACCAAGACCAATCAGACCAACTGATAGACTACTCGGACCATCCAAAAAACTGCTCCAACCATACAAAAAGACCACTTGGACCAAAAATAAAGTGTTGTTCTAATAAATTAATAATTGTGTTTGTTTTAATATGACTACTCGGACCAATAATAAATTAATAATTGTGTTTGTCTGGATACCTTGTGAACTGACCACATGAGAAAGTCACATATGAAAATGCCTATGTTGACCCCAGTCTTGAGTTTATCAAGACCAGAACAATAATATTGATCAGAACACTCTGTCACGTGTTCTGCAAGATGTACAACATAAAGTCAATATTTAAGGAATAAACTACTCGCTAAACTAGTTAATGTAATGACTGATCATTAAGATAAAAAAAAACATGCTATATATATATCAATATTACTCTGAACAGCTTAATATCCACAATTAAAATTTGATAGGTTTCTTCGTCTCAATAATGAAAATCTTTTTCACATTTCAGTGGTGTTTTTATGATTACCTAAAGTTAGAGTAGGGTGGCAAATCTTTTAAATTTCTTCTATAAATTGATCAATGCTTGATTTGGAAGTTAAATACTCCCAAAAAAGCATTACTTGGGCATGTCTGGTAGAAAATAAAATGGACGCCCCGCAAAATACACTACCGAAACATTGCACATAAATTTCTATGCGAGCCAAAAAAAACCTAACACCGAACTGTTCAGCTTTATTGAACTTGAGTGAACATAATTTTGTAAAATACTTGATCTATAGTCAATTTAATAAATCAACACAATTAAGTCCAATAATATAAATGTTTTTATTAAAAAGAAATATTAAAAAATATACAGTATATCAAATTATTATAAATAACTATGATACTTTTTAAATAATATCACATGTATTTATCGATGTATGTACAAACATTTTCTCCTAATTAAAAAGAATTTCTAGTTGCTATACAATGAAATATGTTATTTACACCGGTCTACTAAAATGAAATCTTTAAAATCTGTGCTAAAAGAATTCAAATTATGAGGTACCCATTGTATGAACAGTATTTTGTATAAACAGTATTTTGTTTATGAGGATTTGAATCAACAGATTTTATTTAGCCTTGGCTTCTACTAAATAAAATACACAGTGGGAACAACCCCCCTCCCCCTCCACATAAAAAAATTGTAAAACAACACTTTTTATGAGAAAAGTAATACAGTCGTGTGCTTTATCACCAGATGGTTCTACTATGACGGATGGTTCTCTGACAAGCTAGATTTTGATGACATTATAGAACGGTTCATCAAAAAACATCCACACCGCTTATTCTCTCCATTATATTTGGAGTTCTAATAATTGTGCAAAACTCTATTTTAGGCTCTTGTCCAGTTATATGTGCGCCGGCGTATTAGAAAAAAACAAACGAATAGTTTATGTGATGAATTTTATTGATATTTTGGTGTTTGACACAGTCACGGTCGGTTTTTGTTTTTCTATTTTGCGTGCTTAAAGTGTTGTGTCAAAATTGTGAATAACTGATTTTATTGCATATCAATAAAACTAAAACGTTGCGTAGTATGTATATGTATTTAGTATTTTTTATGTAAAATCCCAGTTACTGTGTTTTGTCAAAGTGACCTCTGGTCACCCCAGATATACACCAAAATGATCATGGAGACCACGTATTTCTCAAAAGTTTCAAGGCCAGTTGAGAGAACCCGCCCGGGTTTCGTAATACAGCCCTGTCTAAATATTTTCTTAAAGCGATAATTTCATATTTTCTAAGAAAGTTAAAACATAATTATTTCTGTCTTTTGCTCAATAGGTTGTCGACTCACTATTATACGATCATAGGTATTATTCTCCCACTTAAAAATCCTTTGACCCCGGAAATAATAACACAATTACCTCCCTTGTTTTTCTATTCCCCCCCATGGAATAGCTATCTTCAAATGTTTGAATTTTAAGTTGAAAATGATATTTTTACCAATTTCTCAACTGGCAATAGTGAATTATAGGATTAATAGGATTATTCTTTAACAAGGTAGAACTGTTTATAGATTCCATCTATTTTAAGGCTTTATATTAATAAATTTTAAAAATATAACTTAAAAATATGAAATTGCAACTTTAACAATGTTTGATGTTACTGTACCAATGTACCTGTTGAGGATGTCCAAATAATGTTTTGCAATGATATTATCAAATAGATGATTTACTGGTTAAAGATATAATGCAATAAAAGAATACAAATTTACCCAGTATGTTCATTTCACATTAAAATATCTACAACATTAATTCATAATATGTCCATTTTCTTTAGTCAAGAATAAATGTTAGTTTATAAATATTTTGAAACACACTGATTAACTAGTAATGTACATAACACTTTGCACTGCACTTATTAATTAGTAATATACATAACATTTTGAAATGCACTAATTAGTAATGTACATAACATTTTGCAATGCATTGATCAATTAGTAATAAACATGACATTTTGCAATTCATTAATTAATTAGTAATGTACAATGTATTGGTTAATTAGTAATGTACCTATTTTGCAATGTATTGATTAATTAGTAATGCACATGACATTTTGCAATGTATTGATTAATTAGTAATGCACTGTGTTAGTAATGCACTGTATTGATTAATTAGTAATGTACATAATATTTTGCAATGTATTGATTAATTAGTAATGTATTGGTTAATTAGTAATGTACCTATTTTGCAATGTATTGATTAATTAGTAATACACATGACATTTTGCAATGTATTGATTAATTAGTAATGCACTGTGTTAGTAATGCACTGTATTGATTAATTAGTAATGTACATAATATTTTGCAATGTATTGATTAATGAGTAATGTACATAACATTTTGCAATGTATTGATTAATGAGTAATGTACATAACATTTCTAGTTTTCAACTTAATTTATACATGTCTTGATAATTGGTTCCATGTGTTACCATCAAAATCAAATTGTGAAAACAACTTGCTGTGTATAAAATTAAGTAAAAAAAAGTTGGTTAAACCATTAAATAACACAAATGAAGCCAGTATTAAGTTGCCAAACGTTGAATTATTTTGCTTTGTTTACGCTACCTGTTTGATCCATGGCGTTATATTTCTGGGCATTTTCCTGATCCCACTTGACAACAAACATAGTTAGTAAAAATAAAGCTGAGCCACCTACATATGTACCTGGATATAATATATATAACGCAGCTGAAAAATAGAATAAAAGTATATTATAATAGGGAGTCTATAATAGGCTACCTAGATAAAATCATTTCAAATTAATTTCAATTCACAATTGAAGAGAGATAGATGGCGTTTAACATGTGCTCAACAACAACTGGTTAATTTTGGGACTATGTGATGGATGGACAGACAGACATGCCAATTTTAATAGTCCCCTGCTTTCTTGTAAAGGTGAGGGACAATAAACATTGACTCGCACTGGAAGTTGTGTCGACCATGTCAATATGGTTCAATTTCATTTCAATAATTCACTTGCCCATAGGGGTCTTTAACAGCAGGAGGAAATTGGAAGACCACAGCATTATAGTTCCCAACATACATAAACAAATATGGACAAGACATGCAATAAAATGTAATTATTATTACCTCGAAGTGAAGCGATACTACTATAACCAAGATCAGAAAATGCTTGTTTTAATGGTGGTACTATTAATGGCACATTTCCTCCCACATTACTAATAATAAATAGATAAACTGCTACAGCTGTTGTTCGAGCATTGATAGGTACTAATTCAATAACTACTGCTAATGTGACTCCAACCCACATTTCACCTGAAATAAAAGAACATACTAGATAGTAAACATGAGATGTTCTTTAATAGGCAGAGTCTAACTCTACATGAAGAAGAATTGGCACCAAGTTTTGTTAGAGTCCACACACAATTTAAATATATTTTATTCACTAAAATACATATTAATACTTGAGACATCTCCTTTAAATGCATATTTGTGTTTGTTTGTTTGGTAAAAACTGTGCAAAAAGTAGTCTGTCTATAAGATACATTCGTCAAAAAATAAAAATTGATATAACTAGCTTTACTTCATTTATTAAATAGGGAAGACACTCCTTGAGTATATGTCACAAGATTTCATAGATAGGTTGCAAGGCAACGAAACATACACCTACAGCAGCTAAATCCTCTGGTCGGTCAACAAGGGTTGTCGCATATTTAATTTTTTGAAGGTAATTTTGGGGGTCATTTACAAAACAATGTCCGAGTGATTGATTCTTCGGGATTTTAATCATTTCAATGGATTTCAAGCTCTCCCCCCCCCCCCAACCCCAATCATTTTTTCCACATGCTCCTGATAAGAAATGTCACAAGAAACCAGACAATGCATACAGGTAAGGAAAATATAAATGGGTAAATAATTAAACAGACATGATATATTACCTATGATATAAGTAGGTATTTGACAAATAAAGGCCCATGGTGGATTAAAATATAATGTACCAGCTGCAAAAGGAGCAGCTAAAACCTGAAAACAACAAAAACAAGATTAATAACACAACTAACACATTTTCCATGTAGAGTAAACAATAATTTCTTAAAAAAATAAAACAAATAATTCTTTCCATTTGCGTAAAAAGAGAACTTTTAGAAAATAATATATATAATAAAAAAATAAATAAAAAGAGTTATTTTTGGCATTTATGAAAAACAGGAAACTCTATACCATGTACTTAATGGTAAGTGCAGGAGGACCGTACTACATGCAAAACAAAATCTACAAAATAAACCTGCGGACAAGACGTGTGTAATAATTGATCTGTTGTTTATATATATAGAGCCTAACTGTGATGACTCCTTATAGAAGTTTTGTGAAAAACTGAAGAAGTTTTGTGAAAAACTGAAGAAGTTTTGTGAAAAACTGAAGTAGTAGTGTTCTGCCACAAAGTTTACATCATTCTCTGGCAAGAACTTGCCTTCTATGCTAAATTTCAGCCCTATTGAAGACATCAAAGCCAACCAAACAAAGGACAGTCACAAATATATATAGATACTTGTTCTGAATGAAAGCTGAATGTTGCGTGTAAACTGTATAATTGATATACATACCTGACTGGCAACTAATACTATTATACGTGCATATAGTCCTCTCTTTTTAACAACTCTATCTGATATAAAACCACCAACAAATACACCTATACTACCTCCTACTAGCGGTATCCAGGACATATAGGATCCTACCATTTCACTTGTTTCATCACTAGTTTTACCCAGAGAAGTACCCAACGCATTAAAATATGGTTGTGTATTATAGGCCCATACATAACCCCCTGAAATAAACAAACATAATCAATGAAATCATTGGTAACCATTATTACATTATACCTTACTATCAGTAACAGTCTTGCTTGTTATGTTGTTCATGAAATAAAAGGTAGCTGAAGGGAAGCAGAAGCATTAAATGATGTAAGTGACAGAAGCATTATGTTAAGATAAAAACTTTTGTCTTTATTTTATTTTAAGTTTAAAAGACAAAGGCAAAGGCAAAAATTGTGCATGAAAAACAAATGTAGAATGTTTACTACAACTATGAATGAATGATATGTGTGGGGAACGTTAAATATTCTGCAATCCAAAAAGTTGTGTCTGAAAACATTTGTTATCCTTTTGCAAAAATTGGCTACCTCATTTTCCAGAATTTTTTGGGGAGAAAAGTCATGTGTTTAACAGTGAGATTACCAGTTCTTATTTCAAACTACCCAACATACTGCTCTCTGATCCACATCAAAACATCTGAGTCAAACAACTAAGTTACAGTCATTAAATAGTTCACAGCTATTTTCGTGACTAAGGCAGTTTGAGGCTAAGGGTTAATAATATCAAATTACCTGAATTTCTGACTGAACCAGCTATACATAATAACAATAATGATGGTCTGAAGAAGGGTCTAGCTACATTTAATATTTTAGTACCAGTCGATACATTTTCTGTGACAGCTGTCTGTTTATCTGATGCTGTAGCTCGCATGTTACCTCGAACTGGTTCTTTTACAGTTATTAACATTACAATACCAAGCACTAAGCCAGGAATACCAGCTATATAAAATGTCCATCGCCATCCCTAAAATAAAATAATATGCCCAATACAACATTAATTATATCGTTACCAGTAATTCTCTGTGGAAGGATCTTATAACCCTTTAATTTAGACTCAAACAACTATCTGTAACACTTTTTCAAAGAAATACCAGTGTGCTTGATTTTGCCAGGATAAACCTGTCCACTCATATTTATTGGGTCACATGAAAAACTGGAGGGAGTACTCTAATAGGGTTACATACCCCTGGTACTTAAATGAACTTTTTTTTCTAGACCCAGAGAAAACCGAGACTATATAAGATACATTATTATCAGTCAATCTAATTACATCATCTTCGAATATTCTATTGTCTTAAATTGAATCATATTAAAACCATACAACTGATTTATCATTTACAGCTTCAATACTTTTCATTTTGTTTTAGAACAGAGAGATGTAAAAAATTACTAGTACATGTAATGTAATTATCAATAGATCACATATATGTATTCTTTAACAGCATGTTAATACAAATCAACCTCACTGTCACCACAATAACAATTTAATATATCAGGAAATATCTGACTAAAGATATCTGGCTAAAGAAGTCTTGTCATTATATTAAAGATATCTTAAAATATAACAAACTAAACACAATGGGAAACATTTACTACTAGTTCATGGTTCAAAAATCAGGAATTGTTTTCATAGACACATTCGGAAAATGGAACATTCAATGCTTTTAAAGCAACTCTAAAAACTATGGTAAATATCTGTGCAAGAGCAAAGAATGATGTTTGGACATATTTTATGATTATTATCTATATAGAACTAACCTGATTATTAATGTTGGCTAAGGTAATAAAGTTACCTATAGCATATGACATACTATATCCAGTATATATACCCCAGTTATAAATACCTAAAGCTGATCCACGTAAATTCTCAGAAAAATAATCGGATATGATAGATGCAGCAAATGGTGTACAACCAGCTTCTCTGTAAAAATACAACATACAAATTTCAACTTCAAATCTTAAGCAAGATGCACATGCATTTTTCAGACAATATATAATTTTTCACAACTTACTTCACGTACATAAGATATTCTGAATTTGAATATTTACCATTCAATTCAGAATTAAAAAAAATCAATGGTAGAAAAATTTCAACAGAATGGAACTGCATCATTTTTAGACTGCTGTTCCTTTTTGTGATTCAAATTTCTCAATTGTAGTTTGTAAGACATTTAAAATACCTCAAATGATAATCGGTTGCTTGAATTATCTTCATATAGATCGGGCTATTAATGACAGACAGGGCTACAAAATGTTTTTGCTAACTTCTTGTGTACAGTAATTTGAAAATTATACAAAGAGAAACAGGATTTATCATTCACTCAACACAATCCAGGTCACTTTTGAACTAACTTTATTTCAATAATTCGCTTGTGTGTAGAGGTCTTGGGCAGTGGGAGGAGCCAGAGGAAGTGTTGATGGACAACTATACTTATTGTAATCTTCAAGTTTGGGATAAAAACAACACCACTTGACAGATCTTATGATCTGACTATGTCAATTATTTACTCATTTTGATAATGAGTTCAAGACTACAGCCAATAAATTAGACCTTCTGAATTTTCAATATGATTAATATGAATATAACAAACAGTTCATGATCATTTATATAAGACTCTATTTCAGAAGGTCTAGTTCCACACCATAAATTATAGAAGATAGCCTTTCTTTTTATTTTTGATTAAACAATCAAATCAAACAAACTACAGGAGTATCATTCTGCATCTGAACAAAAATTGATCATATTTTAATACAGCTATAAAGACGTACCCAGCTCCAAGTCCAAGTCGTAAGACTACCAACTGCCAATAGTCACCAATAAAACCAGTCAGAAGTGTCATGGCTGACCAAAACATGAGACATATCGCCAACAACACTTTACGGTTATATCTGTCTGCTAAAAATCCAATAAATATTCCCATAAATGTATAAATAACAATGAATATTGGTCCTGCTACAAGTTGATACTGGAAACCTGATCCCAAATAATCCCATTTACATACATGTTCTATACTACCATTATTAGTGATAAGAGCACAACTGAAAATATAAAATACTCAAAATTAAAGCTTTTCTCACTTTCTCTATTCCACATAATAACAAAATCTATTCCATTGTTTACTTTGATACCTTGAATTCTCCTCCATGTAAAACTTTAACATTGAGGCCGTTAAAACAAGAGAACTCGGTCATCAACATGCCATTGAACATAGACAATCTCGATGTTCTTGGTAATCAACAAGCAAATACTGTAGTTTACATGCTATTTAACAAATAGTATATGCTACCTGGTTATAGAAGACAGAAATGAATTCAATTATAAACTACCCCAATGTTTTCTTTTATAGAATTACACAAATTACACAAAGTATTTTAAAAGGCTGTAAAGTTATAGTGGACATAAATTGAGATTAAATACAAATTTCCACCAGATTTATTTTTTAGAATTACACAAAGTATCAAAAGGCTGTAAAGTTACATATTCAGTTCTAAATGTAAGAATGATGCAAGTTTGAAAACAAAATTTCATAAAGATAATCTTAAATGGTTACTGATATCTGCTCCAGAATAATAATTGCATAGCAAAAACTAAGTCAAATGTTATAAACACAAAAAATATTCAAATGTTATAAACACAAAAATTATTCAAATGAGAATTCCTAGCCATGAGAAACTAGGCCATGGACATTGCTGACAAAGGGATATTTAAGAATGAAATGAAATAAAATGGGGTTTAACGTCCGATTGGGCTAACGACGACAGGCATACGCAATACAGTGTGCTATGAGGGAAATTTTGCCCGGACAGCAGCACTACGCCTACTCTTATATCGAATTCCATCTGTCAAGGGATCTTTTATGTGCATGCCAATGTGTACATGGGACCTCGTTTTTTCGTCCCATCCAAACGCATAGATAGCTGTTCTGGTCAGGCCCTCCATCCTGCATCACGGGATATTCAAGGTCATTATAATGATATTGTTGATGGTTAGTATAACAAGTAAGTGCCTGTTATTCATAAGATTGTTATTGATGCCACTTACTTTTCAGTAGTATTAGCTTTACAACTTGCTCCTTTGGTAACATCTGATGGATATGTCTCGTTCACCATGCAGCCCAGATCTCCAAAATGAATTTCCTGTGCCATAGGTTTAACTGTTATAGCTAACATATAACGATCTAGTTGATTGAGTAGGTATGTCAGTAATAATATCAGTAATACATACACACTGTAACATTTTACTTCTTTGTACCATGGTATATTTTCTATAATAAAACAAGTATTAATCAACATAAAGATCAATGGTGACTTTGAAAATAATGAGTGTTTGTACGATCTGGACTGGTGACATGAAGGGGGGCATTATGCATCACACACGCCCTCAAGTGGTTCAGTCGGTTTTGCGTCATGGAGTTAGTTTTGATATGGCGCATAGTGCTGAAGGATTGCTCGGCTGGGCAGGAACTAGCAGGGTTCAGCAGTGTGAGTAGAGAAGAACTTCGACAGAAGGGAACATCTGCCTCACTCCAGGTGGCATAAAGAGGAACGCTTCATGCACAAGTGAAATAGATTTGGCCGAAAACTGGCGTTTGAAGAATGTCAATTCTTGTTCCAAGTCCTGATTCAGTTCCAGATACGTAGAAACAAGCTCACCATCATGTGGATATAAAACTGAAAATCTGTCCTGGCGATCAAAATCATGGGGGGGGACAGACCTTTTCGTCCCCCCTCCCTTCAGATACTAAGGGGGGGACGCCTCCCCCGTCCCCCACCTAAATCCACGCCCATGGAAAAGAGGGCAGCAACCTCTGAACATGGCTCCATGCGGAGTGCCCATTCCTGGGTTGATCAATAAACAACCTATTCAATTACTGTGTGTGACGTTGTCTTAGAATTTCAATACTTAAATATTTGGAACATTAAGCTTTTGAAAAGATAGCTAAGAACTTTTTGTTTTTAGATTAGCCAACTTGCTGAAGAAATTGGAGGCAGAATTTTTAAAAGGTGTTCTCTAAGAATAGAAATTAAAATTGGTGTGGCTTTATTAATGATCAAAATTGGTTTCAGATGTTCAATTTGTAGTCTAGCGAAATCGTATTCACAATGTTAATATTACTCAATACTTACGTTTGGGTGGTATAATAGGTTCTTCTTCTTCTAAAGTCATCTTGTCAGGTTTTAGGTCATTAGGTATAGTATCACCAGTTACAATAGATACCAGTACCACTGGCTTTTGTGTACTATAAAATAAAAACAGTTTCTCTGATATAACCAGTTAAATTTAATGTCAATCTGAATGAAATACAAATCTATACATTATACTTTCGTTTGCCGCTTCTACATGAAGATCAGACTGGTTGTACTAGGAGGTAGCGTCAGAGGTCATACAAGTGGCTTTTGACCCTAAGACATTAGACATTTGATTAACCAATCAGCGTGGGTTACCCACAGTTCTATGCAATTCACGCCCAAAACTCGCCATAACAGACCGTTTCATCCTCGTGTAGTAAAGACAAGTAAAACGAAATTTTGAACTATAAAAACGAAACGAAATAGGATCTGTGTTTTAATCAGATTGATTTAATGTATGTGACTGGCTCTTGGTTAATTAAACACACAGTCCAAGATATTTATACTTTAATATTATAATGGTGTATAGCAAGCGCAGGGGGACCGCACTACACACAAAACAAAGCCAACAAGACAATCCTGCTGATAGACATTACAAGAAATAATCAACAAATATCAAATCAAGTGATATGCAAATTGAGCTTTCATTCAAATCAGTTGACTCCTTGTTATAAAAACCAAATATACAAATCAAAATGGAATTAAAACCTCTCTGGGGATTCCATCCTCAATTCCGACACTCCATGTGTCATGTTAATGCTGCAAACCAATGTAAATATCTTTTTGCTGTTAATCAGCTCATGCATTTATGCTCGAATAATTACTATATGTGTGGAAATGTTATTAATTATAAATTATATAAACTATGTAATGTGTCCAAGTATCCTGTCGCATAGTCTCTGCTACATACAATTAAATCAACAGGACAATCTGACACATGCCATAGTATACCCGGTAAACATATTAACATGTGGATGTGATATATCATTACTTCCAATTAAGACATTATTATTATGGGAATGTATTGAATTAAACCCAGGACCAGACAATAAAAAAAATTAAAAATATCAATCGTTTATAACAATGTATGTAGTATACTACCAAATTAGCAACAATCGACTTAAGTAATTATGATATTATATGTATAATTGTGTCACACCTGGATCATTCTATTTCTGATACTAGAGTCTCCTCACCAGGTTAGCACACTTATGTACACTTATGGTGGCATAATAATATTCATAAAATGTAACGTTTATTTTCCCATAAGAAATGATGTGCCAAAATGATTAGAAATATTAGTAATTCCAAGTCTATATCATTCACCAAATATGTCAATTTCTTTTTGGGACTCATTTTATGATATAATAAGTTAAGCTTTAAACAGCAGCGTAAATGCATAGGTCTATTTATTACAAATAAAAAGGAATCTTATTTCTAAATATGCAGTATTACACCATATAATAGCACTCATTCATTTATAACTGTAGAAATTAACTTAACACCTATAAACAATGCTAATTCAATATCAATGTGAGCAAACAAAATGGCAAGAAAAATTTAACCCAAATAAAACAAGATTTTTGATTCCCTTTTACAATTAAACCCTTATCCAGCCAAACAACTAAGACTTAGTTTGATTTTATGGTTTTGATTAGGGTCTCCACAGTCATCAAAACAATCGAGCACTTGATTCATATGAATGGATCAAAATCTAACTGCCTTGGAAAAGAGATATTTGATGTGTGTGAATCACTAAATGGCTTTAAATTTAAAATATTTTTTAAATCAGTTTTTTGCGTACATCACTCTGTGAACATCCAACAGATGAGGTATTTTTTTTTAAGAAAATGTAAAAACCCATTTTTTTTTTTGTTATACATACAGATTCAGAAGAAACTTTTGGGCGAAATTTAAATGAGAAATCTGATATATAATTATTGGATATTTTATTACCTGTTGTCAAAGTTTACCAATGTCATTAATTTATTTACAAGTTTATCAGACCAATCAATGTAAAATTGGAGCACAGCTCTCAAAAAGAGTCATTTAATGCCGATAAAGTATAAAAGTTGTCCTCATGTCTCACTGGGACAAGTTAAATAAACTGTCTTTTCATATTTTGCCGTCTGATTTCATTACCTAAACGAACTTTCTTTTATTTAAACCAGTGAAGACTGTGACTTCTCTTTGAGAGGAATTTTGATTAGCAGTTTCAGAAATTTTTACCATATTCAATAAGAAAAAAATGCTTATTGTAAATCTAATCTTTTTCTTTGATTACCATTCTTTGCTCTACACAAACCGTTTGAGAAACAAAATAATCTGAGTTTGAGCAGCATATTTCATCACTACTCAGCTTATTTAATGATATTCATGGAGTTATATATGATAAGTAAATCGATCGTTAGATAAAGTTCTCAGTCAATCAATCTGAATACCAATGGATCAGTTAACAATATAAGAGAACATACCTGGACATGGTGAGTTTTTCAATTCAGACCTACTTTCTATTGAGTCGTACGTCCAGTTAAACTAATAAGATGATTGAAGACTAAAGGTCTTTATAGTTCTAATCAAATAGATTTTTATCTAACTGATATAAATTACTATAGACAATGTAACCAAGCAATACTGTTATGTACAATTTACATGTATATTGGAAGATAACGATGAATTATGATAGTAAATAAGAATCGGTATTTAATCAAAAACATCAAATAGGCCAAAATTTTGACAAATCATCGTGATGATACAAATATTTTCCTGCAAGCTTGATCAAATAAGATTGGAACTATCATAAAATGTTTGGGCTTCCGCTGTCATTCAAACATAGACAAGGGACCAAACGAACAATCACTACAAATTTGAAAGAAAATGTGTCAAGAATACAAACCCATATAGTGTTCAAAAGAAATTTTGAATTGACAAAAACAAACAAAAAATCAGTAATATCTTACACCTCAGACAAGTTTTTGAAATGTCAAAATATTGTTTGACCAGTTTTTAGATAAACATTCAAGTGAGGTTCAATCCAAATTTGAGAAAAATCAAATTAAAACCAGTGTATTTTTTATATAATAGCTCAAAATGATGCCTATTTCAAACAATAGCAAAACAAAAGCAACAACAAAGGACTAAAAGACAGAAGGCTTATATATGTATCTTACCACAAAATGCCTACTTTAAAACTTTAAGCTTATAACTTTAGCTTAAACTTAACAAATGGTGAATGTTTAAAAGTTCACCCAGACATGTGCAAAAAAATAATAAAAAAATCTTGTGATTTTAGTATGATAGGCATGTGGTTAATCGGGGTCAATGTTCAGTGATGAACCTACATCAAACATATGACACAGCTTTATTCAAACAGATAATAAGAGTTTAATATCACATTAAACTTAACATGGTTTATATAACTGTTATCTTAACAACTAAACAATGACTATATTCTCAAGTTAATCTGTGCTCAGTTGCTGACCTCTGCCATCTAAGACACACCAACATGTTTTTTGCAACTCTTTTACAATATTGTATAAACTAAATGGCTGTAGACAAATGAAGTTTTGGGGCTTATAGTTACAGGGATTTTAAGTCCCTCGATGACCTGAAAGACAGGATGGCAGTGACTATTTTATAACAACTGTATATCTTATGTTAGTAATGCAACAGTGATGTGATGTGTTAATAACCATGTATTGATGTGAAGTTAGTAAAAATGTATTATAATTGATAAAATAAGATGTACTGATGTGATGTTAGTAAAGGTGGATGGATGTGATGTCAGTAAAGGTGGATTGAAGTGATGTCTGTAAAGATGTACTGATGGGATGTCAGTAAAGATGTACTGATGGGATGTCAGTAAAGATGTACTGATGTGATGTCAGTAAAGATGTACTGATGTGATGTCACTGACATCATGTCAGTAAATTGATGTGATGTCAGTAAAGATGTATTGATGTAAGTAAAGCTGGATTGATGTGATGTCAGTAAAGATGGATTGATGAGATGTCAGTAAAGCTGTATTGATGTGATGTCAGTAAAGATGTATGGATGGGATGTTAGTAAAGCTGAATTGGTGTGAAGTTAGTAAACTTGTCTTTAATATTTTCATAGAAAATTGTCTGTCCCCCCCCCCACCAAAACACACACACACACCCCCCAACATGCACACACCCCAACATGTCATGTATTTTATCACTTTTTTGAAAAAAGTTTTTAATGTATCAAATTATTTATAATGTATTATTAACTGGAAGCTGTGGATGTTAAGCAGACAAAAGCTATTAAAACCACCAAACCTGTCATAATGTAATAATAAATAACGCCTCGTGCAGTATCAAACCATACATAATTATTCATTGTTACAAATTGATGAAACAAAAACTAACATATTTTTTGCCACCTTATCTCTTATATTAACATTTTTTTATGCAAAATAGTTAACAACAGCTGTGTATTCCTAAACAAAAAAAATCAACATTATGCATTCATTACCATCTATTATTTACTTGAAACTTACAGTTTTCGATCGCAAATATGCATTATTTAGACAATATTTATATTTTCACTGCTCAATCCATACTCAGATTATCTAACATTTAATTAAGAAAACAAAACTAAGATATCTACATAAAATAATCTCCTGTTTTGGATTCAATCAGATGTATGTCATCGGCAGAGGATGCCCCAAATACTGTACAATTTTCAATTTATGCTATCTTTGTAAACACTGATATACCTTCAAGAAATTCAGCTTTCATAATACAATGCTGTAGTTTGCAAGGGATTCCAATTCTCTCAAATTAAAATCAATGAAATTAAATAACACCAGAAACATTTATTCAAATAAGATAGATGTTGTATACATACACTGTCAAAAGGTATGGATTCAAAAACAAGCCAAAGGCCTATATTAATTTGTCTCCTTATTTAATAAATATACTACAAATACAATGCTAATCTGTTCTCCTTTATATAAATCCAATCACCATGAGATTGCAGAAAGTAGAGTCTTTCAGCTCATACAACTCTAGTTATCCATGTTTGTTGCTAAAATAAAATAATTCTATGAGTATTATGTATGGTTTAACGGTCGAGAGCGAGACAT